TATAATAATATCAGTCCTTTATATATATACAATTAAATAATAATGATTTATTCACAATCAGATTCATCTAATTAAACATAATTCTTAAATGCATAAATACTTCTCTCATTAATGTAAAATATTTGCTTTCATCTTGTTGGATTATGTCCTCAACAAAACATATTAATAAGTTTATTATAGTAATTCTATATTTATCTTTACTTTCTTAGACTTTCGATTATAATTTTCTCATAGTAAATTGAATAAATTCTTGTTCCATCTAAATATAATGTTCTCTAATCAAGAATATATAACAGACCATCGATATTAGAATGTTGTCAAATATTTTTCCTTCAACAGTCTGAATATTGCAGCTACCTTTCCTTTGAAAAAAAATGTACTCTTTTAAAATTTTGGATATATGTTACGGATTCATCAATTTAATTAAGAATATCCCCTAATTATTTATACTATGATATCTATATTAATTATTAAATTAGACTATAATTATACTTCTAAATAATTCCATTTGAAAAATAAATCTATATATTGTATATTCCTATTCTAAAATAATTTATATCGAATTCAACTTTTGAAACACTTTTTCAACATCAACTAGAACTCTTCATCTATATTTACTATCTCAAACTAAACACCATATTTCTACTTTCAAGTTAGAATTACCCTCATTATATAAATAGTTGAATTAATTCATAAACTGTCAATTATTAGCTTTTTTCAATTAATATTTCTCAAAGATTACTTTAAATTAATCAATGTTTGATCTTAGACACTAAAATAGAAACAATCCTTACCAAATTGCACCAATAATATTTATTCTTTATGATTAAAATAAAGTTTGTATTAAGCTTTCGCCCTATTTTACTCCAAATTTTTTAAAGGAAAGTCATTCCCTATTCCACTTTCATCATTATAAATTGGGCATAAACTATTTTTATAAAAAACTAAAACTGAAGTAAGTATTATGCACTTTTTTTCTATATTTTATTGAGTTGTGGCTTACTGACATATTTTTAATGTTTTTTAATAGGAAATATTCTAGTTATTTAACTAAATTTCTAATTTTTGTCATTGATAGCTGATCATAATAACTTTAAGATGAATTAAAAATCATTATCGATTCTATTTATTTAAAATAATGTTTCTCTATTTCCTTAATCAATATAATTTAAGATCCTATTAGAATGATCTATCAGGAGTTCAAAGGGATGAACACCAGTATAATTTAATTAACTTCCACTTCCATTTGCAAATTTTTAAGATCTTTGTATTGACATTCCCAAAATTACATATTAGGTCAATAATTAAATGTTATGTTCACTCATTTTTTGTAAAATTAATATAATTTGATTGAGAAAGGGAATTCTATTTGGAGTAAGATTTTGTAAAATTATTTGTTTAAAATTAATTTTTTATTTTTGGTTTAGTACATAGAATTGTGGTTTTAGATTTTTTTAACAAATGTTGAGAGCCTCTTCAAAATCCACAGGTTCAATTGTTAGGGGAATTCCCATAAATCCCACATACCAATTTTGAAGCACTCCATAATCTAAACAAGATTGATAGCAAATATGATCTTTCTCAAATAGCTGGTAAAACTTGTATTTCAGTTAATCTATAATTGAGAATTGATTTTTTATATCTTCTTCTTGATATTTAATCTGTATTTTTTAAGTTTTTTATATTAATTAATATTCTCGTCAAACAAAGTTTTATTTTGAAAATAAATTTCCTTAATAACTTTGGTTTTTAATTGAAAATTTATTAATTAAAAATATTAAAGTTTGCAAAACTTGATATTAATGTTAATTCAAAATAAAAATCTTGATCTCAATATAAATATTTTGAATTAATTTATTAATTAGGGTGAGAAATGTCTTTTTCAATGTAGGAAGCTAATATAGTAGTAGGATAATTAGCTTCTGCATACTATTCAGTAATAAATAAAGGATACTATCTTCTTAAAAGGGGATGTGCAGCTATTACGACAGAATATAGATTTAATATTATGACAAATAAAATATTTCGAATAAAATTATCTGAAATCAGAATAAGGTGGTTGTTAAAGCAAGTCTCTAAATTTTACTTATGGATAGTAATATAAGATATCAATCAAATAAAACTTTGGGGCATCAAAGAATGTCATCTTTCTGATAAAAAATAAGGATGGTGAATATTATTCACATTCTTAAATAAAACCATTGTTTCTTTAAAAACAAAATATCGGAGTGTGTATCTCTTTATTCTTTAAAAGAGTTTAAGTAAATATTAAAAATAAATAAGATTCTTAGAGTTTAACACATCGCTGGATAGAAAATCATAAGGAAGATTTTTCAAAAAATTCTGAAATTAAGCAAAATGATATAATGATCTGAAATTTAAAAAGAAGAATATTAAATAATAATAAAGAAGGAAAACAAAATAAAATAATCGAATGTGTTGAGAAAAAATTTAATTATTTATAAAAATAGTTTATGCCCAATTTATAATGATGAAAGTGGAATAGGGAATGACTTTCCTTTAAAAAATTTGGAGTAAAATAGGGCGAAAGCTTAATACAAACTTTATTTTAATCATAAAGAATAAATATTATTGGTGCAATTTGGTAAGGATTGTTTCTATTTTAGTGTCTAAGATCAAACATTGATTAATTTAAAGTAATCTTTGAGAAATATTAATTGAAAAAAGCTAATAATTGACAGTTTATGAATTAATTCAACTATTTATATAATGAGGGTAATTCTAACTTGAAAGTAGAAATTGTTTCAAAAGTTGAATTCGTAATAAATTATTTTAGAATGGGAATATACAATATATAGATAAATTGATAAAATATTATAGGCTACATGCATTAATCGATAATGTACTAAGTTTTTGATTTTAAATTTTAAATATATTGTTTACTTTAAATCTATTTATTTTTCTAAAAATCATTAAATTGTTTTATTCAATCATCAACCTTTCTCCTTAATTTCAATTAATAATCTCGTTCCAACAAAAATAATAGTTAATCTTTATATTTTTAATAAAAGTAGTTTTTGACACACTTTCAGTAAATATACAAAAAAATTTTTAAACCTAATTGTTAAACATTATTTAAATAATTACTCAAATATTTCTTTTTTGATTTATTCACAATTATTTCACTGTCTACATAATTCAACATATTTATTTTTTATCATAAATGGTTCTAACTTACTTTTTATTCTAAATAAAATTTGTTGATTAATTAGTGATTTACTTAGTATATTTAAATAATTCTATCATTAAAAATGAAGTGTAAATCAATTTATGTTTTATTTTCAATTTTGTAACAATATACAATCAGATTTTAATTTTTAATAATTAATTTGTTATAACAAAAATAAATATTGATTTTTTCATAGTTTTCAGAATTGTTGTGTTGTGTAAAATAAGACAATAATCATATTCCTAGCGAGTATGAAGGAGTAAACTCAATAACTCACTAAGAAACTCAGCATATAAAAATTTATTAACACTTCCTATCACACATTAAAGGCCAAAAAACCATCTTCTCCAATTGCACCAATCGTAGTTTTAAGTTTATTGGAACTCTAAAGTTAAGAAAGCAATTAAAATTTTTCTTTTGCGATCATTTTTCATCTTTTAAGTTTCTTCCAAAGTTTGTCTCTTCAATATAAATAACTGGAATATTCTATTTAAATCATTAGGCGATTATTTTAGCAAACCCTAATCTGCAATCGTTTTTTGTATATTTTAAGATCTAAAATTTACTCTACTTGTTCAGCCGTATGTACAGATATTTCAAGATTTCATCCAATATTAAAACTAATGTAATCAATGCTAATTTTTTATATCAAACTTCTCTTTGAATCTCATATGTATATCAAACAAGCAACATATGAAGATATTATAGATCTTAATACAATGAATAATAGTCAAATTTGATTTTGTAAGAACAAGCCCTTAATTTGACAATAAATTGTAATAATTCGAGCAGTTTAATTTGATTTAAATTAATTGTTGATTAACATTATAGCTTATGCACATATTTATGAAATTATTTCTAGAGTTCAAGATTGCAATCATTACTTTATATTGATGTGCAAATTCATTTCTCTTAGAACAGATATTCCTTTACAAATTAATGTTAAATCATCTGAATATAGGTAAATATGATCTATTTTCCTTAGATCTAAATTGTATTCCAGTTTTTTATAAATATGTGAGTATAGAAATGGTGACAGTACGCTTCCTAATGGCACCCAAATTTTGAATCCCATTTTCTGTTTATCATATTATATGTACTACCAATTCTTAAAGTTTCGAAGAAAATTGTTTCGTCTTTCCTCAAAACATGCATTATATTTGAAAAGTTAAATAATATTGACATATCTGCACAGTTGTAAGCCGATCGAAAAACCAACACGTCTAATGAAGACAAACTATACTTTAATTGAGTGCTCTTCATAAAATTTTTAACTATATGGAGGAATCTAAGCCTTAGCCATTTAAAAATTGGACTTCACACTAGGTCTAAATTAGTCTGTGGTATGTTTGGGTACCACCATCTTTCTTAGAAGGACCAAAATTTATCTTCCTCTTCGATTTAAAAATCTAAACTGAACTAATTTATTGCTTTAAAGTTCCAATATTTTCCCCTTACTATGTTTTTTTCTGGCATTTTTCTCTAATAATTTAGGGATATTTTTAGTTTTCGAATTAGATTTTTTTTCTTATAAAGTGTTTTACCACACCCACATTGACCTCCATATTTAGACTTTGAAATCGACTAATAATATATGAGACTTCAACCTAATATCTTCCTAATTTATCAAATAAGTTAGTTACAAGGTCAATAATTTATTGAACTAATCTTTCTAAAATTCAGCTGATATTATTATAAGTGAAAAATTTTGGCTATATTTATTTGCAACATAAAATGTAGCTATATTTCAATATATAGAAAAATAAGATAAGAATATCAAATGCACTACTTCCATAATTGCGGAAGAGTTTCGCCAATCCATTTTATAACTACTAAAGAATAAGATATGAGTATAGTGAATAGATTTTTATGAAAATATATTTTTGATAAAGGAATATTAAAAACTTACTTAATAACTTTTAAACGGAAGTAGTAAAAGAAAAGCGAAACTAAATCACAAATTGTTATTTTTAAGCCAGATTTCTAATATTTGTTTAGTTTGCAAAACCAACCTCTTTTAAATAAAACATAGAATAAAATAGTTAGGAAATACAATTTCTTTGAGATGAAAATAAAAAGATGTAACATAGTTACATCAATCAAGAATAAATTGATATAAATGTACCTTGAAAATAATTGAAAAGTTTCGCAAATATTAACTTTGAATCTCATCTATTTTTAGAGAAGTTGATGATAAATTTGCCATGAGGTCGATTTATAAATTAAAAAATATAGCATTATTTTTCTAATCATTTGAATAAATCCTCTTTAATCAGTTAACAAATTTTAATTTCATAATTATTTTTTTTCGATAGATTCATAGGAATTACAAAATTATTATAAAAAAGGTTAATAGCAACATTCTCTTATATTCAATTTTTTTTATATATATAAATAATCATTAATTACATAAAATATCTCCCTTTATAAGTTTAAGTTCAAGTCAACTTAATAGATCACAGTAATTTCTTTAATACATACTTTTAGAATATCGTTTATTTGAATCCTTCAAACTAAATTATATCTATAAATTGCCTAAAAAGCAATAGAAATTAATAAAATTATGTTATCATAATGAATCAATATGGTTATACCAAAATTATCTTGCCTTCTCAAAATCTTTATGGAATACTTTGGATTAAATCCTGTGAATAGAAAATATGGGATCATGATTCTTATTTTATTTAGATCAAAATTTATGTAAATATTAGACTTAAATGAAATAAATTAAGAATTCCAATTTGCATATTTGAGGAAATGAAATACACTAAGACTTTTATCATGGTTTAGATTATTAGTAATGATGGTTTTTAGCCTCTCTTCAAATGTTCTTAAAGATACGAAAATCATGAAATTATTAGGAAAATTGATACTTAACAAAATTTCAAACTTGTAAAATATATTATCCTTTGAACATGGCCTTGTTATTTAAAAATTTCCACATATTAATTATGAAGGTGAAATTAGTCCAAAATATTATCAATTTAATATTTTTTACTAAACTCATATGTAGTAGTGCCAAAGAACTAATTTTGAAAAGTTAGAAATGTTTTACTTTAAGCACATTTTTATAGTAAATTGTTTTATTCAATTAAAAAAAAATGGATGATTTGTGAATAAGTTCTGAAATAAATCTTTATTATTTTACTTTATGACTGTAATCGTTGTGAAAATTGTAAGACTTTGAAATCAAATAAAATGTGGATTTGATTTTATAGAGTAAAAATATGGTGAAAAATAAAAAAAAAACTTTTAACTCATTTAATAGCTTTAGCTTTTCTAAAATAAAGCTATATATTAAATGATCATAAGAAATAATATAGGAGTGCAATAGAGCAAAGATTAAAAGCAGTCTTAATTACAACTTAATTTGTTATTTTGAATTGGAGTGATTAAATGGTTTTCATTTGCATATTTATCTAAAATCAAAAATCAATTTTTGGCCTTCAATTAGCCCTTTAAGCAGATTAATCTTAATTCTATGTATTTAAAAATATCTTGATAATTACAAAATAAAAATGCAAACCGAATTCACAATAGTCTTATGAAAAACCTCAAATATTATTAATTTACATAATAATAATAATTTTTCACTTTTTTATTGAAGTATATTAGGTTATTATTTTCAATTTATAAAGTTTATGTCTTTGTTTAATATTATTTTTTATTATAGGCTTTTTAAAGTATAACTAATCGCACTATTAATAATATAATGATTTTTATGTTACTTGTTCTGGATTTCAATATAGATTAAAGAAGAATTAGGGGAATAAAAAAGAATTATAATAAATATTTTATTATATCAAAGAAAATTACTCTATAGGATAATGCTAAAGTAATTACTGTTCTGGAATATGTATTTGAGAACTTATATTTGATTTTTACAATCAAGATTGAAAAACTAAAATTAGCATATTCTAACTTGTCTCTTAATGATAGAAAAGATAAAAAAAAACTCAATTTTTTAAGTAGCCAACTCAATAATAAAAATTTAAGATGAATAAAAGAAATCTTTAATACTTCTGTAACATTATATTATTAGATTCAATTTTATTTTCCTACAATTTTTAACTTTAGAATTATTTTATTTAATATAAAAAGCTCTCTATAAGTATTTAAAATTGTAGGACGTAGATAAATATGTTTATATGTTCAAACTCAAAGCAATTCTCTCTAATGGAGCCAAAAATTTCATAAGTTTCTTAAGAGATAAGTAGGTATTTAATTGCCATTTCTTGTGTTTAACAAAAAAAATAAGTTTTGCTTCTATATTTACATGAAGCTCCTCCAATACCATCTAATTTTCCTTTAAACCGTATTTTTCTTCTGCTTCTGAAATTACGGGACGATCACCTTAGAGACTTTCAATCCTGAAATTGCTCCTAATCTATCTAGAAATTATGATCTTATTATTAAGACTTTTCTAAAAACCTTTTAGAATTTTCTACTTTCTATTTATAAAGAGGGAAAAGTATTTACTATCAATATACAATTAAAAAATTCTTCTCATTTTGAAAATGAGTATTTATACTCTCTACTCTCTTAATTTTCTTAAGTCTCTATTAAAGCTAATAAAGCACTCCTAAGTTCTATTTTAATTTCTGAATGAAGTTATTATTTATGAGAGTTTGAAAAATATTATATTAAAGAAGTATTGCAATATTTAAATATAATAATAGTTTATTTTGCGTTATTATTTCAGACAATATTAATTCTATATTAAATCAACTAAATTACAAATTCATGCAAAAAATTATCGAAGTTAAAACTAATTGAATTAATAAAAACCCCACTACAAGATATTGATTCAGATCAATTTACTTTGAAATAATTGGTTGATATATAAAAAATATTTCTCTATGACTATGCAAACAACAAATGTCAATTAGACTTGAGCCCCATGATGCTTTTTCGCAGTTGAAGGCTATTGTATTGTCCTGTGATAATTTTGTACTACTCTTCTCCTAAATTTATAAAATTCTCTCTTTGCATACACAGTTGTAAAAATAGGAGAAAGGTAAGCAAGAGTTGTAGAAAATATTTCTAAAATAAGAAAAAGAAAACATGCAAAGATAAGAGCTAATTCTTAATACTATTATTAAACTGTAAGTTCATTAGTTTTTCAAGATGCACAGTTAGAGGGAAAATCTACCTTTGATTTAGAAAAGCATGCGGAAAATAAATTTAAATAAATAGTATTTTAAGATAAATCACTCACTACTGCCTTAACTGCGACTACAACCTTAAGCTGCATTAAATACAATCTATTTGTACTTCAACTCTAGGGTTTTTAATATAGAGCAATTTGGGGCTAATCCATTTTATTCAGAATAATTCAAATTTGATGCTGAAGTTGTCTGTAGATGAATGAGTATTTCATGTGCAGATAAGTCAGATCTTTTGCAAATGCTAATTATAATCAATAAATGAACAGTTTCAAAATCAGAATAAGGATATTTTGATATTTTAGAGACATTTAAGAACAATGGCAGATAACTAAAGTATTACTGGTAGATCAAATATTTTGAATGGAACAAGATGTATAGCATAAACTTCTGAAAATGCTCAGATAAAAAAGGTTTTTGTAAGATATTGCTATCCAATCAAAAGCTCCAATGCTATCTGAATAAGCATCAAGTAGATGTATATCAAATGGAACTAATACTGATGGTGGATGTGTCACAGGATATGATGGAGCTTGTATATAATCAGTACCAGCTTTGAATTCTGCAGATCCAAAGGTTTGCAAACCATATACATCTTGTGCTGATGCTTTCTATACAACTCATTCAGATTGTTAAATTGCTAGTAGTAAATGTACAACAAATGGAACTACTGGTTGTTATGCGATGAAAATACTTAATAAATTTTTACTCATGTTAGTGGAGCAAGTACAGCTACAAATCTATCAACTTTATCTTCAGATAATATATCAAATTAATGTAGTTATTTTTGCTGGATTTGTTCAAATTAGTGTAATTGTGGATCAATTAAATATATGCTTTTCAATTAACAACTTTTCGTTTTTAATTCAACTTAACAAAAAGCAATTTTTATTAGAAAAGATAATTAATATTCAAGGTAGATATTATTTAATATTACTTTAAGGAGTAAAACTATAAAAGTGTTAATTAAATGCAAATACATTATATAAACACATTCCTTAGATTTTAGTTATTTGAATAGAGAGTTAATAACATCTTATCTATAATAATAATTTTTTTGTAAATTTTGATACCTCTCTTTTATCATTTTACAATATAAATTTATTACTAACATAAAGAAATAAATAAATGAATTTAACAGTTATGGGATGATTTCTAAGTAGTGATTCCATACATTCCTTCGATATTTTGAAAAATAAGTCCACAATCTTTATAATAGATGCCTTTCTGTCCATTATTATTATTGCTTAAGATATAATATATATTAATAAAATTTACCATATATAAAATATTATACTATAATATTCTATGTCATAGTATTCCAATCTGATATTGTATAACTAAGCATATCAAACAAAGCCTATAAGTTCCATATCTTTAAATATCTCCAATATTCACTAACATTTTATAGGTATCTATTGATATTTTTTGGGTTTCAATTGAATGAATAATAATAAGGATTTATTATAGCACATAATCCTTAACACAAAAATATAAGATTCATCTCAAAGTAATATTATGATTTTATTTGGACAGCAAATGCAAAAATATCTCAAAATTTAACAAGTCAAATAGAAACAACCTCAAAATCATTTTACTATTTTAGTACCATAATGGGATAAGAGCATTATGGGCTTAATTATAGGCATAAATAACAAGATTTAATATTAATATTAAAAAGTTATTACTTTCTATCCTTTGTTGTACTCTATTTTTAGTAAGAAACGTGCTAATTTGCCAAAAATTTATCAATAGAAAAATTGATTATTATTATTAATGTTATATTATAATTTTCTAATTTATTCAATTAAGAATCATAATTTATTGTATGATTATAAGAACATCTTGTTCTAATTAAATATAAACTAATAAAAATCTAATGTATCTATGACAACAAATTTAGCTTATCTTAAGCATTATGTAAAAATATATCCTGTATTTATAGTCTTATGAGAATGATTGTTACATTTATAAAATGAAAAATATATTTACAATTCGTTATATAATTGATTCTCAATAAGAGTAGATAATAGAATGTATATTGAAAATAGTTTTAGGAAAACCTTGGGTCTAGTGTTTCTTGAACTTACTTTATACATATAAAGAATGAGATAATAGCTTATAATTTCATTTTATAAGTAAATATAAAAAAAAGGAAAATAAAATATTTTAATCCTTTTAATTTCCTAGAATTTCACCTAACAAAATTACTTTGATAATATCAAGGAATTACTTATTAACTATAAAGTACCTAATTTAAAAATAAAGAAAACCTCCCTTTAATTTATGAATTTGATTAATTTTATTAATCTTTAAGAAAAGTTAATATGAAACAAAAAAAAAATATACTGAATATTTTTAATATCTTATATAAATAATATGATAGAAGATATAGTTCTTTTCATTACTGTTAATCAATATTCATTTATAGATTGGGAATTAGAATCCAAAGATGAGGATTCTTTATGTCTAATTACTACATTTTTTTACTTTATGGTGCTTTTGAGATTTTATATTTAATTTTTAAAATTTCATTAATCCCATCTAACACTTATAAGAGGATGATTGTTTAACTCAAAATTGAACAAGAAAATTAACAGTTATTCTCAATATTTTGAATGCTAGAAAATAAAATATTTAAAAACATCAAGTGTTAGAAAAGAAAATTTATTACTAAGTATTTATGAAACCTTAATAATCACAAAGAAACTGCTTTCTCTTTGATGAACAGGTCTAATCAGTAAGCTAATCATTTTTTGCACAATTTTATTTTTATTTTCTTAAATATTTTAATAGTGGTCCAAATTCAAGAGAGTTGAAATATTAAGATATAAGAACAGCTTATTTGATTTTCATCAATAAATATAAATCTTTCTTGGTACAGCAACATTATACAAGAATATCAGTATTATTATAAATATCAATATGACGTAAAAAAGTATTTCAATAACAAAGAAAGAATTAATCAATTAAAATTATGCTCTCATATCCAAGAAATAATAGAAAATGAACCATCCCATTTAATGTTATAGTGCCATTCAATAAAAAATAGAATATACCTGTAATAATCTATTTGTAATATAATTCATTAAATTCCATTAATATCATCACAACTTTTCATAAAAAGGAGAAGCATTTTGTATTTCTTTTATAAAATTAGTTTTAGGAACCTTTTTGAATTTTATTTTGATTTAGAAAGAATTTTTTTTCAGTACTCTTAAAAAGGCTTTATTGAATAATTTGAGTTTAAGCAAAGAATAGACTTGACAAATGCAAGCCTATAATTGATGGATTAGAAAAAACTAAAAAACCTTTTTGAAAGTATTTTAGGTAAGCTAACAAACCTAAATTTGGTAAGAATGAAAAAACAGAAAAATAGACCAATGTTTACATCCTAAAGGTATTAGCTTCTCAAAATTTATTTTAATAAATAAGAAAAAATTAGTACAAATAATTTAATTTATAAAATATAATTAAAACGAAAATTTTAGAATCCTTAAGATTTCCAATTAAAAAGGTACAGATCTAAAAATGTAATGAATCCAGTATTCTACATCTAATTCCCAACCAAAAATTTAACATGAAAAAATCTAAAAGAACTAAGAATGGTAAAATAAATAAATTTTAAATAATGCTTTTTCATATTATTGTTTCATCTTCTTTCTTTAGAATTGAGTCTAAAGTGGATTAGTAATTACTATTTGGTTTTAATTCTACAGTTCTGGAGTAATTTTAAATTAAGGAAGAAATTGTGGCTTTATAAATTTCTGAATTTGAAATCACAAAAATGATATCTAAGTTGACAAAATTTCTTAGAAACTCAATATAAATATAGTATTTACAACAAAAGAGATTTCTTATTAGGTTAGGATTGAAAATGAACTTTTTCTTTCATCATTTTCATCTTTATCTTTTATCAATTTTTTATTTTACCACTCCTATTTTCTTAAAGGAGGCAAGAATAACATTATATAACAATGATTAATACTCATACTTAAGTTTTAGCTCAATTCTGTCTTTCATCTAGAAACAGGACAATATATAAACAAAAAAACTTTGAAAAATTGTGTTTTAACATAAATTTAAACACTCTTCACAACTAATATTAACCCATGCTGATATTGTATCATTACGAAATTCCCATCCTCCTCCTCATCCTCCTTGAAAATCATATAATATAAATATTAATGATGCTAATTAATTCAAATAATAAATACTGGATTGATATCTAATCATAATTTATGGTGTATTTAATATGAAAAAATAATTTAATTTTTTATTTATTAATTTAACTGGAATGAAATCATACTATTTAAATAATACTTTTAATGAATAAATAATTCATCATATTTGCATTGTTGCTTGCCTTAGCAACAAGTCAAACTTACAGTATAACATCATGCTCATGCGTATAATTGTTATCAGAAGCAGATTGTTTAAAAAATGTTTCACTTGGATGTTCTTGGGATAGCACAAAGAAATCTTGTGCCGTTTCAACTACTCCCGTCACTCCAACAGTGACTTTTGCAACATATTGTGAAAGCTTTGCAGAAGCAGATTGTCCAAAAGCTAAACCTTGCACAGATTGTGGTAATTATGCTGCCTGTGCCTGGGTTGGAGGAAAATGCACACATTTCACAGGATGCACAGCCTTTTCAAAAACAACAGATCCTGAATGTTAAGCAATAAGTAATAGATGTATTACAGATGGAACTCATTGTGTTGAACTTGATGCTTGTAGCACATACAAGAAACAACTTCCTTGTGTCAAAAATTCATCAGGAAGCTTGTGTTATTGGGATACAACAAATAATACTTGTGTAGATGCTAATAATTGTGATAGATTACCAACTACATTTGTTACAGATAAAGAATGTAGAGATGTGATATCAACTTGTACTACAAAGACTGGAGGTGGATGTGTTGATAGTGGAAATAATTGTAGTGATTAAACATTAGAAATTTAATGTGTTTGGAATAAATTAAGATCAATGGCATGTTATTGGGATGGAGCAGCATGTAAAGATAGAATTTGTGATAATGCACCAATAACATTAACAACTGATGAAACTTGTAAAACCTTTAGAACTGATGGAACATGTACAACTAAAGCTAATGGAGGATGCGTTACTAGAACTACTTGTGCAGCTGCAACTATCTAAGCTGCTTGTATTAAAAATAGTTCAGGTGGTGATTGTTATTGGACTGGAACTGCATGTGTTGATAAGATATGTACAAATGCACCAACTACTATGACAACTAATTCTGCTTGTGCTGGATTTGTAACAGGATGTATTACTAAATCAGGTGGAGGTTGTGTATCTAATGGAGCTTGTTCTGCTGCAAATGTCTAAGCAGCTTGTGTTAAAAATTCATCAGGAACTGATTGTATTTGGGATACAACATGCAAAGAAAAGACTTGTGCTAATGCACCAACAACTAATAATACTCATGAATTATGTTCATCATATTTACCAACATGTACAGTTAGAACAGGAGGTGGATGTTAACCTAGAAGTTGTACAAATGCTCCAACAACATTAACAACAAATGATGCATGTGAAGCATATTTACCAAATAATAATTGTATAACAAAGACAGGAGGTGGATGTGTAACAAATACTACATGTTCATTAATTACATTAGAAGCTGCTTGTATCAAAAATGTTTATGGAGCTACTTGTTTCTGGGATACTGCAAGTTCAGGCTGCAAAGATAAGATTTGTACAAATGCTCCATCAACTAATAATACTCATGATTTATGTGTTGCCTTTTTATCAACCTGTACAGTAAATTCAACAAATGCTGGTTGTGTAGAGAAAACCTGTGAAAATTCATTGGCATAAACTATTTGTGATAAAGATTTGAATAACAAAGCCTGTATTTGGAAAGGAAAATGTTATAAAAAAGAATGTGTACTAGCTTCATCAGCCTCAGCAACCCATACAGATTGTTAAACTTATGATTCAAGTTGTACTTTGAGTAATACTGGTGCTGGATGTGTTCCAATACCTCTTAAATGTGAAGCCTATACAATTGAATCTGCATGTAATGTGAGATTATAAGTTACAAACGGAGTTAAATCATACTTACCATGTGGTTGGAATGGTTCATAATGTATTGATAAAGCCTGTTCAACTGCTTCTAGATCATTTACAACAACTGATGAATGTGATAGTTACAAATCAGGTTGTGTTGCCAATAATCCAGTTAATGGAACAATTTCAGGATGCTAAGATTTACCAACAACTTGTGCTGCTAGAAGATCAACAGAAAATTGTTAAATCTCAAGAAATGGATTACCAACATGTTTATGGAATACTGCTACATCTGCATGTGTTGAGAAGACTTGTGCAACTGCTAATGTTACAACAACTCCAGGATTCTTAGTAGCTTTTAATAATACAACTTGTTCTGGTTATTTAACTAATAGTTGTATAGCCAATAATACAGCTGATAATTGCATTCCAAAACCATCAAGTTGTAATTCTTTGGTTTCATCTAATTGTCAAAGAGGATCAAAAGCTAATGGAGATTGTTATTGGAATGGTAGTAGTTGTGTTGATAGAATTTGTACAAATATCACATAAACTACTCACGATAATTGTTAAAGCGCATTAAATACATGCACAGTTAATAATGCTAGAACAGCTTGTTAAACATTAGCCACTGCTTGTACTTCTTATGGATCAGCTGAAAATTGTAAATTTATTTCAAATGGAAAAAGTTGCATATGGACTGGATCAGCTTGTAGAAATGCAACTTGTGCTGATGCATCAGATAATGATTCATATGATGATGATAGCGAATGTTCCGATTATCCTAGTCCTACTGAAACTTGTACAGTTATAAACAAAACAAGAGGATTAGGATGTGTGACAAGATTACCTAATTGTAATGACTATGGGTCAGCAGCATAATGTTTTAGAACTTCAACAGCCAACTCAGATGATTGCACTTGGAAATCACTCTATAACAAATGCTTTTCTAATACATAACTCCAAAATGCTTGTTCAACATATACAGGTAATCAAGATTAATGTGAATCTATTAAAACAGGATGTACTAATACTGCAAGTGCTACAGAATCAGATGCTTGCATATTTTCTTGTGCTGTAATAACTGGATTATCAAATGCTACCCATGCAGATTGTTAAGCAGAAAATCCTTCTTGTACTGTGAATGCTGGTGGAACTGCATGTGTTACACAATAAGCAGCTTGTAGTAGTTATACATCATCAGGTGATTGTGTTAGAAGAACAGATGGTTCGAGATGTCATTGGAATGGTAGTGCTTGTGCAGATTTTGTTGCCGCAAATTGCGCTTCTATCACTGGATTATCAAATGCAACTCATTCAACCTGTTAAGCATATCACTCTACTTGTACAGTTAATATTGCAAAAAATGCATGTAATGAGTAAAAAGCAGCTTGTAGTGATTATGATTAAACTACTTGTACTTTTACAACTGGTGGTACAAGATGTCATTGGGGTGGTAGTGCTTGTGCAGATTTTGTTGCCGCAAATTGTGCTACTCTCACAGGTTTAACAGGTGCAACTCATTAATCTTGTTAAGGATATCACACTGGTTGTACAGTTAATATTGATGGAACTGCATGCTCAGAATAAAAAGCAGCCTGCACTGATTACGCTTAACCTACTTGTACTACTACTACTGGTGGTACAAAATGTTATTGGGATACTACTCTTAATAGTAGCGCTGGTGGTTGTACAGCAATTGCAGCAGCAGCCGATTGCGCTTCTGTTACAGGATTAACAAGCGCAACTTACTCAACCTGTCAAGCTTATAACACTGCTTGCACTGTTAATGCTGCTGGAAATGCATGCTTAGAATAACAAGCTAATTGCAGTGGTTATGATGCTTCAACTAAATGTACTATTAAAACTGGTGGTACAAGATGTCATTGGGGTGGTAGTGCTTGTGCAGATTTTGTTGCCGCAGATTGTGCTGCTATCGCAGGATTAACAACTTGGAATCACTCAACCTGTTAAGCATATCATAATTCTTGCACAGTTAATGTTGGTGGAACTGCATGTTAAGAATTAAAAGCAGCTTGTGGTGATTATGCTAATTCATCTGCATGCACAAGAATCACTAGTGGTTCGAGATGCTTTTGGGATGTTAGTGGTGGTTCTGGTGTTTGTATAGAAATTACATCATCAAATTGTGCTTCTGTTATAGGATTAATAGCTGCAACTCATTCAACATGTTAGGCATATCATTCTGCTTGTCTTGCAAATCTTGCTGGTACTGCATGCTTAGCATTTACAACATGTGAAGCAATCACAGGCTCAAATCTAACTTGGGATAGATGTTAAGGTTATAGTGCTACATGTAGTGTAAGGAGGGATGGAAACGGTTGTATAACTATATAACCTTAATGTTCAGGATATACAACAATAACCAGTTGTTATAGATCAACTGCTGGATATTGTACTGCTAATAGCGCTGATAGTTCCTGTTCATCTATAACAGCTTCAACTACTTGTGAAGCAATAAAATTAGGAGCATCATTTACATTTAATGGCACAATATGTAATGAATTGAAAACAGGTTGCATAGCATAAGGAACTACAGGATGTTAAGCTAAGTCATGCACTAATTTCACAGGAACATTTAATCATTCAAATTGTAATACATGGTTGCCTACTTGCACAGCAAATTTAGTTACATCACCAACTGCATGCACAACAATGGGAGCAACATGTGCTAGTTTGGCTACTACTGCATGCGTTTGGGCTGTTGAAGGTGAATGTGTTGTCTCAGGAACATCTTGTGTTAGAAAGACATGCGATACAGCTGCAGCAGATACAAACTTTAACACTCATGATGAATGCTTTAGTTATCTATCTTCATGCACAGTTGCAAGAATAGGAGGTTGTTAACCAAGAGCTGCTTGTTCAACATATAAGTCAAGTAATTAATGCAGATTCAATACGACTGGTGGTAGATGTTTCTGGAATGCAACAAATAAGACTTGTGTTGATTTCAGTTGTGGTAACATTGAATAAACATCTTTATATGACACTCATTCTAAATGTTCATCAGCTGATTCAACATGTACAGTTAGAGCTACTAATGGAGCTGCTGTCCCTGGTTGCATGGCTAGAGGAGCATGTAGTTCTTATTAAATTGAGGATTAATGCAACAGAAATGCAACAGGAGGTGTTTGTGTTTGGAACACAAATTTAGCCTCAGCAGCATGTTAAGATAAATCTTGTAGTACTGCCCCAACTGCAACAGCAACACATGATGATTGTAATACCTATTTCTTCACAGCCTCCATTAGATGTACAGTAGTTGCCACAGCAGATGCAAATGGTGGTGCACCAGTACTCGGAGGTTGTCAATAAACAGCAGCTTGTGCTACTTATATTCATTAAGAATAATGTAAATTCAATGCTACTGGAGATGCTTGTGGATGGAATGGTACATAATGTGCAGATAAGTCATGTGCTACTGCACCTGCAACTGCTGATTATGATGATAATGATAAATGCAGAGCTTATTTCAGTAATAAATGTACAGTTGCAGAATCAGGATAAGGATGTGTTGATATACCAGATACATGTGAAACTATGGTTGAAAAATAATGTGTTAGTGATAAATCTGGTAGATTATGCTATTGGAATGGAACTGGTTGTATTACTAGAACTTGTGAAAATGCTCCAGAAGCAACAGCTTCTCCTGATGAATGTAATACTTATTTGGCTGGATGCACTTTAGATTCAGTTAAATGTAAGACTAAAGTTTGTGAAGACTTTGCTTTTGCCACTGATGCTTTATGTAAATAATCTTTAAGCACATGTACAACAAATGGAACAAATTGTATCACAAGAGGAACTTGCTTCTAAGCAATGAGTTAAGCTGGTTGTGTTACTTCAGCAACAAATCAATAATGTGAATGGATGCCAGCTGTTGGCAGTAATTAAGCCTATTGTACAGTAAAGACATGTAATACTGCTCCAGTTACTTTAACTTCTGAAGCTGCCTGTGCAGGTTATTTCACTAACTGTACTACAAAGAATGGAGGTGGATGTGTTACTAAATCAACTTGTGCAGCTGTTACTGTTGATGCTGCTTGTACAACTGCTCTTAATGGAACTATTTGTGCTTGGGATAGTGCATAAAATAAATGTAGAGACAAAGATTGTTAAGATTTCAGTGGAACTACTCATGCTGCTTGTTAAGGTTAAAGAGCTGGATGTACTGCTGGAGCTAATGGAAAATGTGCTAGAGTTTAAAATTGTGAATAAACTACATTGAGAAGTGCTTGTATTGAAGGAACAAATGGACCATGTTTATGGGTTAATGACTTTGTTAACTCTGATGGATCAACTGGAGCTTGCTTTAGATATACTTCATGCAAGAGTTTGACTTGGAATTCTGATACATAATGTAAATGGTTAAGTAATTAATGTACAACAAATGGATCTAATTGTATTGGTATTACTTTATGTTCTGAAACTAATACTGATGGTGGATGTGTCACAGGATATGATGGTGCTTGTATATAATCAGTACCTGCTTTGAATTCTTCTGATCCAAAGGTTTGTAAACCATATACATCTTGTGCTGATGCTTTCTATACAACTCATTCAGATTGTTAAATTGCTAGTAGTAAATGTACAACAAATGGAACAACTGGTTGTATTGCATTAGGTGCTTGCTCATCTTATACTTCATAAGCAGGATGCGTTTTCAATGATAAAGGTGTCATTTATACATCTGGAGTCATCACTTCAACTGGTATTTGTTCATGGGATGCAACAGCTAGTAGTTGCAGAGATTAATCATGTGCTGATTTGACTGGAACAAACCATGCAGCATGTTCTTCATAATTATCAACATGTACATCTGACGGAACAACATGTTTAGTCAAAGGAGCATGTTCATCATACACAACTTAAACTGCCTGCACAACTGCTGTTGGATCTGATGGAACTTGCTATTGGGAACTTGCATCTGCTACAAATAATAACACAGCTAAATGCAGATTATTAACTTGCCCAGATATTCAAAATGGTACAGCAACCAATGTTTGTTCAGTAGCTTTGTCATCATGTGTTTCAGATGGAACAGCTTGTATTACAAAAGCTAATTGTTCAACTTATAAAACTAAGACAGCATGTAATTCAGGTGGATTAGATGGTATTTGTGTATTCACTTAATCAACTGCTACAGGAGCTGCTGCTGGTACTGGAACTTGTGCATTAATGACAGCATGTACCACTGCTAATAATGATTAAGTTGCTTGTTAATAAGCCAGAGATAGATGCTCATGGACTGCAGCATCAGGAACTGGTGCAACTGCTGTTCCTAGTAAATGTGCCACTCATACTTGTGCTACAAATTAAGCAACTAATGGTGCTTGTACAAGATTCTTGAATTGGGATAAAAAAACTTAATAAGTTTGTACTCTTGTTAGTGGAACATGCACAGCAACAGATCCATCAACTTTATCATCAAATGATTGTTTCTTGGTTTCTGGATATACATATACATGGAATGCAGCAACAAGCAAATGTGGAGTTTGCACTGCACCTGTTGTTTAACCAAATAATACAGATAATAATACAAACAATACAAATAACTAAACAACAACCGATTCAGGATATATTCTTGGATTATCAACAGTCATATTAGGATATCTCATGTTCTGATGAGAATGATTTTTTACATTTATATAGGGAAAAATTATTATTAATTATTAAAAAATTTTCTTGTAGAACTATTTAATATCATTATATTATTCCGTATAAATTATATATCTATTTTGATATCAACATACCATGAGTTCAATTATTATTTAAGTATCATTAAAGGATAAATTTTTATTTCTTCTCTCAAGTTATTCAATGTATACCTTAAGTATCTTCAATTTACATTCGGTGAAGTTCTTTTTAATCGAATTTCAATAAATAATTTTATACAATTAGATCTAATTATGATCTATCAAAATCAATCTTTTAAATGACTTGGCGATATATTAACATATTTCTATTCTAATGTATGTTTTTTTATGCTGTATTCTGTCTGATTGATTAATTATTTAATTTTAGCTGACATTTTTTCTTAGCTCTTATAATGAAGAATTACATTATTTGATTAAGATATATTAATAACAGTATATCGACTAACAAATTTAAGAAATTAGTTCTATAACATAATAAATATATAGTGTTTTGAATTTAAAGTATTTTAAGCTATTTTGGAAAGTAGATTAGAGTATTAGTGTTGCTAGTAGTTCCTCAATATTAAATCTACTAATATAATTAAGGATTGATTAAATAGATTGTTGTAATCAAATGTATAAAAATTCTAAAGGTTTTTATAATTAATTATTTATTATCTTTCTAAATATACTATAGTCGATTTTTCACATTAGAAAATAAGTTGTTTTGATACTATCTTTAGCTAAATTAAAAAATTTCTTTAGAATTTAATTTAGGAGCATTATGTTGTAAATCAAAATAAAGTGACAATTCCTCCTTAGCTACCATAAAATCAACAAACAGGAAAAACTTAATAGATGAGTTAAGTCTAAATTTTTGAAATAATAAGATTAAGATAAACAGTAAATGATTAATAAATCAATCTAAATCCTCATATCTTTTTTTTGAAGTAGCAAAAGCCAATATTTTAATATAATTTCTTTATTTAAATCATTTCTTAATTAAAATTTTAATTTTTTCTCCATATTGATCTCACCCTATGTCTCATCAATAATTCTTAAGGAATTAAGAAAAGGGCATAATTCAAATATTTATATGAAGTAAATTCTATAAATAATATCAGATAATTCGAATTTAGGAGTATACATATTGAATAATTGATGAGTAAATTATATAGAGCTANGTTTCTGGATATACATATACATGGAATGCAGCAACAAGCAAATGTGGAGTTTGCACTGCACCTGTTGTTTAACCAAATAATACAGATAATAATACAAACAATACAAATAACTAAACAACAACCGATTCAGGATATATTCTTGGATTATCAACAGTCATATTAGGATATCTCATGTTCTGATGAGAATGATTTTTTACATTTATATAGGGAAAAATTATTATTAATTATTAAAAAATTTTCTTGTAGAACTATTTAATATCATTATATTATTCCGTATAAATTATATATCTATTTTGATATCAACATACCATGAGTTCAATTATTATTTAAGTATCATTAAAGGATAAATTTTTATTTCTTCTCTCAAGTTATTCAATGTATACCTTAAGTATCTTCAATTTACATTCGGTGAAGTTCTTTTTAATCGAATTTCAATAAATAATTTTATACAATTAGATCTAATTATGATCTATCAAAATCAATCTTTTAAATGACTTGGCGATATATTAACATATTTCTATTCTAATGTATGTTTTTTTATGCTGTATTCTGTCTGATTGATTAATTATTTAATTTTAGCTGACATTTTTTCTTAGCTCTTATAATGAAGAATTACATTATTTGATTAAGATATATTAATAACAGTATATCGACTAACAAATTTAAGAAATTAGTTCTATAACATAATAAATATATAGTGTTTTGAATTTAAAGTATTTTAAGCTATTTTGGAAAGTAGATTAGAGTATTAGTGTTGCTAGTAGTTCCTCAATATTAAATCTACTAATATAATTAAGGATTGATTAAATAGATTGTTGTAATCAAATGTATAAAAATTCTAAAGGTTTTTATAATTAATTATTTATTATCTTTCTAAATATACTATAGTCGATTTTTCACATTAGAAAATAAGTTGTTTTGATACTATCTTTAGCTAAATTAAAAAATTTCTTTAGAATTTAATTTAGGAGCATTATGTTGTAAATCAAAATAAAGTGACAATTCCTCCTTAGCTACCATAAAATCAACAAACAGGAAAAACTTAATAGATGAGTTAAGTCTAAATTTTTGAAATAATAAGATTAAGATAAACAGTAAATGATTAATAAATCAATCTAAATCCTCATATCTTTTTTTTGAAGTAGCAAAAGCCAATATTTTAATATAATTTCTTTATTTAAATCATTTCTTAATTAAAATTTTAATTTTTTCTCCATATTGATCTCACCCTATGTCTCATCAATAATTCTTAAGGAATTAAGAAAAGGGCATAATTCAAATATTTATATGAAGTAAATTCTATAAATAATATCAGATAATTCGAATTTAGGAGTATACATATTGAATAATTGATGAGTAAATTATATAGAGCTAAAATATTTCTGGTTTAATTATAAAAGAGGGGTTCCTATTAGCCATAAAATAGAAGTTTAAAATATAGGATGAATTATTATTTTTTGTTGATAGACTTTGGTAATTTTCAAACTCTCACCTCTTAGAAGATTAAAACTTTGCAAAAAGGCAAAGTAAATGTTTTAGAGATTTAAATAACTTCAACATTTTATCATATGAATTTCAATTTTATTTAGAATTTAGCAATAAAAAAGATTTCCTCTTTTTATAATAACTGCTAAAGTTTTTACAATTCTGTACCATTTTTCCATGAAATCTTATGATTCTAATGGAACCAAATCTATTTTATTATAATACCTCCTCCATTCTAAAAAAATCTAAATAAATACATTTAAATGCGCTATTTAAAAATAATGCTTTTCTAGCTTAGAAAAAATAAACATCCTTTAAAATTATCCTACTCAAAAGCAATGTGTTAAATGTATAACTTTTGGAAGTTTCAAAGAGATTTTTGAAAATAGAGTTGGAGAAATTAGAATCAAATAGTTTTTCATAGAAATTAGGATAAAGTACAAGTTAAATAGTAATAGTAATACAATTGAAACTTTTGATTAAATCCGCAGTGTTTTTTTATTGATGCATTTTCTCCTCTTGTCAAAATTTGATTTTTAGTAATTGAATTAAAGTGATTGTTTTTTTAAATTAGTTTTAATATATATATAGTAATTAAAATCTATGCCCAAAATTGAAATTTTGTGATATTAGAACATTTAATATTTTATTATTTTTTTTGGATAAGAGTTTATTGGAAGTAAAATAAATTAGAAGTAAAATGAGAAATAGGTATATCCTTAATAACCAGATGAATCAATAATTTTCAGTATAAAAATAGAATTACTTATTGTATAAGAACATCAACTCTAAGTAGATAATTAATAATCAATTAATATTAATAATTATTCTATTTTAACAATCCTTAAATTTGATTTTCATCTTAAATTTCCATTTCCATTTGATCATAGTATTTATTAATGAATTTCTTATTTTTCATTTTAGTATCTTATTTAATTCAAAGTTTATCTATTAATCTAAACATGAAATAGCATATCTTAAGAACTAATTAATGGAGAAATCAGGACTGTTTAAATATAATTGCTTAATACTACCATGCTTAAATTTAGAATAACCAGGTTATAAATTTGAATTAAACGGAAGGATAACAAGAGTTTTTATCTTAATTTTTCGGTGGGTGGTATTCAATAATTGTTATTATCTACATTTAATGTTAAACCCTTTAGAAGACTTACAATCAATAGATTAAATTATACTTATAGAATGAATTCCTGTCATACGATATATTTAAATTCTTTTATTATTTTAATAATTCTTAATCGCAATTAAAGATGGAGTAGATTACAACTATATTTATTTTTCTATTTGTAATTAGATTTAATCTGTTCATTAAAAAATAGATTGAATAGAGTTGAACTGACTATAATATATATAGTGGAAATACTCTAATGAATTTACTTCTTAATTTAAATGTAGATAAATGATAGAATTAAGATTCTTAGATTAAGTTCCATTTATGTTTAATTATAACAAGTATGATAACTGTTAATATATAATTTAAATAAAATTAGAGAAATAATTTATGTAAATTATAATAACTATTCTTAATTACATAAGATTAATAATATTTCTTTAGTATTTTAAAAAAGAATCAAGAATAATTTCTTTTATGACTAATAGTTATTAGTTATCATTCTAATAATAACATAAAATTAACGCTATATAATTAAAAATGATTATTTCTAATATCTACTTTAAGTATAAATACTTTATTTCTACATTTCAATTTTTAGTTCTCATTATATTCTTTTAAATAGAAAAGAATTTAAAAATCTAAAATACTTGTAACCAATGGATTAATGAATAATTTTAGATTCACTATATTATGAAATTATATTAATCATAGTAGTATATATATTTAGTAAGATATGGTATATAGGAACTAATTATATGAATTCCTCTATTATTTTTACACTTATTTCTTATCTTAATAAAATTATATATTAATATATTAAATTGTAAATAGAACCAAATAATTTACAATGATTAATGTGCTAAGTATTAACTATCATATAGTTATCCAAAAGGAAAATGCATTGATTGAATATAAGAGATATAATCTATTTTATAAATGGTTAACTAATATAATATAATATAATTTACATCAAAGCTAATCAACTAAATATATTCTTCTTAATAAAAAATAGAATATAAAATATAATGATATAGGCACATCTATGATTGAATGATATTAAATGATAATTATTAGACTATTTAAAACACGTTTCTTGTAAACAAATCATTTATATTAAATATCGAAAGTGATGTAATAAAAGGAATTTGAAGAGACCATTGAAGAAGTAAAAACTATAAAGGCTATCACACCAAAGGTAGAGTGAATGTGTTAATTTTATAATAGGAAATTAAAAAGATTGTACGACCTTAATTTGAAGCTAATCCAGAGTTGTTCTATCCAACCAAGGTTTTTGATAAATTTGGGTTTAGTAGATGCAAATGTCCAAAATGTGGTGCATATTTTTGGAGACATACAGATAAAAAGACTACATGTGGAGATTCAAAGTAATAGAAGAAATCAATAAATTTTTTAGTTGTGAAGGAAAATATTCTTTTATTGGTGTAGGTACTGGTAAAGGGGCAAAAGGAAATAAAATAACATATGCTGATGCTTGGAATGGATTCAAGAAATCTTTAACAAGTGCAAGAGTACCATGCACAGCAATTGATAGATATCCAGTTGTGGCAAGATGGAGAAATGATGTTGATTATGTAGCAGCAGGAATCTATTGTTTCTAACCATTTTGTGTAACAGGTGAAATGGATCCACCAGCAAATCCATTAATTTGTCCATAATTTTGTGTTAGATTTAATGATCTAGACAATATTGGTTTAACAGGTAGACATTATTCAGGATTTATAATGCTTGGTATATAGACATTCAATTATCCTGATAAATATGTATTCTTTAAAGAAGAATGTGTTGAATTTAATTATAGATGGTTGACTGAAGAATTAGAAATTAATCCAGATGATATTACATTTATTGAGGATGTTTGGGCAGGTGGTGGAAATCTAGGTCCATCAGTAGAATACTTTGTAAATGGATTAGAAGTAGGAAATATGGTATTTATGTAATATAAATATTTCCATGATGGATCATATGAAGAATTACCTATTAAAATTATAGATACTGGAATTGGATTAGAACGTATACCTTGGTTAGTAAATGGTTCACCAACAAGTTATTTTGATGTATTTGCTGGAGCATTTGCATTTTTGGCATAAAAATTATAAGTTGAATATTCAAATGATGTTTGGAAAGCATTTGGACCATATAGTTGTTTATTGAATGTTGATGAGGTTGAAAATGTTGATAAGACATGGGAATTCATATCATCATAAATTGGATATGATGTTTAAACTATAAAGAGAGAAATTGAATAATTAAAAGATATGTATATCATTTTAGATCATACACGTACTGTTATGATGGTAGTAACTGATGGATCATTACCATCTAATGTTGGTGGTGGTTCTAATATTAGAAATATTATTAGAAGAGTATTTGCTGTTTTGAAGAAGAATAATTGGTGGGATAAATTAGGAATGGATGGATTATTATAATTATTTTAAGAACATAAAAATGATTTGGCTAAACTTTATGGTCCATTTGGTGAATATAAGAGTTTTGATTAAATTATTAAATAAGAATATGAAAGATGGGCAAAAACAGATGATGATAAGAAAGTTAAATTAGAAAAATTATTAAAATAAAAGAATAATTAATTAAGTATTGATGATTGGATATTTGCTATGAGTACACATGGAATACCAGCTGATACTATTAGTCAAATTAGTAAATTACCAATCCCTGGTAATTTATATGCTGAATTGGCAGATAGAGCAGCTAGAATTACTAAAGCACCTGAAGCTATTCTTTATAACACAGTTCATATACCAGAAACTACTAATTTATATTATCAAACACCTAAAGATGGTAAATTCTAAGCTAAAATTGTTACTATATTTAGTAATGTTTAATAATAGAATCTTCCTAATATAGTGATTTTGAATTAATCTGCATTTTATCCATTTGGTGGTGGATAAGAAAATGATTAAGGTTGGTTAACTATTTAAGGAGAAAGATATTTTGTTAATAATGTTTAGAAAGTAGGAAAGGCTGTGTTACATATTTTAGAAAAACCATTACCAAATGCAGTTGATACTTATGTTGGTTTAGATGTTTAAGCTGAAATAGATTTAGATAGAAGATCTATTTTGAGAAATCATCATACAGCTACTCATATTGTATTCGCAGCATGTAGAAGAGTACTTGGACCTCATGTTTGGTAGAATGGTGCTCATAAGAGTGTACATAATGCACATCTTGATATTACTCATTTTGCACCTTTAACAAAGGAGTAAGAATAAGCAATAGAGAATGAAGTCAATAAAATAATATTATCTGCAAAGTAAATCAATAAAGGATTTATGAATAAAGCAGATGCAGAAAAAGAATATGGATTTAGATTATATTAAGGTGGTATTGTACCAGGAAATGAATTAAGAGTTGTTAATATAGATGGAATAGATGTTGAAGCTTGTTGTGGTACCCATTGTGATAGCACATCAGAAGTAGGATGGGTTAGAATTCTTAAAACTTAAAAATTATAAGATGGTGTTGTTAGACTTTATTATGTTGCTGGAGTTAAGACTATTGAAGTTTTAAATTCAGAGGGAGAGATGATTAATTCATTAGTTAAATTATGGTCAATATCTAAGAATTAATTGGTTGAAGAAGGTAGCAAGATATTCTAAGAGAAGAAACATTATGAATCTGCTTATAATGTATCATATCATTATAATAATTATATTAGTAACTTAAGGCTGAATTGATCAAATCATAAATGAAATATGTTATTGATGGTCCAAATTAAAGAACACTTATTCAATCAAATGAATAAAATCCAACTGCTTATTTCAGTGAAATTGGAAAGTATATCCAATAACTCAAAGATTCCAAGAAAGGTTTATTGTTTGTTGCTGACACTTTCATTTATGGAGCCTTTGGTGAGAATAATTTCAATGTAGAAGAGTTGAGTAAATAAATAGAGGAAGAAGGATAATAATTGAAAATGAATAAGTAGAATAAGATTAGTGTTAAAGATGGAAAGGTATAATAAATATAATTATAAATTAATAGAAAACTATCTAAGTTAATGATGTGTTAACATTCTCTATCTTAGGTAAATTCAATAAGAATAAAGCAACAAAGTATCTTAAAGAGCAAGGTTTTGCTTAATTTTGAGATAATATATATATATATGGATAATAAATATAATCTTAAATAATCAAAAAATATAAAGAAGATGTAATAAATCTCTTTAAAATTTGATATTGTTATTTAAAAAATTCATTTATTTAATGATGGTAATTGCACTTTCTATTTTTTGCTATAATCTGTTTTTTCTGCTGTATTGAGATCAAGTGACATAATTTTCAATGCCATAGATTTTTCATAATTATCCTATACTTAACCTGCATTTGGACGTGTTAATAAATTATTTAAACTATTATATTAATTAATTATTTATACGTGCTCTTAGACCATTTCTCTTAATAAGTGGTTGTCCAATGTTAAGATGTAGCTAAATCAGATTAACGCATCTTAATAATTAATATTTATATACTTTGAGTTCATAATCTGTCTAATTTAATCGATTGATAAATGATTATTCATATTTATATTTAAGATCTCTATTTTAAACAGTGATTTTGATGAATCCAAAATCTATATTTAAATTATGTCCTAATCTAGTTAGATCATGAATTGCCTTTATCAATGAATTATGTATACATTATACAACATCCTTACCTAAATAACTGATATTATAAATATAATTCATTACCAAGATGCAGCAATAGGACCAGCATTACAGAAATTCATTCCAAATCCTTTTTGATAAATGGAATGTTAACTCAATGGTTTTGTTATTTCCTCTTTTCCAGGATAACGAGCCAAGAAATATTTAAAAGAATTGTCAGGAACAAAACATGGTCTAGATCTATAATAATAATTATCTACCTTATCTAATGAATATGTTTTCTCTCTGCTCTTTAAATACCCAAATCTTGAGTCATATTAAATCCTGAATGTTAGAGTGGTTTAACATAATCTGAATTAACTTCCATTGTAAATGCTCCTAATTCTTTCATATTGACACCCTAAAGTAATCAATTTTTAATGTTACATTTCCATTTAGCATTTTATCTTTGATATACTCTGCAGTAGCCTTAATCACTATATGAAATTAAGCTTTTGCTTCAAGTGGTTTATAAGATGGAATAGTTCTTGGTTAGGATTCTTGATGTTTTCCTGGATAATTTTGACTATGACTAAGGATCCTGTAATTTGAATGCATATATATACCAATTATAGATATCGTCAAGGTTCATGAAACTGATTTTTATGTATATTATATATTAATAATCATAAGAAATAATCAGGTACTCTTTTTGGAACAGATTCATTTTCTGATCTAGGTGCTGGATCAAATGTAATACTATTATAATAATGATTATAAAGTACAATGTTTATCTTAGATTTTCATCAACTTCCATAATTCCAGCTTGATTACCACATCTATAACAGTAATTAGGTGCAGAGAATATAGTTACAACATTTCTATCGTGAGCTAATGAATAACCCTATGATTAAGTATGTTTATTATACATCCATAATTAATTGATGTGCTCTTGCAATCATCTTTAATTTGTTATTATGATTAAATTATTCAGAGATATCTTATCCAAAAGTATATCCAGCCCCTCTTGGAGATATTCCCCATCCAGATCTATCATCAGGATCGCTCCATAATAAATCACACATTGGTCCTTCATGAGGTACTTCTTAAACTCTATCTAACTATCGAATATGATCCAAAGTGTCAATTGAAGGTGATATACCACCATGTAGACAGAAAAACTGTTGAATTATTTGATAAAATACTTGAGATTCAACAACTGCAGTTCAGGGTAAGTAATCAAAGAGTTCAGTGAAGTATTTCCATACATTACTATTACCATACTTTCTTGAACATTCATCATAGAAACCATAAACTTATGTTATTTATCTTGATTCATGATTTCCTCTTAAGATTGTAATTCTATCTCTATGACGAATCTAATTATTATTATATGTATAATACTTTTAATAAAACAAGTAAAGTAACACATTCAACTGAATGATGTCCTCTATCTACATAATCACCCATGAATAAATAATTTGTATCCTTAATTGAAAATGATTCATTACTGGTGCTTTACCACCTATTTTGAATAATTCCATCAGATCATGGAATTGCCCATGAATGTCACCAAATATGATCACTGGAGCTCTGACAGGTTATACATTTGATTCTTCAATTAAAACTTCTTTTGCCTATAAAAGAAAAATATAATTTGTTAAAAAATTAAACCTTTTCACATAATAGTTTGACATCTTATTCAGGAAGAGGTTTGCATTAGTATAAATGTTATATCTAATTATCAAGATTATTTGCCTCTGGAGTTGTAATTTTAGAAGACATTTAATTTAATTTTTGAATCAACAGGAGAATATTTAAGTAATTTATAAAAGAAAATTTAATAACATTGTATTACTATGAATATTGGAGTAGAAATTGATAAATAATTAAAACTACTAATAAAATAAAATAAATTATATTGTAGTGATTTATTAAAATTATCCATAAAGAGAGTAGGAAATAATATTGTTTCTATAAGTGATAGAATAATGAAGGTTGTAATAATGATTGAAATATAACATATAACACTTAAATAACATTTGAAAAGAATATTAAAATAATCACAGTTGTAATTATATAAATTTTGAAATAATTGTGGAGATCAATAACTTATCATAATTATTAAATAAGTAAATTGATAAGAATTAATTAATTATATATATATCATGATTTCAAATAAATGCAATAATAAAAAAGAATGTTGATTATTCTTGTAATCTATAAAATTTTAAATTAGATTAGTTCATGTCAGTTATTTTATTTCCTGTAGATTAGAAAACTTATAGCAATACAATAACATTGTAATTTTAGATTATTCTATAAAATAATATAAATATTTATATTTTTGTATAAAATACTAAGTATTTAATACATTTTTAAATTTAATTTACTTTATAAAATTGTACNACATCCATAATTAATTGATGTGCTCTTGCAATCATCTTTAATTTGTTATTATGATTAAATTATTCAGAGATATCTTATCCAAAAGTATATCCAGCCCCTCTTGGAGATATTCCCCATCCAGATCTATCATCAGGATCGCTCCATAATAAATCACACATTGGTCCTTCATGAGGTACTTCTTAAACTCTATCTAACTATCGAATATGATCCAAAGTGTCAATTGAAGGTGATATACCACCATGTAGACAGAAAAACTGTTGAATTATTTGATAAAATACTTGAGATTCAACAACTGCAGTTCAGGGTAAGTAATCAAAGAGTTCAGTGAAGTATTTCCATACATTACTATTACCATACTTTCTTGAACATTCATCATAGAAACCATAAACTTATGTTATTTATCTTGATTCATGATTTCCTCTTAAGATTGTAATTCTATCTCTATGACGAATCTAATTATTATTATATGTATAATACTTTTAATAAAACAAGTAAAGTAACACATTCAACTGAATGATGTCCTCTATCTACATAATCACCCATGAATAAATAATTTGTATCCTTAATTGAAAATGATTCATTACTGGTGCTTTACCACCTATTTTGAATAATTCCATCAGATCATGGAATTGCCCATGAATGTCACCAAATATGATCACTGGAGCTCTGACAGGTTATACATTTGATTCTTCAATTAAAACTTCTTTTGCCTATAAAAGAAAAATATAATTTGTTAAAAAATTAAACCTTTTCACATAATAGTTTGACATCTTATTCAGGAAGAGGTTTGCATTAGTATAAATGTTATATCTAATTATCAAGATTATTTGCCTCTGGAGTTGTAATTTTAGAAGACATTTAATTTAATTTTTGAATCAACAGGAGAATATTTAAGTAATTTATAAAAGAAAATTTAATAACATTGTATTACTATGAATATTGGAGTAGAAATTGATAAATAATTAAAACTACTAATAAAATAAAATAAATTATATTGTAGTGATTTATTAAAATTATCCATAAAGAGAGTAGGAAATAATATTGTTTCTATAAGTGATAGAATAATGAAGGTTGTAATAATGATTGAAATATAACATATAACACTTAAATAACATTTGAAAAGAATATTAAAATAATCACAGTTGTAATTATATAAATTTTGAAATAATTGTGGAGATCAATAACTTATCATAATTATTAAATAAGTAAATTGATAAGAATTAATTAATTATATATATATCATGATTTCAAATAAATGCAATAATAAAAAAGAATGTTGATTATTCTTGTAATCTATAAAATTTTAAATTAGATTAGTTCATGTCAGTTATTTTATTTCCTGTAGATTAGAAAACTTATAGCAATACAATAACATTGTAATTTTAGATTATTCTATAAAATAATATAAATATTTATATTTTTGTATAAAATACTAAGTATTTAATACATTTTTAAATTTAATTTACTTTATAAAATTGTACGGATAAACAAATAATTTTATAATTCGAAAAGTAGACTCAAATAATAATTGGAAATATTTGCTAAATTATATAAAATATATTAAATTTATTATTTATATATGGATCAAATAATATTACAAAATTGTTATCAATAAGAACAATATCCTAGAAAGTCAGAAACAAATGGTGAAATATTTACATGTAGTTAATATTTGTACAAATCTAAATTATCATAAAATTAATAGATAATCTTGAATGGAATACAAATAGAGTCAAACTTTTAGAGTATTGTCCAAAAGATCTTATTAAATATTAGATTGAAAATCTTTATTTAGATTGTAAGCGCATAAATCCAGAACTGAAGATTTAAAAATTATGGATTTATATTTCTCACATTGAGATACAGTTAAATGATCTTAGAATCTCTGATATGATAATCAAATTCCAACTCCCAAAACTTAATTGTATGGTTCTCCTAAATATATGGATCCCATTATGTATTTGGTGATGTTGGATTTTAAGAGAAATTTCATTTATGGTTTATGGGAGCAATATTAATTTATATTTTCAAAATTATATATTGAATATAAATTAATAAGATATCAATATAAAAGCTAAGAAGAATAAGTATGCAGCTAAATTAGAAATTGTATAGGAAATGATCAATTAATTATTAATTTAATTACCATTCTCTGAATAATTAAAATAATTATTAGATAAAGTATTGAAAGTAGATCACAATAAAAGATTTGGATGGAATTAACTATTTAAAAATGGATTAAATAATTATTCGAATCAATACTTCAAGAATAAATTTAATATTAGGGTAATAGAAAGAAACTAATAAGATTACCATATTAAATGAATAAAGAATTTTTCTCTGCAGAACCCATTTTGACTAAAACATTATATAATATTATTAACAAAGGAAAGTAAAGATCTTTCAACAGTTATGGAAATTTTGAAATGCTTATTAAAATGAATTCAAGAATGAAAATTTTATGAATAATTGGTAAAATTTTGAGAAATGCAAATATTTATTGCATCTAAGTTCTATCATTATGCTTTATCATTAAAATAAGATATTTACTTGAAATACTCTTAGATCTGATGATGATTAATGGAAACCAATAAAATCAAAAGATTTATAGGAGAATTCAATTATAAAAAGAATATTTATTTGAAGATGTAATTAAGAATTTATATGAAAAAGTCTAGAATCAAGAATTTTTGACCGAATGAAACCAATACCAAATGAATTTTATGATTGTAACACATAATTAGAATTCACAGAATAATAAAGATATTATTTTTATACGATAAAATGAATGCTACTAATCGTCCTGATTGTCATGATAAACCATACTTTTATCATATCTACTGAAATTTATAAAGGTTTTAATCAATAGTTATGATAAGGATGGAGTCTAAATTTTAAGTGATATTTTTATTTCTTATCAATTAGAGGAATTCTTTTAGAATTGCACACACAATATAAAATATATAATTACTTATACAGAACAAAATAAAGAAGGATTTTATGCTAAATTGAAAAGATATTTATAATTCAATAATTGAGTAGTGAATATTATTCAACAGCATTATTTCTTCTTTTTAGATGATTCTGGCTATGTTTCCTTCTTTAACACATAAACATCATTGATTCCTAATTAAGTTTAACTTATTGGTTTCTATGCTGATACAATTTTATATATTTCTATATTAATTAAATTTAATTATTTACCTGTAACCATCTGATTGAATGCTATATCTACATTTGTATTATTTAGTGCTGATGTCTCTATGTATCCTACCTTATTTTACTCACAGAATTAAGATACTTCATCAGTCCTTACAATCTTCATCAATTATATACAAATACTCTCTATTCTGCCAAATCTATTTTGTTGCCTACCAACATTATTACTATTTCAGGATCCCCATATTACTTTATTTCACTCATCCATCTTAATGTTGATTCATATGTTCCCTATTTTGTTACATCATAACAAACGAAAACTCCCTTTGCTCCCCTATAATAAGCACTAGTTATTGCTCTAAATCTAATAATTATTTCAATATCACTTACTTCTCTTATCCTGCTGTATCCCATATTTAACACTTTATCAAATTCCCATCCTATCTCACCGTTTTATTTAGGAATTCTACGCCTATAGTTGGTCGAGTATCATATTAAAAATCCTTATTTTACAATCTATTGAATAAGTTAGTCTTCCCCACTCCGGAATCACCTAACCGTTAATTATTGGCATTACCAATCAATATTATTTTGAACAAATAGCTAAATTCATCATCCATCATATTTAATTTATTTTTATATTATTTAATATTATTATTATCAAAAAGAAGCTCTCTTGCTTTATACCTTATTCTTATTATACAATTTATATTCAACATCAGATTGATTGATATTCTTAATCATCCATTTCTATTCCATATAAATTATTACAGCTTATAATTCAATCTTGATGGTTTTAATATATATTAAATTTTATGTTAATAATAATATAACAAAATAATATTTCAAGGGGATTTCATATTCAATTTGTAAATCATGCAAATTATCAAGAATATATAACTATACATATTAATAATATTTTTATCCGTCAATCTTAAAACAGCTATTGTCAAATAGGCATATTAATCAATAACTTTATTTGAATTATTTTTAATATTTGTTTGTCTATTAAATAAATAAATAATCAAATTATAACTTTCAAAAAAGATATTAAATTTATAATTAAATTTTATTTATTATTCTAATATTTATATAAATTCTATCAATAAGNCTGATTGTCATGATAAACCATACTTTTATCATATCTACTGAAATTTATAAAGGTTTTAATCAATAGTTATGATAAGGATGGAGTCTAAATTTTAAGTGATATTTTTATTTCTTATCAATTAGAGGAATTCTTTTAGAATTGCACACACAATATAAAATATATAATTACTTATACAGAACAAAATAAAGAAGGATTTTATGCTAAATTGAAAAGATATTTATAATTCAATAATTGAGTAGTGAATATTATTCAACAGCATTATTTCTTCTTTTTAGATGATTCTGGCTATGTTTCCTTCTTTAACACATAAACATCATTGATTCCTAATTAAGTTTAACTTATTGGTTTCTATGCTGATACAATTTTATATATTTCTATATTAATTAAATTTAATTATTTACCTGTAACCATCTGATTGAATGCTATATCTACATTTGTATTATTTAGTGCTGATGTCTCTATGTATCCTACCTTATTTTACTCACAGAATTAAGATACTTCATCAGTCCTTACAATCTTCATCAATTATATACAAATACTCTCTATTCTGCCAAATCTATTTTGTTGCCTACCAACATTATTACTATTTCAGGATCCCCATATTACTTTATTTCACTCATCCATCTTAATGTTGATTCATATGTTCCCTATTTTGTTACATCATAACAAACGAAAACTCCCTTTGCTCCCCTATAATAAGCACTAGTTATTGCTCTAAATCTAATAATTATTTCAATATCACTTACTTCTCTTATCCTGCTGTATCCCATATTTAACACTTTATCAAATTCCCATCCTATCTCACCGTTTTATTTAGGAATTCTACGCCTATAGTTGGTCGAGTATCATATTAAAAATCCTTATTTTACAATCTATTGAATAAGTTAGTCTTCCCCACTCCGGAATCACCTAACCGTTAATTATTGGCATTACCAATCAATATTATTTTGAACAAATAGCTAAATTCATCATCCATCATATTTAATTTATTTTTATATTATTTAATATTATTATTATCAAAAAGAAGCTCTCTTGCTTTATACCTTATTCTTATTATACAATTTATATTCAACATCAGATTGATTGATATTCTTAATCATCCATTTCTATTCCATATAAATTATTACAGCTTATAATTCAATCTTGATGGTTTTAATATATATTAAATTTTATGTTAATAATAATATAACAAAATAATATTTCAAGGGGATTTCATATTCAATTTGTAAATCATGCAAATTATCAAGAATATATAACTATACATATTAATAATATTTTTATCCGTCAATCTTAAAACAGCTATTGTCAAATAGGCATATTAATCAATAACTTTATTTGAATTATTTTTAATATTTGTTTGTCTATTAAATAAATAAATAATCAAATTATAACTTTCAAAAAAGATATTAAATTTATAATTAAATTTTATTTATTATTCTAATATTTATATAAATTCTATCAATAAGTATGATTTTTAATCAATACTTATTGATACATAATCAAAAAAAAAAATTTTTATAATTAATAATAATTTTTCCCTATATAAATGTAAAAAAATCATTCTCATCAGAACATGAGATATCCTAATATGACTGTTGATAATCCAAGAATATATCCTGAATCGGTTGTTGTTTAATTATTTGTATTGTTTGTATTATTATCTGTATTATTTGGTTAAACAACAGGTGCAGTGCAAACTCCACATTTGCTTGTTGATGCATTCCATGTGTATGTATATCCAGAAACCAAGAAACAATCATTTGATGATAAAGTTGATGGGTCTGTTGCTGTACATGTTCCACTAACAAGTGTACAAACTTATTAAGTCTTTTTATCCCAATTCAAGAATCTTGTACAAGCTCCATTAGTTGCTTAATTTGTAGCACAAGTATGAGTGGCACATTTACTAGGAACAGCAGTTGCACCAGTTCCTGATGCTGCAGTCCATGAGCATCTATCTCTGGCTTATTAACAAGCAACTTAATCATTATTAGCAGTGGTACATGCTGTCATTAATGCACAAGTTCCAGTACCAGCAGCAGCTCCTGTAGCAGTTGATTAAGTGAATACACAAATACCATCTAATCCACCTGAATTACATGCTGTCTTAGTTTTATAAGTTGAGCAATTAGCTTTTGTGATACAAGTTGTTCCATCTGAAACACATGATGACAAAGCTACTGAACAAACATTGGTTGCCGTACCATTTTGAATATCAGAACAAGCTAATAATCTACATTTAGCTGTGTTATTATTTGTAGCAGATGCAAGTTCCCAATAGCAAGTTCCATCAGATCCAACAGCAGTTGTGCAGGCAGTTTAAGTTGTGTATGATGAACATGCTCCTTTGACTAAACATGTTGTTCCATCAGATGTACATGTTGATAATTATGAAGAACATGCTGCATGATTTGTTCCAGTCAAATCAGCACATGATTAATCTCTGCAACTACTAGCTGTTGCATCCCATGTACAAATACCAGTTGATGTGATGACTCCAGATGTATAAATGACACCTTTATCATTGAAAACGCATCCTGCTTATGAAGTATAAGATGAACAAGCACCTAATGCAATACAACCAGTAGTTCCATTTGTTGTACATTTACTACTAGCAATTTAACAATCTGAATGAGTTGTATAGAAAGCATCAGCACAAGATGTATATGGTTTACAAACCTTTGGATCAGAAGAATTCAAAGCTGGTACTGATTATATACAAGCTCCATCATATCCTGTAACACATCCACCATCAGTATTAGTTTCAGAACATAAAGTAATACCAACACAATTAGATCCATTTGTTGTACATTAATTACTTATCCATTTACATTATCTATCAGAATTCCAAGTCAAACTCTTACATGAAGTATATCTGAAACAAGCTCCTTTAGATCCATCAGAGTTAACAAAGTCATTAACCCATAAACATGGTCCATTAGTTCCTTCAATACAAGCACTTCTCAAAGTAGTTTATTCGCAATTTTAAACTCTAGCACATTTTCCATTAGCTCCAACAGTACATCCAGCTCTTTAACCTTAACATGCAGCATGAGTTGTACCACTAAAATCTTAACAATCTTTGTCTCTACATTTATTTTGTTCGCTATCCCAAGCACAAATAGTTCCATTAAGAGCAGTTGTACAAGCAGCATCAACAGTAACAGCTGCACAAGTTGATTTAGTAACACATCCACCTCCATTCTTTGTTGTGCAATTAGTGAAATAAGCTGCACAAGCTGCTTCAGATGTTAAAGTAACTGGGGCAGTATTACATGTCTTTACTGTACAATAGGCTTAATTATTGCCAACAGCTGGCATCCATTCACATTATTGATTTGTTGCTGAAGTAACACAACCAGCTTAACTCATTGCTTAGAAGCAAGTTCCTCTTGTGACACAATTTGTTCCATTTGTTGTACATGTACTTATAGCTTATCTACATAAAGCGTCAGTGGCAAAAGCAAAATCTTCACAAACCTTTGTCTTACATTTAACTGTATCCAAAGTGCATCCAGCCAAATAAGTATTACATTCATCAGGAGATGCAGTTGCTTCTGGAGCATTATCACAAGATCTTGTAATACAACCAGTTCCGTTCCAATAGCATAATCTACCAGACTTATCACTAACACATTATTTTTCTACCATAGTTTCACATGTATCTGGTATTTCAACACATCCTTATCCTGATTCTGCCACTGTACATTTATTATTGAAATAAGCTCTGCATTTATTATTATCATCATAATCAGCAGTTGCAGGTGCAGTAGCACATGACTTATCTGCACATTAAGTACCATTCCATCCACAAGCATCTCCAGAAGCATTGAATTTGCATTATTCTTAATGGATATAAGTAGCACAAGCTGCTGTCTATTGACAACCTCCGAGAACTGGTGCACCACCATTTGCATCTGCTGTGGCAACTACTGTACATTTAATAGTGTTGGTCGAAAAATAGGTATTACAATCATCATGTGTTGCTGTTGCAGTTGGGGCAGTACTGCATGATTTATCTTAACATGCTGGTTAGGCTAAATTTGTGTTCCAAACACAAGCACTTCCACTTGCATTAGTTTTGCATTAATCCTCAATTTAATAAGAACTGCAGGCTCCTCTAGTCATACAACCAGGGACAGCAGCTGCATTTGTAGCTCTAACTGTACAATTTGAATCAACTGTTGAGCATTTAGTATGAGTATCATATAAAGATGTCTATTCAATATTTCCACAACTGAAATCAACACAAGTCTTATTTGTTGCATTCCAGAAACATCTTCCTCCACTTGTATTGAATTTACATTATTGATTTGATCTATATGTTGAACAAGCAGCTCTTGGTTAACAACCTCCTACCCTTGCAACTGTGCATGTAGATAGATAATTTGTACATAGAGTATTAGTAGTAAAGCTTGCAACTGGTGAAGCTGTGTCACATGTTTTTCTAACACAAGAAGTTCCTGAAACAACACATTCCCCTTCAACTGCCCTAATGCATGATGCTTGAGTCTAAATGGCACAAGTGGCTGGCATTGATATGCATGCATCTCCTGCTAAATTCACAGTACAAGAAGGCAACCAAGTATTACAATTAGAATGATTAAAAGTTCCTGTGAAGTTAGAGCATGCCTTAGTTTAACATCCTGTGTTATTTAAATTTGTGCAAGTATCTTTAAATTAATTACATTTTTCATGTGTGTAATTGCCAGTTCCTAAATATAAAGCATCGCAAGTTGTTGATGCTGTTAGGGCAACACATGAATTATCTAAATTATTACTAATACAGAGTCCAGCAGTAGATCTAAAACAATTAGCAATAGTTGCTGAATATCCTGAACACTATGCTTGTATTGGGATGCAACTACTTCCATCCCTCTTTACACTACAAGATGCACTAAAAGCTTGACAATTTGTCCAACTTGGATTTAAAACCGTTTCACAAGTGTATGTAACACAGGCAGTTCCACCAGAATTAACAGTGCAAGAAGTACTGTAACTTTAACAAGTAGCATGGGTAGCACTTGTTAATCCTGTAACAGCGTTGCAATTTGCTGATGTAATATCTAAACATGCAGCATCAACAGCAGGAGGACCAGTAACAGCAGCTCTCCAACGGCATAACAAACCATCAGTTCTTCTTGTACAACTAGTTTCAGTTGTTCCATATCCTGCACAAGTTGCTTATAATGTAATACAGGCAGTTCCACCAGAATTAACAGTGCAAGAAGTACTGTAACTTTAACAAGTAGCATGGGTAGCACTTGTTAATCCTGTAACAGCGTCGCAATTTGCTGATGTAATATCTAAACATGCAGCATCAACAGCAGGAGGACCAGTAACAGCAGCTCTCCAACGGCATAACAAACCATCAGTTCTTCTTGTACAACTAGTTTCAGTTGTTCCATATCCTGCACAAGTTGCTTACAATGTAATACAGGCAGTTCCACCAGAATTAACAGTGCAAGAAGTACTGTAACTTTAACAAGTAGCATGGGTAGCACTTGTTAATCCTGTAACAGCGTCGCAATTTGCTGATGTAATATCTAAACATGCAGCATCAACAGCAGGAGGACCAGTAACAGCAGCTCTCCAACGGCATAACAAACCATCAGTTCTTCTTGTACAACTAGTTTCAGTTGTTCCATATCCTGCACAAGTTGCTTACAATGTAATACAGGCAGTTCCACCAGAATTAACAGTGCAAGAAGTACTGTAACTTTAACAAGTAGCATGGGTAGCACTTGTTAATCCTGTAACAGCGTCGCAATTTGCTGATGTAATATCTAAACATGCAGCATCAACAGCAGGAGGACCAGTAACAGCAGCTCTCCAACGGCATAACAAACCATCAGTTCTTCTTGTACAACTAGTTTCAGTTGTTCCATATCCTGCACAAGTTGCTTACAATGTAATACAGGCAGTTCCACCAGAATTAACAGTGCAAGAAGTACTGTAACTTTAACAAGTAGCATGGGTAGCACTTGTTAATCCTGTAACAGCGTCGCAATTTGCTGATGTAATATCTAAACATGCAGCATCAACAGCAGGAGGACCAGTAACAGCAGCTCTCCAACGGCATAACAAACCATCAGTTCTTCTTGTACAACTAGTTTCAGTTGTTCCATATCCTGCACAAGTTGCTTATAATGTAATACAGGCAGTTCCACCAGAATTACCAGTACATGTAGTATTCTTTGTTTAACATGCTGCATGATCAAGCCCAGACCCTGCAGTTATAGCAGCACAAGAAAATGTGCAAGCATCTGTTTCTGTAGCACTTACTGTATTAGTGCAACCTTCTTTAATAGATTAGCATTAAACTTGTGTGCCTGTAAAGGTTGAGCATGCACCTTGAAGTTATGTATTAGAAAAGCATTTTTCATATTCAGATTTCCAAGTACAATCATTTGAGTTGGCTGTTAATGTTTTCACACATTAAGCTTCTGATGCATAGTCACTGCAATTAGCTGATCTTGTCACACATCCTTATCCTCCAGTTTTATATAAAACTGTACATGTTTCGCTTGGTGTTGGATAATTTGAACACTCTGAATCATCATCAAAATCATCACTATCTAATGCATCTGCACAAGTTGCATTTCTACAAGCTGATCCAGTCCATATGCAACTTTTTCCGCTAGCAATTTTTACACAATTTTCAGCTGATCCATAAGAAGTACAAGCAGTAGCTAATGCTTAACAAGCTGTTCTACCATTATTAACTGTGCATGTATTCAAAACATTTTAACAACCAATATGAGTAGTTTAAGTGATATTAGTGCAAGTTCTATCAACACAATTACTACCATTCCAATAACAATCTCCATTTGCTTTTGATCCAACTTAACAATTTTAAGAATTTAATCCTGAACAACTTGAGGGCTTAACAACACATCCTGTTTAATCATTGTTTGAAATGCATGGCCTTGAATTATTTGTACATACTCCTTAAGCATTAGTGGCTGTGCATACTGATAAATAATTTTGACAATTGTTGAAACTAAATGCTATTAGTACTCCTGGTAATCCTGCAACACTAGCAGTGGCACAAGACTTCTCAACACATGTGGATGTAGTGGTATTCCATAAACATGTTGGCAATCCAGTTCTTGAAATTTCACAATTTTCAATTGATCTTCTAGCAGCACAAGTTGTTGGTAAATCTTAGCATCCTGAAATTGATCCATTTACTGGATTATTAGCAACACAACCTGATTTGTAATTGCCGCATTCAGTTGTTGTTGATGATGTTCTAGGAGCAGTTGAACAAGCTTTATCAATACATTATGAACCATTCCAACCACATGCTTAGTATGATTTAACTCCATTTGTAACTTATAATCTAACATTGCATGCAGATTCAATAGTAATAGCTTCACATTTAAGTGGAATAGGAACACATCCAGCGCCAGTATTACTCAAAGTACAACTAGAATCATAATTTTAACAATCTGCATGGGTTGCTGAGGTTGATGAAGCTAATACACATTCTTTTTTATAGCATTTTCCTTTCCAAATACAGGCTTTGTTGTTCAAATCTTTATCACAAATAGTTTATGTCAATGAATTTTCGCATGTTTTCTCTACACAACCAGCATTTGTTGAATTTACAGTACAAGTTGATAAAAAGGCAACACATAAATCATGAGTAGTATTAGTTGATGGAGCATTTGTACAAATCTTATCCTTACAATTTCCATTATCCCAGAAACAAGTAGCTCCAGAGGAATTCTTGATACAAGCAGCTTCTAAAGTTATTGCAGCGCATGTAGTATTTGTTACACATCCACCTCCTGTCTTTGTGATACAATTATTATTTGGTAAATATGCTTCACATGCATCATTAGTTGTTAATGTTGTTGGAGCATTTGCACAAGTTCTAGGTTAACATCCACCTCCTGCTTTGACAGTACATGTAGATAAGTATGATGTACACAATTCATGAGTATTATTAGTTGTTGGTGCATTGGCACAAGTCTTTTCTTTACATGTTGTATCCCAAATACAATCAGTTCCTGAAGAGTTTTTAACACAAGCAGCTTAGACATTGGCAGCTGAACAAGCTCCATTAGATACACAACCTCCTCCTGATTTAGTAATACATCCTGTTACAAATCCAGCACAAGCAGAATTAGTTGTCATAGTAGTTGGTGCATTTGTACATATCTTATCAACACATGCAGTTCCAGTCCAATAACAATCACCACCTGAACTATTTTTAATACAAGCAGCTTAGATAGTTGCAGCTGCACAAGTAGTTCTAGTAATACATCCTCCATTAGGTTTAGTTGTACATGTTCCATCAGTTCTAAAGGTTTTACATGTTTCATCAGTTGTCAATGTTGTTGGTGCATTATCACAAATTCTATCTTTACATGCTGCTCCATCCCAATAACATGCAATTGATCTTAATTTATTCCAAACACATTAAATTTCTAATGTTTAATCACTACAATTATTTCCACTATCAACACATCCACCTCCAGTTTTAGTTGTACAAGTTGATATTACATCTCTACATTCTTTATCTGTAACAAATGTAATTGGTAATCTATCACAATTATTAGCATCTACACAAGTATTATTTGTTGTATCCCAATAGCACAAGCTTCCAGCTGCGTTTTTGACACAAGGAAGTTGTTTCTTGTATGTGCTACAAGCATCGACTTCAACACAATGAGTTCCATCTGTAATACATCTATTACTAATTGCTTAACATTCAGGATCTGTTGTTTTTGCAAAGGCTGTGCATCCTGTGAAATGTGTGCATTTTCCTCCAACCCAGGCACAGGCAGCATAGCTACCACAATCTGTGCAAGGTTTAGCTTTTGGACAATCTGCTTCTGCAAAAGAATCACAATATGCTGCATAAGACACTGTTGGAGTGACGGGAGTAGTTGAAACTGCACAAGATTTCTTTGTGCTATCCCAAGAACATCCAAGTGAAGTATTTTTTATACAATCTCCTTCTGATAATAACTATGCACATGTGCATGATGTTATACTGTAAGTCTGACTTGTTGCTAAGGCAAGCAACAATGTTAATATGATGAATTATTTATTCATTAAAAGTATTATTTGTTATTTCATGTTATATTCCAGTTAAATTAATCCAAAAAAATTTAATAATTTTCGTAATTTTAATACATCATATTTTTTAATTAAAAGTAGTAGCAAAATTTAATAATTGAGTTAATTAACAACATTAATTTTAATATTATAACTCTGAGGATTGAGTAAATGAGAAAGGGAAGCATACGATATCGAATATCAAGTTGATCAATATATCATTGATAAGGAATTAGTGTTAATAATTGTCTATACTTTCTCAAATTTTAAAGAAATTGATAAATTATGCAAATGCAACAATAGCAAAAGTCACTTTAACCATTATTATATAAACTTATGTAGAAGCCTTGAAACTATTTTTACAGATATTCTTTAGGTAAAAAAAAAAAAAAGCAAAATGACAATGACAATGAAAAAATAATCATAAAAACACTCAATACTTAATAAAATAGTTGAAATTAAGCTCAAAAAACTTATGTTCCTTTTTTATATTAAGAAATATAAAATTTTTCATCTGTTCAATAATCGCTCTTATTATTTTAAATTCATACTAATAATCAGACCAAGTAACCCTAATGTTCGAGGATAAAATTAAACAATTCATAATAGAAGAATAGAAACATACAAAAAAATACTAACGTAATAACATACTAACATACTAACGTATAACATACTAACATGCTTTTTAAAATCAGTTTAAATTTAAAGAAACATAAATTTTCTTATAAATTAATAAAATATGATCAAAGACTTGCTTGATTGCTCCCTCTTTAAAACTAGCTTTCAATTTAAATAGTAGCTTTTATGTACATGAGCTATTTTGAAAGCATCTTTTTAAAATTCTAGAATATTCTTAAAAATAGCAATTATTTACTAATAATTTAATTTAAGATAATGGGATTAACACTAAATAAAATATTATGCAATTAAAATATCTATTTTTATAAAAACCATGGTTAATGAAGAAATTTTCCTTCTTTTATTAGTTATATTTTATTAAATAATAATTTGAGTTAAATTCTAAAAGGAGGAGATTTATAATGAATACCTGGTGTTTAGTGGCTAATATATTCAAAAAATGTTGCTTTATACTTGAAAGTATGTATTTTTGGTTGTGAATTCTTTAATTTTTAGTTTTCAAACACTGTTTTTGAATAGTACATTTTCTGTTTAAATTATATTAATTCTTGTATTCTAAGATTATGAATAATTTTCTGTATGTTAAAATAAAATAAAAAATACTGTTGAAATTAAAACTATCAATATAATTGTGCACGGTGATTCTTTCATTGTATTTTAGGAGGAAATAAGGAATTTCAATTCATTTATTTAATAATCATTTATTTTCCTGATACTTCAGAATCTAGATTATGGAATAAAAGATTCAATCAAGGCTTGATCTCTGTACGTTTAAAATAATAAGAAATATGATTAATAAAACATTGTAATAACATTAAAGATGATTAATTTTCTTAAGAATGTATATATTTTCTAAAATAATATGCATAAATCTTAAACGATTTATGCATATTATCATTAAAAAAAACTTCAAAAATTGACCCTAATGTGTTCGAATCGCACAAAAATTCAATAGTACTAATGTTATAATTTTTAACACTAATACAAAATTCTTAGAATTTTTTAAATATTTTTGAGAGGAAATCAATTTTTGTTTACATTTGCTTTCTTGTTTAAACTTTGGTTACTTCATCTTCATCTTTCACTTACAAATTATCATAACGCTTCTAATATCATTAATTATAATGATATTGGTGGACTATAGTTAATTGTGCAAAAAATAGTCTTACAAACATCCTTGATCAATTCTTAAAATTTTTTTGAATGAATGTTCCCTTGCTTAGAATTTACTGATGTCTTGCATCCAATAACATTCATTGTATTAAGATGTATTTTCTCTTAGATTCTTATTGAAATAATATTATACATTATTTAATTCTTAGAATAATAATGACTTTTTTGTATTATAAATAAAATATATGTTTTTTTCAAAGTTCAATTATATTTGATAATATCATGTTGATGGACTATGAAAATATATAGTTTTTTGCTGAAACTCATATAAGGTGATTCATTATCTTATTTCTTTCTTCACTATGAAATTTGAGCCACTATTAATTTATTAAATAAAAAGAGAATTTTGCATATAATTATTAGTTAATTAATATATAACTCCTTGCATCAAGGATGATCCAGCTACTTTCTCAGTCTATTAGGTTTTGCATTGTCATTTTTTATGAATTGTCTTCTCTAGAAATATTTTATTTTCCATAACAAGAGAATTTATTATTAATTACAAACCTGAATGCAATTTGAAATAATTGCTCGATTTTCTCATAATTTGAAAAATAAAATTAATTAATATCCTAAAAGTACTTAAGTATATATATTATATTGTCTAAATGCAAATGAGAAGTGAAGATTCTTAAATCTTTTTTCTTGTCTTGCAAAATTCAAAGATGAATATTGGTGAGCAGCTATTATAAGCACCATATCCTCTATTGTTCTAAATTTATTTATGGTGATATAAATATTCGATTTCTATCATTGTTTTAGATCATCTTGTTGTTAGTATATTAATTATTCCAAAATACGGAAGAAAAGTTGTTCTTTTGTAGTATTCCTTTAATAAGAATTATTCTTTCAATAAAACTTTAAATTAGAAATAAAAATATTGTAATAAACATATTTCAAGCACAACCCATTTTTAAAAGCAGGTTAAATCAAAATGGGCATTGAAGAGATTGCAACTTTAATTTCTCCTTAATCAATAAAGAAATTTAGAGTAAAGAACATGAAAGCCAAATCTTGATTTGTTTTATCAATAATGTCATTAGTTATCCTATATTCTAAAAGAATCTAGGCAGAATTATATTAGAAAAAGAAATGAATTTATAATATTGATCTAAAATACTTTAGTCAATGATAAGAAATCACTGAAATTAAAATTAAGAAAAATAATTATTTATATAATTAAATTAATAGTATTATGGATTAAACTAATTATATCTAATTAAAATGATTTTTTATTACTTAATGAGATATCTAAGCTAAATAATGTAATCTTAATTATTTTAATCATGCTCCTCATAATAGAGTTACTCACTTTAATTAATTTCAGCTGTTTTTCAGTATAATTATATTTCCTTCATCTCAAATAATTTAAATACATATGCAAAGTCCTGCTAAATCGCTAAATCAAAGCCTTCCATTTTTTCTTAACTTCAAACTAATACTAATATTCCATGTTGAATGTTCTTAGTTTAATAATTTTTATTCCTTCTAAACTTCTTATTATTATATATTAGATTATTTAGGCATTATTTAAAATTTTTATTTTACTATTTTTTTTTATTATAATTGTTATTAACTCATTTGAATTAATCTTCTTATTTTATATTATAGAATAAGGAAATCATAATTTCACACCTTATATCAATATTATTTAATCTCATATTTAGGAATTTTTATGTAGCAGTTTAGTTAGTCAGTTTTTCTAGAAGATTCCAAAATTGATCATTTAAATTTACTTTTATTATTAATTATTTTCATATCCCTCAAAGCTGCATCGGATATCAAAAAAGTGTTATCAAATTATACCTAATATATTGCTATATTTATAAACTAATTATTAGTTTATCAATAAAGATTAATTATAAAACTTCACTTCCTCAATCAACTTATAATTCTATTATTTTAAAAAAGGTCCCTTTTTAGTTAAATCAAATGTAATTATAATTCTTAAAGAAAAATTTCAATCTTAAATTCTGCTTGTTTTTCTTTTTAACAAAAAAATACTAGCTTTATAAAATGTCTTAAGATAGTTCATTGTAATTATGTATTTTGACAAAAAAAGTATTATATCACAAAATAAGAAAAGCCATATTTTTATAGGTAATTGTTGTGATATAGCATTTTTCTCACATGCATTTGATATTCAAAAAAGGTTTGATATACTTTTAAAAATCAATTCAGCCAATATTTCAAAATAATTTAGTTTTTTTCTAAATTGTGAAAAAAACAAAGATTTCAGAAAATAACTCAATTATAATTTTTTCATTTATTTTAAGAAACTATTAACAACAATAAATACTTTAAATCCCTTTTAATAAACTTTGTTTAGGTTTCTTTGAAATAGAACTAATTAGTCAAGTTTTGATTTTATTTTGTTTCTAGCTTAATCTTGATATTCTGCTATTAATACTTTCAAAATCAAATAAAATTAATTCCTAATCATAATTTAGAGAACAAATAAATTATCATTGAAATTAAACTTAGATGGAATGAAGCTAAGCAACCATAAATTCACCTTCTTCATTTAAATATAACACATATATACAGAAATCAATAAATTATTGTTCCTACTACTTAGTGATTTACAATTAATTAGATTTATATTTTTGTAACATCAAATCAATTATCCTTAGTTTTCATGATAAACTTTAAAAAAAAAATACCATTTTGACTGAAAGCAAATCAAATCTCTCAAAAATTATAAATTCTTCAATTTAATTTTATCAAATTTATAGCTTGAAATTATACATAAAATTTTCATAAAAGGATTCTAGAAAAATTATAGAGTTATGGTTATATTATAAAATATTTATAATATTTATATAATATCTATGTAGACCATTATACATTATTAAATAAATAAAGAATCCAAGGCAAAACTGATAAAATGATCTTAAATATTAAACTATATTTAATATTTCTTAATTTATGTTATTTAGAAAAAAATTAGAAAAAGCTTCATAGATATTATAGGAGCCTAAAAATTTTTTTTCATATTTTTTATAATTTTTTACAACATAAATGAAAAATCATTCTCATCAGAAAATGAGATATCCAAAAATGATTGTTGATAATCCAAGAATGTATCCTGAATCTGTTGTTTTTGTTTAATTATTGGTGTTATTTACTGTAGTATTTGGTTAAACAACAGGTGCAGTGCAAACTCCACATTTGCTTGTTGATGCATTCCATGTATATGTATATCCAGAAACCAAGAAACAATCATTTGATGATAAAGTTGATGGGTCTGTTGCTGTACATGTTCCACTAACAAGTGTACAAACTTATTAAGTCTTTCTATCCCAATTTAAGAATCTTGTACAAGCTCCATTTGTAGCTTAATTGGTAGCACAAGTATGTGTAGTACATTTACTAGCAACAGCAGTTGCACCAGTTCCTGATGCTGCAGTCCATGAACATCTATCTCTAGCTTATTAACAAGCAACTTAATCATTATTAGCAGTGGTACATGCTGTCATTAATGCACAAGTTCCAGTACCAGCAACAGCTCCTGTAGCAGTTGATTAAGTGAATACACAAATACCATCTAATCCACCTGAATTACATGCTGTCTTAGTTTTATAGGCTGAGCAATTAGCTTTTGTAATACAAACTGTTCCATCTGAAACACATGATGACAAAGCTACTGAACAAACATTAGTGGCTGTACCATTTTAAATATCAGGGCAAGTTAATAATCTACATTTAGCTGTGTTATTATTTGTAGCAGATGCAAGTTCCCAATAGCAAATACCATCAGATCCAACAGCAGTTGTACAAGAAGTTTAAGTTGTGTATGATGAACATGCTCCTTTGAGTAAACAAGTTGTTCCATCAGATGTACATGTTGATAATTATGAAGAACATGCTGCATGATTTGTTCCAGTCAAATCAGCACATGATTAATCTCTGCAACTATTAGCTGTTGTATCCCATGTACAAATACCAGTTGAAGTTATGACTCCAGATGTATAAATAACACCTTTATCATTGAAATAACATCCTGCTTATGAAGTATAAGATGAACAAGCACCTAATGCAATACAACCAGTAGTTCCATTTGTTGTACATTTACTACTAGCAATTTGACAATCTGAATGAGTTGTATAGAAAGCATCAGCACAAGATGTATATGGTTTACAAACCTTTGGATCAGAAGAATTCAAAGCTGGTACTGATTATATACAAGCTCCATCATATCCTGTAACACATCCACCATCAGTATTAGTTTCAGAACATAAAGTAATACCAACACAATTAGATCCATTAGTTGTACATTATTTACTTATCCATTTACATTATGTATCAGAATTCCAATTCAAACTCTTGCATGAAGTATATCTGAAGCAAGCTCCTGTAGATCCATCAGAGTTAACAAAGTCATTAACCCATAAACATGGGCCATTTGTTCCTTCAATACATGCACTTCTCAATGTAGTTTATTCACAATTTTAAACTCTAGCACATTTTCCATTAGCTCCAGCAGTACATCCAGCTCTTTAACCTTAACATGCAGCATGAGTAGTTCCACTAAAATCTTAACAATCTTTATCTCTGCATCTATTTTATGTACTATCCCAAGCACAAATAGTTCCATTAAGAGCAGTTGTACAAGCAGCATCAATAGTAACAGCTGCACAAGTTGATTTAGTAATACATCCACCTCCATTCTTTGTAGTACAATTAGTGAAATAACCTGCACATGCTGCTTCAGAAGTTAAAGTATTTGGAGCAGTATTACATGTCTTTATTGTACAATATGCTTAATTATTTCCTACAGCTGGCATCCATTCACATTATTGATTTGTTGCTGAAGTAACACAACCAGCTTAGCTCATAGCTTAGAAGCATGTTCCTCTTGTGACACAATTTGTGCCATTTGTGGTACATGTACTTACGGCTTATCTACATAAGGCATCAGTGGCAAAAGCAAAATCTTCACAAACTTTTGTCTTACATTTTACTAATTAATCTAAAGTACATCCAGCCAAATAAGTGTTACATTCATCAGCAGTAGCTGTTGCTTCTGGAGCATTATCACAAGATCTTGTAATACAAGCTGTACCATTCCAATAGCATAATCTACCAGATTTATCAGTAACACATTATTTTTCTATCATAGTTTCACATGTATCTGGTATATCAACACATCCTTATCCTGATTCTGCAACTGTACATTTATTATTGAAATAAGCTCTACATTTATCATTATCATCATAATCAGCAGTTGCAGGTGCAGTAGCACATGACTTATCTGCACATTAAGTACCATTCCATCCACAAGCATCTCCAGTAGCATTGAATTTACATTATTCTTAATGAATGTAAATAGCACAAGCTGCTGTTTATTGACAGCCTCCTAGAACTGGTGCACCACCATTTGCATCTGGTGTAGCAACTACTGTGCATCTAATTGTGTTGGTCGAGAAATAGGTATTACAATCATCATGTGTTGCTGTTGCAGTTGGGGCAGTACTGCATGATTTATCTTAACATGCTGCTTAGGCTAAATTTGTGTTCCAAACACAAACACCTCCAGTGGCATTTCTGTTGCATTAATCCTCAATTTAATAAGAACTACATCCTCCTCTAGCCATACAACCAGGAACAGCTGCTCCATTAGTAGCTCTAACTGTACATGTTGAATCAGCTAAAGCGCATTTAGAATGTGTATCATATAAAGATGTTTATTCAATGTTACCGCAACTGAAATCAACACAAGTCAAATTTGTTGCATTCCAGAAACATCTACCACCAGTTGTATTGAATTTACATTAATGTCTAGATTTATATGTTGAACAAGCAGCTCTAGGTTAACAACCTCCTACTCTTGCAACTGTGCATGTGGAAAGATGAGCAGTACATTGAGCATTAGTAGTAAAGCTTGCAGCTGGGGTAGCTGTGTCACAAGTCCTTCTGACACAAGATGATCCTATGGCAATACATGCACCTTCAACTGCCCAAACGCAAGCTGTTGTACTTAAAGTCGCACATGTGGTTGGCATCGTTGTGCATGCAGTTGGTGATGTAACTAAATTGGCAGTACAAGTAGGTAACCAAGTATTACAAGCTGCATGAGTAAATGGTGCAGTTTTATTAGCACATGTCTTGGCTTAACACCCTGAATTGTCTTGTAGTGCTATACAACCAGGTTTCAATTAATTGCATATTGTGTCATTAAAAGTAAATGATCCTAATTTTATTGCTTCACAAGTAGTTGTATTTGTTATAGATTGACAAGTAGAATCATTGCTATCAGCAGTACAAAATCCAGCAGTTGATCTATAACAATTGGCCATTGTTCCTGTATATCCTGAACATTGTCCTTGTATTGTAATACAACCACTTCCATCTCTCTTCACACTGCATTGACTATTATAGGCTTGACAGTTAGTCCAACTTGGATTTGCAACTTGGGCTGTTTCGCATGTAAGAGCGACACATGCATTTCCAGAAGAATTAATTGTGCATTCATCACTATAGCTTTAACAAAAATTATGAGTATTATTTGGATCTGCCAAAGAAGCAAGAAGATTACAATTTGCTGATGTAATATCTTAACAAGCAGCAGGAGAAGCATTTTAATTCCAATAACACTTTTTAAGATTAATTTTTAATGTACAATCAGCTTAAACTGTATAGCTACTGCAATTTACTTACATTACTCTGCATGTAGTTTCATCAGCTTTTATAGTACAACTTTTACTATAAAATTAACAAATTTAATGAAACTTATATGTGTCTAAAATAACCTCTTCACAATTTGATGATGTAATATCTAAACAAGTAGTAGTACTTTCCTTCCAATAACATCTATCACCATTCCTTCTAAATGCACAATTACTTTAGGTTAAATAGCTAGCGCATGATATTTCCATTGTTTTGCAAGCATTACTATCAGCATTAATTTAGCATTCAGCACTAAAGCTTTAACAAAATTCATGAGTATTATTTGGATTTGACAATGGGGATAAAGCATCACAATTTGCTGATGATATGTCTTAACAAACAGCAGGAGATAAATTTGAATTCCATAAACATCTCTTACCATTATTTTTTTTTATGCAATTGTTTTATGCTTAATAGCTACTGCAATTTTGTAAATAGGCAATACATGCATTTCCAGCATCATTAATAGTGCACTCAGCACTATAACTTGAACAATAGTCATGAGTATTATTTGGACTTGATAATGAAGCTATAAGATTGCAATTAGAAGCAGACACGTCAAAACAAAGTTCACCTACAGAAAACCAATAACATTTCTAGCCACCTGTGTTTAATGTGCAATCAGCTTCGGTAAAATAGCTAGAGCAATATGCTAAAATTTATCTGCAAGCATCTCCAGCAGCATTAATAGTACAATTATTACTAACGCTTTAACAATAGTCATGAGTATTATTTGGACTTGATAATCCAGTTATAAGGGCACAAGAGAAAGAACAAGCATCTGTATCAGTAGCATTTACCAAATTAGTGCAACCTGGTTTCAATTATTCACAATACGTTTTTGTTCCTCTGAATGTTGAGCATGCACCTGAGAGATATGAATTAGAAAAACATTTGTTAAAATAGGAATTCCAAGTACAATCATCTTCGCTGGCTGTTAAAGTTCTATAACATTAAGCTTGTGACTGATAATCACTACAATTAGCTAATCTTGGCACACATCCTAATCCTGCTGTTTTTAATATAACTGTGCAAGTTTCAGTAGGTGTTGGATAACGATAACATTAATCATCAGTAGCAAAGGATTCACTATCCGTTGCATCAGCACAAGTTGCATTTCTACAAGCTGATCCAGTCCATATGCAACTTTTTCCATTTGATAGAATTTTACAATTTTCAGCTGATCCGTAAGAAGTACAAGCTGTGGCTAAATTTTAACAAGCTGATCCGTTATTGTTAACTGTGCATCTATCTAATTAACCTTGACAACCAATATGAGTATTTAATGAAATATTTGTACAAATTCTATCAACACAATTAGTACCATTCCAATAACAATCACCATTTGCCTTTGATCCTCTGTTACAATTTGAAGAATTTAAGCCTGAACAGCTTGATGGTTTGACCACACAAGCATTTGAGTCATTGTTTGAAATGCATGGTCTTGAAGTGTTAGTACATTATCCATCAGCATTAGTTGCAGTACATATTGATATATAACTTTAACAATTATCAAAATTAATTGTTTCTAGTGATCCTAGTAATCCTACAACACTAGCAGTTGCACAAGTCTTCTCAACACATACAGATGTAGCAGTATTCCATAAACATGTTGGCAATCCATTTCTTGAAATTTAACAATTTTCATTTGATCTTCTAGCAGCACAAGTTGTTGGTAAATCTTAACATCCTGATATTGATCCATTAACTGGATTATTGGCAACACAACCTGATTTGTAATTATTACATTCTTCAGTTGTTTATGATGACCTAGGAGCAGTTGAACAAGCTTTATCCATACATTACGAACCATTCCAACCACATGCTTAGTATGATCTAACTCCATTTGTAACTTATAATCTCACATTACAAGCAGATTCTATAGTAATAGCTTCACATTTAAGTGGAATAGGAACACATCCAGCACCAGTATTACTCAAAGTACAACTAGAATCATAAGTTTAACAATCTTGATGAGTTGCTGTGGTTGATGAAGCTAATACACATTCTTTTTTATAACATTTTCCTTTCCAAATACAAGCTTTGTTATTCAAATCTTTATCACAAATAGTTTATACCAAAGAATTTTCGCATGTTTTTTCTACACAACCAGAATTGGTTGAATTTACTGTACAATTTGATAAAAAGGCAACACATAAATCATGAGTATTAGTAGTTGATGGTGCATTTGTACAAATCTTATCTTTGCAACCTGAACTTGAAGTATCCCAGAAACAAGTAGCTCCATAAAAATTTTTGATACAAGCAGCTTCTAAAGTAATTAATGAACATGTAGTATTTGTTACACATCCACCTCCTGTCTTTGTTATACAATTATTATTTGGTAAATATGCTTCACATGCATCATTTGTTGTTAATGTTGTTGGGGCGTTTGTACAACTTCTAGGTTAACATCCACCTCCTGCTTTAACTGTACATGTTAGTAAATATGATGTACACAATTCGTGAGTATTATTAGTTGTTGGTGCATTAGCACAAGTCTTTTCTTTACATGTTGTATCCCAAATACAATCAGTTCCTGAAGAGTTTTTAACACAAGCTGCTTAGACATTTGCAGCTGAACAAGCTCCATTAGATACACAACCTCCACCTGATTTAGTAATTCATCCTGTTACAAATCCAGCACAAGCAGAATTAGTTGTCATAGTAGTTGGTGCATTTGTACATATCTTATCAACACATGCAGTTCCAGTCCAATAACAATCACCACCTGAACTATTTTTAATACAAGCAGCTTAGATAGTTGCAGCTGCACAAGTAGTTCTAGTAATACATCCTCCATTAGGTTTAGTTGTACATGTTCCATCAGTTCTAAAGGTTTTACATGTTTCATCAGTTGTTAATGTTGTTGGTGCATTGTCACAAATTCTATCTTTACATGCTGCTCCATCCCAATAACATGCCATTGATCTTAATTTATTCCAAACACATTAAATTTCTAATGTTTAATCACTACAATTATTTCCACTATCAACACATCCACCTCCAGTCTTTGTAGTACAAGTTGATATTACATCTCTACATTCTTTATCTGTAACAAATGTAATTGGTAATCTATCACAAGCATTAGCATCTACACAAGTATTATTTGTTGTATCCCAATAACACAATCTTCCTGAGGCATTTTTGACACAAGGAAGTTGTTTCTTGTATGTACTACAAGCATCAAGTTCAACACAATGAGTTCCATCTGTAATACATCTATTACTTATTGCTTAACATTCAGGATCTGTTGTTTTTGAAAAGGCTGTGCATCCTGTGAAATGTGAGCATTTTCCTTCAACCCAGGCACAGGCAGCATAACTACCACAATCTGTACAAGGTTTAGCTTTTGGACAATCTGCTTCTGCAAAGCTTTCACAATATGTTGCATAAGTCACTGTTGGAGTGACTGGAGTAGTTGAAACTGCACAAGATTTCTTTGTGCTATCCCAAGAACATCCAAGTGATACATTTTTTATACAATCTGCTTCTGATAACAACTGTACACATGTGCATGATGTTATACTGTAAGTTTGACTTGTTGCTAAGGCAAGCAAAAATGTTAATATGATGAATTATTTATTCATTAAAAGGATTATTATTTGCTTTGGATTTCATTCCAGTTAAATTAATTAATAAAATTAAATTTATTTTTTTTAATAATTACATCCTAAATCTTGATTAAATATAGGATCAGTATTCATTAAATGCGTTAATTGGCATCATTAATATTTATATTATATAATTTTCATGAGGGAGAGGTTGAAAATTCGTAAGTATACAAAGAAAGCTTTAGTCAATTTTACTTTTGAAAAGTGCCTGAGTTTATCATTAAATATGCTTTTTCTGAATTCTCTTGTTCATATAATATTCTGTTTCTAGATTGATGACAAAATGAAGTAACCACATAATTATGAGTAATATTACATTCATATTTTGTTTAATTCTTGCCCAGCTAATTAAAATCTTTAGAGACAAATTTGATTAGAAAGTCAGAGATGAAGAGAGAAAAAATTAGTTTCCATTCTAAAATCCTTTTTAACTTAGGAGAGTACATCTCTTATATTATAATTGGTTATTTTTTTATGAAGTCTAATGAGATTTCATTTTCTCAAGTGGTATTCTTGAGATTTGAAATTCAGAAATTTAACATGTCCCAAAATTCCCTTTGCAATTGAAACTAAATTAGAACTGGATGATTAACAAACAAATAATCCATAATGATCAACTTTAAACTCAATACTATAGAGACAAGATGTAAAGTGATAATAGATAAGTTTATTTAAAATTATAATATTATCTCAAAATGTGTTCCGTTTTATTTTTTTCTTACCTAAAATACAAACTCAATTAGATGCAGCCACCTCGAGACAATATTTAGGAGACCTTAATAGTTAGAAATAGTAAGAATTTTAGAATTTACTACTTTAAATTGTATTTTGTTTATTTAAATTACTTCATACTATTTGTATTTGTATAAATAATTTGCTTGGACATTTTTCAATAATTATTTATATAAATTTTTTTATTCATACTACTTGATCAGTTAATACTTAGCTATCCTTATAGATGGTTAAAACCTTTCGTTAGATTTCTTTATTCGCATATAATTTTATTTTCTGTAGATGGAATTGCCTTTCTTTAAAAATCAAATTATGAGGGACAAACCATATCAGGGCTTATGTTGCAATAATTGTAGGAATTCTAACTGCGATATAAATTACAAAGACTATTTATAAAGTTTGAATTAAGAATAAAAAAAGCGCTCAAATAATTTTTAAATACAATTAATAAAATTCTTTAATTATTAAAAATTAAAATTTAGATTGAATAATTGTTTTTCAAAATATAAGTTTTTTTTCATTTTAACAAAATATATACATTATTGGATTAAATCAAAAAAGTATATAACAGGCATATCATTTATTCCATTTTTATGATTAATGCATGTTTTATATAGTGGAATGAGTACGGGTTGATTTATTTATTTCTTGTCTTACTTGTTAGAGTATTGCTTTGATTTTAAAGAATTATTTCTTTTTTGTTATTGATTTACATTTTTAATTCAAAAATTTTTTATAATAACATTGAGGGTCTGGATATACAAATTTACGTAAAGATTCAAAGTTGAAATGCAATTCATTTCTACCTGATGAAATAAAGTTGTAGAACTTAGGAATTTAAATTTTTCACTTAGGCAATTCCTTTTTCTGATATCTTTCTCATATATCATTTTTGATCATGAATAATTTATTGAAAAAATAGTTTTTTAATTATATGTTAATACACTAGTCTTTTGAGTCAATTACAAAGCCTTTGCTTTTATAAGCCTAATAGGTCTTTGAAACTTCACTGATTATGAATTGATGACAAAGGAAATTTGAGATTTAGAAATCCTTATTTCCAAGCAAGACAGAAGAAGTTATTTGCATTAAAAATCAAATACTTGTCATTGATATAATTCCTCGATTTGAATCATGTAAATTCACTAATATTATTATTTTATGTAAATAACAAAAATTTTGTACAAGTGTTTATAATATAATTTAAATTTGATAAGACTTTTAGATGCTCTAAAACTTTAGTTTTTCTTTCCAAACTTATAGTTGAGCAGTATTTTAAGAATTACTATCGACATCATTATAATTGCTCTATATTGATAAAAATACAAGATATCTATTTTGTTCTATGTTAACTCGTTTTTCTTACTCATTATTCCATTAATAAAATGATTTAGTTAATTATTACTTATGAGTATTATATTAATGTGAATAACTGCATCACATTAGTACCATAAAATTTTTGTTATTAAACATGAAGAAGAGGCAAATTTTGAAAGTTAGAGTAATTGAATAAATATTAATTTTTGATATATTTTTTATAAGTTTGTGATATATTTTTATAAGTATTACTAATTGCCAAGTTCCACAACTGAAAGAGAAATGTCGAGTTTTATTGAAATTTTCAACTATAGTTTGACTACATAATTCATATTTAGTCAAATATTTTAAGAGGCAAGTTAGGTAACATAATTATTCTTATTGATATCATTTTAAAATAAATTGCCATTACTTCAGATTTCAGTATTTGTCTATTTAATGAATTAAGCAAAAAAACTCATAAATATATTTAATGTATCTAATATGTGATTTATTTATAATTTCTATCTGTTTTAAATGAATTGTTTTATTCAACTAACCAGATTGTTAATATTGTTTTAAATCATAAGAATACAATAACAATTTTACAGCCTTTTATATATAATTAATCTTAGGCAAGGTATTATTTACAATCTGAATAAAATGATCAATAATTTTCATTCTTTTCTAAATTTAATATAAACATTCTAGCATATAAATAAATTTTCTTATACCTGAACAAAATTTAATAAGCAAAATGCAATTGATTACTGTTTTTGCTTTTCAAAAATATTTAAGATTGAAATCAGCCAAAAAAAAATTGGGTAATCTTTAAAGTTTTGAGAAAATACAATGATTCTTTAACTCATTAATGTACAATGCTGATGGAACTCAAAATTAATGTTATTAAAAGAATGAGGATAATTTAAAACAATCAATAACAGTGAGACTTTTCTGAACTACATTAATTTACATTTATTTATGGCATCATAGATTTGAGAATTAATTTTATAAATAATGTAAATTATTAGCTAAAATAATTTTCTTTTTTATTTGCATTTAGAAAAATGACAAATAATGAGTTAGATACTGAAAAGAAGTAAAAATAATGGGAATAGAAAATTTAATTTCAATGATTCAAATTTATAAATTACAAAATTATGATTTAAATGTTCTTACAATTAGAATTGAAAAACATATTTAAAATATACCGAATAAGAATATTTATAATTTATAATTATTTTTCCCTATATAAATTTATAAAATCATTTTCATCAGAACATAAGATATCCAAAAATGATCGTTGATAATCCAAGAATATATCCTGAGTCGGTTGTTGTTTCATTATTTGTATTATTTGTATTATTATTTGAATTATTTGGTTAAACAACAGGTGCAGTGCAAACTCCACATTTGCTTGTTGATGCATTCCATGTATATGTATATCCAGAAACCAAGAAACAATCATTTGATGATAAGGTTGATGGATCTGTGGCAGTGCATGTTCCACTAACAAGTGTACAAACTTATTAAGTCTTTCTATCCCAATTTAAGAATCTTGTACAAGCTCCATTTGTTGCTTAATTGGTAGCACAAGTATGTGTAGCACATTTACTAGCAACAGCAGTTGCACCAGTTCCTGATGCTGGAGTCCATGAACATCTATCTCTGGCTTATTAACAAGCTGTTTAATCATTATTAGCAGTTGTACATGCTGTCATTAATGCACATGTTCCAGTACCAGCAACAGCTCCTGTAGCAGTTGATTAAGTGAATACACAAATACCATCTAATCCACCTGAATTACATGCTGTCTTAGTTTTATAGGCTGAGCAATTAGCTTTTGTAATACAAACTGTTCCATCTGAAACACATGATGACAAAGCTACTGAACAAACATTAGTGGCTGTACCATTTTGAATATCAGGGCAAGTTAGTAATCTACATTTAGCTGTGTTATTATTTGTAGCAGATGCAAGTTCCCAATAACATACACCATCAGATCCAACAGCAGTTGTACAAGCAGTTTATGTTGTGTATGATGAACATGCTCCTTTGAGTAAACAAGTTGTTCCATCAGATGTACATGTTGATAATTATGAAGAACATGCTGCATGGTTTATTCCAGTCAAATCAGCACATGATTAATCTCTGCAACTACTAGCTGTTGTATCCCATGTACAAATACCAGTTGAAGTTATGACTCCAGATGTATAAATGACACCTTTATCATTGAAATAACATCCTGCTTATGAAGTATAAGATGAACAAGCACCTAATGCAATACAACCAGTAGTTCCATTTGTTGTACATTTACTACTAGCAATTTAACAATCTGAATGAGTTGTATAGAAAGCATCAGCACAAGAGGTATATGGTTTACAAACCTTTGGATCTGCAGAATTCAAAGCTGGTACTGATTATATACAAGCTCCATCATATCCTGTGACACATCCACCATCAGTATTAGTTTCGGAACATAAAGTAATTCCAATACAATTAGATCCATTAGTTGTACATTATTTACTTATCCATTTACATTAAGTATCAGAATTCCAAGTCAAACTCTTGCATGAAGTATATCTAAAGCAAGCTCCTGTAGATCCATCAGTATTAACAAAGTCATTAATCCAAAGACATGGTCCATTTGTTCCTTCAATGCATGCACTTCTCAATGTAGTTTATTCACAATTTTAAACTCTAGCACATTTTCCATTAGCTCCAGCAGTACATCCAGCTCTTTAACCTTAACATGCAGCATGAGAAGTTCCACTAAAATCTTAACAATCTTTATCTCTACATTTATTTTATGCACTATCCCAAGCACAAATAGTTCCATTAAGAGCAGTTGTGCAAGCAGCATCAACAGTAACAGCTGCACAAGTTGATTTAGTAACACATCCACCTCCATTCTTTGTTGTGCAATTAGTGAAATAACCTGCACAAGCTGCTTCAGAAGTTAAAGTATTTGGAGCAGTATTACATGTCTTTACTGTACAATAAGCTTAATTATTTCCTACAGCTGGCATCCATTCACATTATTGATTTGTTGCTGAAGTAACACAACCAGCTTAGCTCATAGCTTAGAAGCATGTTCCTCTTGTGACACAATTTGTGCCATTTGTGGTACATGTACTTATAGCTTATCTACATAAGGCATCAGTGGCAAAAGCAAAATCTTCACAAACCTTTGTCTTACATTTTACATCTACATCTAAAGTACATCCAGCCAAATAAGTATTACATTCATCAGCAGTAACTGTTGCTTCTGGAGCATTATCACAAGATCTTGTAATACAAGCTGTACCATTCCAATAGCATAATCTACCAGATTTATCAGTAACACATTATTTTTCTATCATAGTTTCACATGTATCTGGTATATCAACACATCCTTATCCTGATTCTGCTACTGTACATTTATTATTGAAATAAGCTCTGCATTTATCATTATCGTCATAATCTGCAGTTGCAGGTGCAGTAGCACATGACTTATCTGCACATTAAGTACCATTCCATCCACAAGCATCTCCAGTAGCATTGAATTTACATTATTCTTAATGTATATAAGTAGCACAAGCTGCTGTTTATTGACAACCACCTAAGACTGGTGCACCACCATTTGCATCTGGTGTGGCAACTACTGTACATCTAATAGTGTTGGTCGAGAAATAGGTATTACAATCATCATGTGTTGCTGTTGCAGTTGGTGCAGTACTGCATGATTTATCTTAACATGCTGCTTAGGCTAAATTTGTATTCCAAACACAAACACCTCCAGTGGCATTTCTGTTGCATTAATCCTCAATTTAATAAGAACTACAAGCCCCTCTAGCCATACAACCAGGAACAGCTGCTCCATTAGTAGCTCTAACTGTACATGTTGAATCAACTGATGCACATTCAGAATGTGTATCATATAAAGATGTTTATTCAATGTTACCGCAACTGAAATCAACACAAGTCAAATTTGTTGCATTCCAGAAACACTTACCACCAGTTGTATTGAATTTACATTAATTATTTGATTTATATGTTGAACAAGCAGCTCTTGGTTAACAACCTCCTATTTTTGCAACTGTGCATGTAGATAGATAATTTGAACATAGAGTATCAGTATTAAAGCTTGCAGCTGGTGAAGCTGTGTCACAAGTCTTTCTAACACAAGATGATCCTAAGACAATACATTAGCCTTCGACTGCCCAAATGCATGCTCCTACACTCAATGTTGAGCATTTTTCTGGCATAGTAATACATGCAGTAGGAGATGAAACTGAATTGGCAGTGCAAGTAGGCAACCAAGCATAGCAATCTTAATGAGTAAATGATCCTGTTTTATTAGCACATGTTTTGGTTTAACAACCTGTGGTACTTAAATTAGTACAAGTATTTTTCATTTCATTACATCTTGCATGACTATAATTGCCAGATCCCAAATATAAAGTTTCACAAGTTGTTGATGCTGCTAGGGCAACACATTAACTATCAGAGCTATTGGCAATACAAAGTCCTGCTGTTGATCTATAACAATTAGCAATTGTTCCTGTATACCCTGAGCATTATGCTTATATCGTAACGCAGCCACTTCCATCCCTCTTTACACTGCAGGACGCGCTGAAGTTCTAACAATTTTCCCAACTTGGATTTGGAACTGTTTCACAAATATATGGTAGACAAGTTGTTTAACCAGTACCAGTACAGTTAGGACTAAATGCTTAACACATAGCATGAGTATAAGCAATGCCATTAAAAATAACGTTGCAATTTTCTTAAGTAATATCTAAACAAGCCGCAGGTACACCATTAGCTTCCAATCTCCAAAAGCACCTTAATCCACCAACTTTTCTGGCGCACTAATTTCCAACACTATAACTACTGCAAGCTGATTACATTGTTTGGCAAGCTGTATCAGCAAAATTAGTGCAAGCAGTACTATATTATTAACATATATCATGGGAGAGACTATCAGCAGCAGTAACAGCATCGCAATTTGTTGAATCTATATCTAAACAAGCAGCAGGTACCTCTCCAGCTGCAACTCTCCAAAAACACTTTGATCCGCCAACTTTTATTGTGCAATTAGGTTCAGTAGGGTAAGCACTGCAATTTGATTCAATTGTTCGACAAGCTATTGCACCAGAATTAGTGCAAGAAGTACTATATTATTAACATATTTCATGAGTAAGACCAGCATCAGCAGTAACAGCATCGCAATTTGTTGAAGAAATATCTAAACAAGCAGCAGGTACCTCTCCAGCTGCAGCTTTCCAAAAGCACTTTGATCCGCCAACTTTTATTGTGCAATTAGGTTCAGTAAGGTAAGCACTGCAATTTGATTAAAGTGTATGACAAGCTGTTTCACCAGTATTAGTGCAAGAAGTATTAAATTATTAACAAAGTTCATGAGTAAGACCAGCATCAGCAGTAACAGCATTGCAATTTGCTGAAGAAATATCTAAACAAGTATCAGTTGACCAAAAGCACGATTATCCACCAACTTTAAATGTACAATCATGTATAGTTAAATAACTACTACAAGCTTATTAAATTGTTCTGCATGCAGATCCATCACCATTAATAGTGCAACTTTCACTATATTATTAACATTGATTATGATCTGCTTCGAATAGTCCAGTTACAGCTGCACAAGAGAAAGAACAAGCATCTGTATCAGTAGCATTTATAGTATTAGTGCAACCTTTTTTTAATTATTCACAATAGGATTTAGTTCCTCTAAAGGTTGAGCATGCACCGGAGAGATATGTAGAAGAAAAACACTTGTTTAGAGTTTAATGCCAAGTACAATCATCTTCGCTGGCTGTTAAAGTTCTAAAACATTAAGCTTGTGACTGATAATCACTACAATTAGCTAATCTTGGCACACATCCTAATCCTCCTGTTTTTAATATAACTGTACAAGTTTCAGTAGGCGTTGGATAACGATAACATTAATCATCAGTAGCAAAGGATTCACTATCTGATGCATCAGCACAAGTTGCATTTCTACAAGCTGATCCAGTCCATATGCAACTTTTTCCATTTAATATAATTTTACAATTTTCAGCTGATCCATAAGAAGTACAAGCTGTGGCTAAATTTTAACAAGCTGATCCATTATTGTTTACTGTGCATGTATCTAATTAACCTTGACAACCAATATGAGTATTTAATGAAATATTTGTACAAATTCTATCAACACAATTAGTACCATTCCAATAACAATCACCATTTGCCTTTGATCCTCTTTTACAATTAGAAGAATTTAAGCCTGAACAACTTGATGGTTTGACCACACAAGCATTTGAGTCATTGTTTGAAATGCATGGTCTTGAAGTGTTAGTACATTATCCATCAGCATTAGTTGCAGTACATATTGATATATAACTTTAACAATTATCAAAATTAATTGTTTCTAGTGATCCTAGTAATCCAACAATACTAGCAGTAGCACAAGATTTCTCAACACATGCAGATGTAGCAGCATTCCATAAACATGTTGGTAATCCATTTCTTGAAATTTAACAATTTTCACTTGATCTTCTAGCAGCACAAGTTGTTGGTAAATCTTAACATCCTGATATTGATCCATTAACGGGATTATTAGCAACACAACCTGATTTGTAATTATTACATTCTTCAGTTGTTGATGATGATCTAGGAGCAGTTGAACAAGCTTTATCCATACATTACGAACCATTCCAACCACATGCTTAGTATGATCTAACTCCATTTGTAACTTATAATCTCACATTACAAGCAGATTCTATAGTAATAGCTTCACATTTAAGTGGAATAGGAACACATCCAGCACCAGTATTACTCAAAGTACAACTAGAATCATAAGTTTAACAATCTGAATGACTTTATATGGTTGATGAAGCTAATACACATTCTTTTTTATAACATTTTCCTTTCCAAATACAAGCTTTATTATTCAAATCTTTATCACAAATAGTTTATACCAAAGAATTTTCACATGTTTTCTCTACACAACCAGAATTGGTTGAATTTACTGTACAATTTGATAAAAAGGCAACACATAAATCATGAGTATTAGTAGTTGATGGTGCATTTGTACAAATCTTATCTTTGCAACCTGAACTTGAAGTATCCCAGAAACAAGTAGCTCCATAAACATTTTTGATACAAGCAGCTTCTAAAGTAATTAATGAACATGTTGTATTTGTTACACATCCACCTCCTGTCTTTGTTATACAATTATTATTTGGTAAATATGCTTCACATGCATCATTAGTTGTTAATGTTATTGGAGCATTTGTACAACTTCTAGGTTAACATCCACCTCCTGCTTTAACAGTACAAGTTGGTAAATATGATGTACATAAGTCATGAGTATTATTAGTTGTTGGTGCATTAGCACAGGTCTTTTCTTTACATGTTGTATCCCAAATACAATCAGTTCCTGTAGAGTTTTTAACACAAGCAGCTTAGACATTTGCAGCAGAACAAGCTCCATTAGATACACAACCTCCACCTGATTTAGTAATACATCCTGTTACAAATCCAGCACAAGCTGAATTAGTTGTCATAGTAGTTGGTGCATTTGTACATATCTTATCAACACAAGCAGTTCCAGTCCAATAACAATCACCACCTGAACTATTCTTAATACAAGCAGCTTAGATAGTTGCAGCTGCACAAGTAGTTCTAGTAATGCAACCTCCATTTGGTTTAGTTGTACATGTTCCATCAGTTCTAAAGGTTTTACATGTTTCATCAGTTGTTAATGTTGTTGGTGCATTATCACAAATTCTATCTTTACATGCTGCTCCATCCCAATAACATGCCATTGATCTTAATTTATTCCAAACACATTAAATTTCTAATGTTTAATCACTACAATTATTTCCACTATCAACACATCCACCTCCAGTCTTTGTTGTACAAGTTGATATCTCATCTCTACATTCTTTATCTGTAACAAATGTAATTGGTAATCTATCACAGGCATTAGCATCTACACAAGTATTATTTGTTGTATCCCAAAAACACAATCTTCCTGATGCGTTTTTGACACAAGGAAGTTATTTCTTGTATGTACTACAAGCATCAAGTTCAACACAATGAGTTCCATCTGTAATACATCTATTACTTATTGCTTAACATTCAGAATCAAGTGTTTTTGAAAAGGCTGTGCATCCTGTGAAATGTGAGCATTTTCCTTCAACCCAGGCACAGGCAGCATAATTACCACAATCTGTACAAGGTCTAGCTTTTGGACAATCTGCTTCTGCAAAGCTTTCACAATATGTTGCATAAGTCGCTATTGGAGTGACAGGAGTAGTTGAAACTGCACAAGATTTCTTAGTGCTATCCCAAGAACATCCAAGTGATACATTTTTTATACAATCTGCTTCTGATAACAACTGTACACATGTGCATGATGTTATACTGTAAGTTTGACTTGTTGCTAAGGCAAGCAACAATGTTAATATGATGAATTCTTTATTCATTAAAAGTATTATCAATATGTTTAGATTTAATTCCAGTTAAATTAATTAAAAAAATTAAATTTATTTTTTTTAATGATTACATCCTATATCTTCATTAAATACAGGATCAGTATTTATTATATGCGTTAATTGGCATCATTAATATTTATATTTTATAAGTCTCGTGAGGCAAGAATTTGTAAGTATACAGAGAAAGCTTCAGTCAACATACCTTTTGAAAAGAGCCTGAGTTTCTCATTAAGTATGCTTTTCCTGAATTTTCCGGATCATACAATATTCTAATCTAGATTCTTGAAATATTTAAGTGAGCACATAAGTAAATGAGTAATACTAAATAAAAATTTTGGTTAATTCTTGTCTAACTAATGAAAACAGATGAAGGAAAATGAGATTTTGATAAGAAATAGAGATGAAGATAACAATTCCATTTATATTCTAATCCTTCTCAAACTTGAAAGAACACCTCTAATACTTTAATTGGTTCTTCTTTAATAAAGTATAAAGAGATTTGATTATCTCAAGATGTATACTTGTGATTTGAAGTTCAGAAATTTAACATGTTTCAATATTCACATTTCAATATAAACCAAATTAGAACTGGATGATTAAGTAACAAGTTTCAAATAATCATTATCTTTTAATTCAATAAAATAGAGAGAAGATGTAAAAATAGTGAATAAGAAAATCTTCTAAATTTAATTATTATATCAAACATTATTCCGTTTTATTTTTTTCTTCCTAAAATATGTAATCAAATTAGATGCAGTTTTTTGAGATAATATTTTGGAAACCTTAATAGTTAGAAATAGTGTGAATTCTAGAATTTTCAATTTTCAATTTTAAATTGTATTTTCTTTATTTAAATTACTTCATACTATTTGTATTTATATAAATCATTAGTTAGAACATTTTTAAATTATTAACTCTATTCATTTTTTTATTCTTTCTATTGTATCAGTTAATACTTAGCCATTCTTAAAGATCTTTAAAAACCTTTAATTAGATTTTTTATCCCATATAATTCCATTTTTTGCAAATGGAATTGTCTCTATTCTTATTTCAAAAAAAATAAAATTATAATCGATAATCATTCTTCAGAGGCTATGCTGGAATAATTCAAGAAGTTCTAATTGCAATATAAATTTAAAAAGACTATTTATAAACTTTTAATTAAGAATAAAAAAGCGCCCAAATTATTTTAAATATAATTAATAAAAATTCTTTAATAATTAACAATCCAAAAAAAGTTTGGAAAATTGTATTTCAAATATTAAATAATTTTAACAAAATATATATATAGTGAATTACATCAAATACCAATTTTATTTTTATGCATGTTCTATTGGGTGTAATGATTATGGGTTGACTTCTTTAATCTTGTCTTACATATTAGAGTATTACTTTAATTTTAAAGAATTATTTATTTTTTGTTATTGATTTACTTTTTAATTAGGTTGTGAGTAATAAATAAATGTAAAAATTCAAAGTTGAAATTCAATTAATTGTCTACCTAGCAAAATAAAGTTGTAGAACTAAGAAATTCAAATTTATCAAATTGGCAATGCCTCTATCTTATTTCTTTCTCTTATCTCCTTTTTGGACCATAAATAATTTATTGTTAATATAATGTTTTTATATATATGTTTATTTACTATTCCTAATCATCAATGAAAAAGCCTTTGATTTTATAAGAAGATTTTAAATTTCAGAATAAAGAACTTTGAGATGATAAAATCATTTATGTCTAAACTAGATTAAAGAAAATATCTACTAAGTTGTTCGATTACGAGTTTAAAAATCAAATACTGATATATCTATATTATTAAATTTGCTTTAAGCTAATAAAATATAAGATTCTATACTTGTTCTAAATTAACTTTTTTTTACTCATTATCTCTTTATTAAGAATATTTTATATAACTATTACTTTTTTATATGATAATAATATTAATAATTAAATTGCAAAAAAAACAATAAGCAATTAAAATGAGGCAGAGATAAATTATCAAATTTAGAACAACTGAAATAAAATTGATTTATGATATATTTATAATAAGTATTATGATATCTAGAGTATCACAACTAATATATAAATGTCGAATTTGATTAAAATTTTCAACTCTAATTTTTTCGCACAATTCTTATTTGTCAATTATTTTCAGNCAAATTATTTTAAATATAATTAATAAAAATTCTTTAATAATTAACAATCCAAAAAAAGTTTGGAAAATTGTATTTCAAATATTAAATAATTTTAACAAAATATATATATAGTGAATTACATCAAATACCAATTTTATTTTTATGCATGTTCTATTGGGTGTAATGATTATGGGTTGACTTCTTTAATCTTGTCTTACATATTAGAGTATTACTTTAATTTTAAAGAATTATTTATTTTTTGTTATTGATTTACTTTTTAATTAGGTTGTGAGTAATAAATAAATGTAAAAATTCAAAGTTGAAATTCAATTAATTGTCTACCTAGCAAAATAAAGTTGTAGAACTAAGAAATTCAAATTTATCAAATTGGCAATGCCTCTATCTTATTTCTTTCTCTTATCTCCTTTTTGGACCATAAATAATTTATTGTTAATATAATGTTTTTATATATATGTTTATTTACTATTCCTAATCATCAATGAAAAAGCCTTTGATTTTATAAGAAGATTTTAAATTTCAGAATAAAGAACTTTGAGATGATAAAATCATTTATGTCTAAACTAGATTAAAGAAAATATCTACTAAGTTGTTCGATTACGAGTTTAAAAATCAAATACTGATATATCTATATTATTAAATTTGCTTTAAGCTAATAAAATATAAGATTCTATACTTGTTCTAAATTAACTTTTTTTTACTCATTATCTCTTTATTAAGAATATTTTATATAACTATTACTTTTTTATATGATAATAATATTAATAATTAAATTGCAAAAAAAACAATAAGCAATTAAAATGAGGCAGAGATAAATTATCAAATTTAGAACAACTGAAATAAAATTGATTTATGATATATTTATAATAAGTATTATGATATCTAGAGTATCACAACTAATATATAAATGTCGAATTTGATTAAAATTTTCAACTCTAATTTTTTCGCACAATTCTTATTTGTCAATTATTTTCAGATATTGAAATCATTTTAAAATATTTTTTATTACTTCAGATTTCTGTATTTGTCTATTACATAAATTTAGCATACAAATTAACAAATACATTTAACTTATCCAATATGTGATTTAGATTATTTCTATGACTCCATTGGCAAACTCAAATAATCTTTAACATAAATTGTCTTATTCAACTAATAAGAGAATTAATATTTTTTTCAAATCAAAAGAATAACAAAATCCTTCAACCTTCTAAATTTAATCTCATATAGTCAAGCTCTTATTTAAAATCTGAATAAGACGATCAATTATTTTGATTATATTTCTAAAAATTGCATAAACATTCTACAATGATGTTTAAATAATGTTGTTTCCCCAAAATTAAATTAGAATTTTTTTTTATTTCACCTATCGTTAATCAAACAAGATTAAATTTATTTTTTTTTTAATTTTAAACTGTTCTTAATTAAGAAAATCTAGAGCATTTCTATAAGTAAAATCAATTAATAGAAGTATTGGTAATTACTATTATCAGTAATATTTAGATAATTTGTACAAGAATAATTACTTGATAAAAAATAAGAGTAGTAGGAATGCTTCAATAAATTGACACATCATATAATTTCTGTTTTTTGTTCAATTTTTTTATACTTCCATATAAAGATAAAAATTAATCTCAAAATCTCAGAAAATATTTTAACAATGATTTTGATTTCTTCTATTCTAAAAAAAAAATATCAAGAATTATAGTAAATTTTAGACATCTATTTCCTCAGGAAGCAATACTATCGCATTTATTGTTTAATCAATGCATATGTCTAATCTTTTATCACATCTTATATATATAAATTATATTATTCTAAGTGCTAAGATCATAAAATAAGAAGGCTTAAGCATTTAAAAATTTTTTACAACAATAAATTTAAGTTGAAAATATAGAATTTTATATTTTTGTTAAAATAAAAAAAATGACAGTGAGAATTTCAGAAATTATTGATCTAATATTTTTATGTATATTAAGCAATCTTGTTAATTAAATCATTCTAAATTAAATAATTAACATTAGTGGATGTTTTCGAAAACATTCACTTTTCTTTCCTTCACAATGAAATTAGTTTATTTATTAATAATAAAAGATAGATATGTCTTATTTAGAAAAACATAAAATTAACTCAACCTAAATCTTGGACCTTGAATAGCTTACACCAGTCTTGGTTATATATACACTACTCAATCAGCTTTTTAAATGCTTTCTTTTCAGATCTTCATTTATTAATTCTATAAATTTATCATATTTCACTTATTAGATGATATTCTAAACTATTTTAGATGTTGCAAAGCGGTAATTATCTTATATTCTTACCATCAACTTAAGAACAGCTCTTTAATAATTTCTTGATTGCTCCTTTTATTTTTTAAGTCATAGCATAGAAAATTAAGAATATGTAGTTCTTGATGTAATATCTTTAGGATGTTACAATTAACTTTTGAGGTAAAAAAGAATTAAAAATGTTAGATAATTCTGAGAAGAAGGGAAACTTTAGTGTTCTGGGAGCAATTTGGTCTAATAATTATATATCTTTTCAAGTATTTAAGATTATGAGAATCCAAAATAGATACACTCCATCTATTCCTATTGATTAATTTCATTATTATTTATTGATTATAAATCTTTCGAAGAAGAGAGAGGTGGCCATTATATTATTAAAAACGCCAAAAATATTCATATTATCCTTATAGTATTTGAGTTTATTCTGAAATCTGAATTTTATGTATTTATATGATGGGCTAAATATGAAAATAGGTCTGAATTAAGTATTATTCTGTATATTGTGGAAAATACTTATTCAATCGAATTATATATTTATTTTTTTCAATTTTTAAGGTACATATTTGTTTGGTTCAAAGTTTTAGAGATTACAAGTTTTCCTACTGTCCTCTCTTACTTACTTTTTAAATCTCTTATATTTTAAAAATAAAGAGCTAGGTTTTGCTTATGGTCTGCTCTTAAATATTTTCTAATTACTCTCATCATTGATCAATTCTCCTTTGATTCATTCTTGGTGCTTCCAAAAATTCCATCAAGAAAAATTTTTTTTTAAGCATTTGAATTATAGTCTTGTGATGGATTGGAGTAGCAATTATTTATATAATCTTCTCTTTTATATAAAAAGACACTTTTTTTTTAGAATTTAGTGTTTGTTTTTATACAATTTAATTTTCATTATTGTGTATTTTGTTTAATAATATACTTTAGGCTAAATCTAAAATATTTTGTTCACTAACAATACCACCAAATAAATTTTCTAGATAATTCAATATTTTTATTCATTTAATTAATATTCAAATTAGTTGAAATTATTTAGAATTCTCATAAATTGAAAAAAATTATATGCTTAAACAAAATTTATTCAGCAAAACATGTGAATAATTTCAAAATTTGCTTTTGAGAAATATTTTATGATTAAAATTATTTAAATTTTTAAGAAATTAAATTTTTCCTTAGCTCATTAATGTATTACTGAAAATTAATACTATTACAAGAATGAGGTAAATTTAAAACAATCAAAAATGGCTTTTTTGAACTACATTAATTTACATTTAATTATGGAATCATAAATTCGAGAATTATATTATAAATAGAGTAAATTATTTGCAAAAAAATAGTCGTTTTTATTTTAAAATTTAGAAAAATAACAAATAATGACCTAGATACTAAATATAAGTAATAAATACTTAAGTCAAGTTTGTTTTCTACTTTTATCAGTATTGGAATAGTCCAAAATATGATTCATTATATTTAGTATAAAAATTAATTTTAAATGATCTTGTTTGTTAATTATAAAATTTAATTCCTTGATAATGATTTAAATGTTCTTACAATTAGAATTGAAAAACATATTTAAAATATACCGAATAAGAATATTTATAATTTATAATTATTTTTCCCTATATAAATTTATAAAATCATTTTCATCAAAACATAAGATATCCAAAAATGATCGTTGATAATCCAAGAATGTATCCTGAATCGGTTGTTGTTTCATTATTTGTATTATTTGTATTATTATTTGTATTATTTGGTTAAACAACAGGTGCAGTGCAAACTCCACATTTACTTGTTGATGCATTCCATGTATAAGTATATCCAGAAACCAAGAAACAATCATTTAATGACAAAGTTGAGGGATCTGTGGCTGTACATGTTCCACTAACAAGAGTACAAACTTATTAAGTCTTTTTATCCCAATTTAAGAATCTTGTACAAGCTCCATTTGTAGCTTAATTTGTAGCACAAGTATGAGTGGCACATTTACTAGCAACAGCAGTTGTACCAGTTCCTGATGCTGGAGTCCATGAACATCTATCTCTAGCTTATTAACAAGCAACTTAATCATTATTAGCAGTGGTACATGCTGTCATTAATGCACAAGTTCCAGTACCAGCAACAGCTCCTGTAGCAGTTGATTAAGTGAATACACAAATACCATCTAATCCACCTGAATTACATGCTGTCTTAGTTTTATAGGCTGAGCAATTAGCTTTAGTAATACAAATAGTTCCATCTGAAACACATGATGACAAAGCTACTGAACAAACATTGGTGGCTGTACCATTTTGGATATCAGGGCAAGTTAATAATCTACATTTAGCTGTGTTATTATTTGTAGCTGATGCAAGTTCCCAATAACATACACCATCAGATCCAACAGCAGTTGTACAAGCAGTTTATGTTGTGTATGATGAACATGCTCCTTTGAGTAAACAAGTTGTTCCATCAGATGTACATGTTGATAATTATGAAGAACATGCTGCATCGGTTGTACCAGTCAAATCAGCACATGATTAATCTCTGCAACTATTAGCTGTTGTATCCCAGGTACAAATACCAGTTGAAGTTATGACTCCAGATGTATAAATAACACCTTTATCATTAAAATAACATCCTGCTTATGAGGTATAAGATGAGCAAGCACCTAATGCAATACAACCAGTAGTTCCATTTGTTGTACATTTACTACTAGCAATTTAACAATCTGAATGAGTTGTATAGAAAGCATCAGCACAAGAAGTATATGGTTTACAAACCTTTGGATCTGCAGAATTCAGAGCTGGTACTGATTATATACAAGCTCCATCATATCCTGTGACACATCCACCATCAGTATTAGTTTCGGAACATTAAGTAATTCCAATACAATTAGATCCATTAGTTGTACATTATTTACTTATCCATTTACATTAAGTATCAGAATTCCAAGTCAAACTCTTACATGAAGTATATCTAAAGCAAGCTCCTGTAGATCCATCAGAGTTAACAAAGTCATTAACCCATAAACATGGGCCATTTGTTCCTTCAATACATGCAGTTCTCAATGTAGTTTATTCACAATTTTAAACTCTAGCACATTTTCCATTAGCTCCAGCAGTACATCCAGCTCTTTAACCTTAACATGCAGCATGAGAAGTTCCACTAAAATCTTAACAATCTTTGTCTCTACATTTATTTTATGCACTATCCCAAGCACAAATAGTTCCATTAAGAGCGGTTGTACAAGCAGCATCAACAGTAACAGCTGCACAAGTTGATTTAGTAACACATCCACCGCCATTCTTTGTAGTACAATTAGTGAAATAGGCTGCACAAGCTGCTTCAGAAGTTAAAGTATTTGGAGCTGTATTACATGTCTTTACTGTACAATAAGCTTGAATATTGCCAACAGCTGGCATCCATTCACATTATTGATTTGTTGCTGAAGTAACACAACCAGCTTAGCTCATTGCTTAGAAGCATGTTCCTCTTGTGATACAATTTGTTCCATTTGTTGTGCATGTACTTAATGCTTATCTACATAAGGCATCAGTGGCAAAAGCAAAATCTTCACAAACCTTTGTTTTACATTTAACATCTGCATCTAAAGTACATCCAGCTAAATAAGTATTACATTCATCAGGAGAAGCTGTTGCTTCTGGAGCATTTTCACAAGTTCTAGTAATACAAGCTGTACCATTCCAATAACATAATCTACCAGATTTATCAGTAATACATTATTTTTCTACCATAGTTTCACATGTATCTGGTATATCAACACATCCTTATCCTGAATCTGCAACTGTACATTTATTATCAAAATAAGCTCTACATTTATCATTATCATCATAATCAGCAGTTGTCGGTGCAGTAGCACATGATTTATCCGCACATAATGTACCATTCCATCCACAAGCATCTCCAGTAGCATTAAATTTACATTATTCTTAATGGATGTAAGTAGCACAAGCTGCTGTTTATTGACAACCACCTAAGACTGGTGCACCACCATTTGCGTCAGGTGTGGCAACTACTGTGCATCTAATAGAGGCTGTGAAGAAATAGGAATTACAATCATCATGTGTTGCTGTTGCAGTTGGGGCAGTATTACATGATTTATCTTAACAAGCTGGTTAGGCTAAATTTGTGTTCCAAACACAAATACCTCCACTTCCATTTCGACTGCATTAATCCTCAATTTAGTATGAACTGCAGGCTCCTCTAGCCATACAACCAGGAGCAGCAGCTCCATTTGTAGCTCTAACTGTACATGTTGAATCAACTTATTAGCATTTAAAATGAGTATCATATAAAGATGTTTACTCTATATTACCGCAACTGAAATCAACACAAGTCAAATTTGTTGAATTCCAGAAACATCTTCCACCACTTGTATTGACTTTACATTAATTTTATGATCTATATGTTGAACAAGCAGCTCTTGGTTAACAACCTCCTTTTCTTGCAACTGTGCATGTGGATAAATATCCATTACATTCACTATGTGAGTCAAAGTTCTCACCTGGAGTAGCTAAACTACAGGTCTTTCTGACACAAGATGTTCCTTGGACAATGCAGGGACCTTCTAGCGACCAAACGCATGAATCTACAGTGGAACTGGCACAAGTGGCTAACATGTTTATGCATCCAGTTGCTGTTGAATTGCTTGTACATGTAGGTAACCAAGTATAACAACTGTAATGAGTATATGGACCTGTTTTATTTTGACAAGTCTTAACTTAGCATGCAGTGGTGCTTAAATTAGTGCAATTTCTATTGAATTCATTGCATTTGTTATGAGTGTAATTACCAGATCCTAAATATAGACCCGAGCATGTTGTTGATTCTGTCAAAGCAACGCATTAATCATCTGAACTATTAGCAATACAAAGTCCTGCAGTAGATTTATAACACTTTTGCATTGATCCTGTATATCCTGAACATTCTGCTTGAATTGTAACACAACCAGTTCTAGCTCTGTTTACACTACATGTATTACTATGGTCTTAACAATCTTCCAAAGTTAAAAAATCACTTGTGATTAATTCGCAAGTAAATGTTACACATCCAGTACCATCGGCATTACTATAGCAAGACTAATGATAGTCTGAACATAATTAATTAGTTAAACCTGTTCCTGTTACTACATTACAATTTGCAGAAGAAATATCTAAACAATTGGTACCATCCCAAAAACATTTTCCACCAGCTTTTAAAGTACACAGATTTTCTGCAGCATAATCATTGCAAGAATTTTACATAGTTCTGCACGCAGTTCCATCAGGTTTATGAATGCAACTTTGATTATATCCAGAACATTGTAAACTAGTTAAACCTGTTCCTGTTACTACATCACAATTTGCTGAAGTAATATCTAAACAGGCAGAATCAGCAGCTTTCCAGAAACATTAACTTCCACTATTTTTTATTGTACACATATTTTCTTCAGTATAACCACTGCAATTTTCTGCACGTGGTCTGCATGCAGTTCCATCAGGAGCATGGGTGCAATTAAAATTATAGCCAGCACAAATTAAATTAGTTAAACCTGTCCCTGTTACTGAATTACAATTTGCTGCAGTAATATCTAAACAGGTGGAATCAGCAGCTTTCCAAAAGCAATTTTAAGTATTAGATTTTACTGTACATTGAGCTTCAGTTGAATAACTACTGCAATTTGTTTATATTGTCATACATTCAGTTTGAGTAGAATTAATAATGCAACTTTCATTGAATTCTTAACAAAAAGCTGAATTTTACCCATCTAATCCTGTTACTGAACTACAATTTGCTGAAGTAATATCTAAACAAGTGGAATCTGCAGCTTTCCAAAAGCATCTTAAACCATTAGATTTTATTGTACAATTAGCTGCAGTTAAATAACTACTGCAAGCTTATTACATTGATCTGCATGCAGTTCCATCACTATTAACAGTGCAATTTTAATTATAGTATTAACATGCAACATGATTTGAATCTGATAATCCAGTTATCATTTCACAAGAGAAAGAACAAGCACTTGTATCAGTAGCATTTATTGAATTAGTGCAACCTACTTTCAATTATTCACAATAAGACTTTGTTCCTCTAAAGTTTGAGCATGGTTCTTCGAGGTAGTTACCAGGGAAGCATTTGTTTAAAACTGAATGCCAACTACAGTTATCCTCTGTTGATGTTAAAGTACTATAACACTATTCTTCTAACAAATAGTCACTGCAATTAGCTGATTTTGTAACACATCCTCCAGTATTTGACATTACTGTACAAACTTCAGTAGGTGTTATATAGGTTGAACATGATTCATGAGTATTATATTCAATAGTACCTGGAGCATCAGCACAAGTTGCATTTCTACAAGCTGATCCAGTCCATATACAACTCTTCCTATTAGAATTCATTACACAATTTATGGAGGATCCATAAGAAGTACAAGCTGTGGCTAAATTTTAACAAGCTGTTCCGCCATTATTCACTGTACATGTATCCAATTAACGTTAACAATTATCATGGGTAGTTAATGGTATATTTGTACATGTTCTATCAACACAGGTATTGGTATTCAAATTCCAATAGCAATCTCCATTTGATTTTGAACCAAGTCCACAATTTGCTTAAACCAAATTATTACAACTTGATGGTTTTGGAATGCAATTATCAGCTGTACTATTGGCTATACAACTATTAGTAGTTAAATAACCTGAACAAGTTGTATTACTAAAAACTGATAAGAATCCTGTAGTTGTTGTAACATTAGCAGTAGCACAAGATTTCTCAACACATACAGATGTAGCAGTATTCCATAAACATGTAGGCAATCCAGATCTTGAAATTTAACAATTTTCAATTGATTTTCTAGCAGCACAAGTTGTTGGTAAATCTTAACATCCTGAAATTGATCCATTAACGGGATTATTAGCAACACAACCTGATTTGTAATTATTACATTCTTCAGTTGTTGATGATGTTCTAGGAGCAGTCGAACAAGCTTTATCAATACATTAAGAACCATTCCAACCACATGGTAAGTATGATCTAACTCCATTTGTAACTTATAATCTAATATTACATGCCAATTCAATAGTATAGGCTTCACATTTAAGGGGTATAGGAACACATCCAGAACCAGTATTACTCAAAGTACAACTAGAATCATAAGTTTAACAATCTGAATGACTTTATATGGTTGATGAAGCTAAGACACATTCTTTTTTGTAACATTTTCCTTTCCAAATACATGCTTTATTATTCAAATCTTTATCACAAATAGTTTATTCCAAAGAATTTTCACATGTTTTCTCTACACAACCAGCTAAGGGTTTATTTACTGTACAAGTTGATAAAAAGGCAACACATAAATCATGAGTAGTATTACTTGATGGTGCATTAGTACAAATCTTATCTTTGCAGGTAGTACTTGAAGTATCCCAGAAACAAGTAGCTCCATAAACATTTTTTATACAAGCAGCTTCTAAAGTGATATTTGAACATGTAGTATTTGTTACACATCCACCTCCTGTCTTTGTTATACAATTATTATTTGGTAAATATGCTTCACATGCATCATTAGTTGTTAATGTTGTTGGAGCATTTGTACAACTTCTAGGTTAACATCCACCTCCTGCTTTAACTGTACATGTTGGTAAATATGATGTACATAAGTCATGAGTATTATTAGTTATTGGTGAATTAGCACAAGTCTTTTCTTTACATGTTGTATCCCAAATACAATCAGTTCCTGAAGAGTTTTTAACACAAGCAGCTTAGACATTTGCAGCAGAACAAGCTCCATTAGATACACAACCTCCACCTGATTTAGTAATACATCCTGTTACAAATCCAGCACAAGCAGAATTAGTTGTCATTGTAGTTGGGGCATTTGTACATATCTTATCAACACATGCAGTTCCAGTCCAATAACAATCACCACCTGAACTATTCTTAATACAAGCAGCTTAGATAGTTGCAGCTGCACAAGTAGTTCTAGTAATGCAACCTCCATTAGGTTTAGTTGTGCATGTTCCATCAGTTCTAAAGGTTTTACATGTTTCATCAGTTGTTAATGTTGTTGGTGCATTATCACAAATTCTATCTTTACATGCTGCTCCATCCCAATAACATGCAGTTGTTCCTAATTTATTCCAAACACATTAAATTTCTAATGTTTAATCACTACAATTATTTCCACTATCAACACATCCACCTCCAGTCTTTGTAGTACAAGTTGATATCTCATCTCTACATTCTTTATCTGTAACAAATGTAATTGGTAATCTATCACAAGCATTAGCATCTACACAAGTATTATTTGTTGTATCCCAATAACACAATCTTCCTGAGGCATTTTTGACACAAGGAAGTTGTTTCTTGTATGTACTACAAGCATCAAGTTCAACACAATGAGTTCCATCTGTAATACATCTATTACTTATTGCTTAACATTCAGGATCTGTTGTTTTTGCAAAGGCTGTGCATCCTGTAAAATGTGTGCATTTGCTGTCAACCCAGGCACAGGCAGCATAATTACCACAATCTGTACAAGGTTTAGCTTTAGGGCAATCTGTTTCTGCAAAGCTTTCACAATATGTCACATAAGTCACTGTTGGAGTGACAGGAGTAGTTGAAATGGCACAAGATTTCTTTGTGCTATCCCAAGAACATCCAAGTGTAGTATTTTTTATACAATCTCCTTCTGATAACAACTAGGCACAAGTGCATGTTGCTATACTGTAGGTTTGACTTGTCGCTAAGGCAAGCAACAAAGCTAATATGATGAATTATTTATTCATTAAAAGTATTATTTGTTATGTTAGTATTAATTTCAGTTAAATTAATTCCTAAAAATTAAATTATTTTATTTTAATAATTACATCCTAAATCTAAAATAAAATTAGATTCAGTTTTTCTTTTGCTTTTTAATTAACATCATTATTATTAATATTGTATAATGTTCAAGGGTGGTGAAGATGAGAACTTTGTAAATATATAAGGGAAGCAAGATTCTATGGTAATTTTGTAGTTTAGACTTTGTATATGCCTAATTCAATCTTATTCTCTGTTCTCTAGCTTCTATTATGTTCATTTTCTAGTTTTAAGATGTAATTAAATAGAGAGATAGGTAGGAGTAATGCTTGATTATATTCTTGAGAGAATACATGAAGGAAAAGGCAAAGCTGGAAACAAAAAAGGATGATGAAGAAAATATAAATTTCTTATAATATCCCTAAAAATCAAAAAATACACGTCATGTATTGTAATTGTTTCACTTTATTGAAGTATAATGAGATTTCATATGTTCAGATGCTATTCTAGTGATTTAAAATCTAATATATTTAAGATGTCTTAAATTCTTCTTTTCATCAAAATGACAATAGAACTGGATGATTGACAACTAAATACAATATACTGATCCATTTTAGACCCAATTTTAGTGAGAGAAGATGATAAATAAGTATGTTTTAGAAATTATTTAAATTTTATTTATTATGTCAAAATGAAATAGGTTCTAATGTATTCATCCTAAAGTATGATATTTCTTTGGATGTAGTATGTTGGACTTATTTATTCAAAGATGGAGATCTTTGAAAAAGTATAAAGAGTAAAAATTATAGAATTTTCATAATCTTTGTATTTTCTTTATTTATATTACTTCGTACTATTTTTATTAATTTATATTAAATATTATAATTAGGATATTTTTTAATTTATTCACTCATTTTTTCTATTCATTTTATCATACTAAAGACAGTATTAGTTAATATTTAGCATTACTATTTTATTCTAAGAATTTTTTGTTTTATATTGTTTTAGGTCATTAATTTCAGTTTCTGTATTGAAAGTTGCCTATTTGAATATTTCTTATAAATCAAATTATAAAGGTCAATAATTTTTGGTTCATTTGATTAGAAAATGAAAAGACTTCTAATTGCAATATAAATCAATAAGACTAAGCAAAAAGCTTGAATTTGGAAAAAAAGCGCAAATATTTTAAATAAATATAATATGAAATTCCTTAATAATAACAATACTTTTGTAATTTGAAAAATTGTATTAAAAATATTGATTCATTTGATATATGTGTGTTAATATTGATGGACTATAGTGAATTGGGCCATAAATATAATATTAAAGGCATATTTGATCTGATCCATTCAGATAGTTAAGTCTTATTCTATTGCTAGGAATGCATTGAAAATATGTATTTACTATTTAATGGGATTAATCTGAGTGATTTGATTTTAATGGATTATTTCTATTTTTTTATTGACATACTATTTTACGTCATATAAATTTTATAATTATACCGAGTTTCTTGTATATAATTTTGCAAAACTTTGAAAGTTCAAAGCTAATAGATGAAAATCACATAAGCTGTTTCTATATCTAATATCTATCCACTATCTCGAATTTGGACCATGATTAATATATTTTTATAATAAAAGAAAATAGTATATATAATTATGAGTTCATCAACTAGTCCTATGAATTGATGGACTAATTAATCTTATATTTCTAATCAATTAGATATTATTACCTTTTCCTTGTTGAATTTTGAGTTTAAAAATCAAATAATATAATTGCACCATTTGGAATTTCACAAATATAATTTTATTAAAATCCCAAAAGTACTAAAGTGTCTAATATTATCTAAATGTTAATGAGATGTGTTATCTTCTAAAAATCTGAAAATAGCAGCCAAATTTATAAAATAATATCAATGAAATAGCATATACAACATTCCATCTTCTATTATAATAAATTCATATCTCATCCTATTTTAATCCATCATTCGTTTTATATACACTATTCTAAAGAGTTGCCCTTTTACTATATTCAGCTAAAGTGAGTGTTTGTTTAAATAGAGCTTTAAATTAGAAGAAATAAAAATTTATTCATTATTATGATAAGAAGAACTAATTATAAAAGAAGACTTAATTAAAATAGATATTGAAGAGTTTGTGATATATATATTAAAAAATAAAATGATAATTGGTTTCAAATCAAAAAGCAATTATTAATTTTCAAGTTGATGCGTTATTTAATTTTTAAGTGCTTTTTCTCTTTCTAAATACTCTATAAGCTTGATTCCTAATCAATAAATAGAGAAATTTCAATTACAGATAATTTACTAGTGGTTTTATAATTGTTTGATTCTCATAAATTCCCATATATACTTAGATACATAAATTATTTTAATAAAAACTCACCTTAGTTTATTTAAAAATAATATGTTCATTTATTTAATTTCTCAGTCTTTGTCTTTTACATGACCAATACTCAATTTTATTATTTAATATAAATTGTGATTTTAGATGATTAATATCTACTTATCCTTCAAAATAAAATCCTCAATGTCATTTAGACATTTAGATATATTCAAAGAGACTCTCAAATTTTAATCAAAATAAATTATGTTTTAAAGAAACATAATCTCATTATGGTACAAATTGCTATCCATATAGCAACTCTTAAGAGGAAGAAGATTACAATTTATACATAATAGAGTCAGGTAATAAAAAAATAAAAAATATGAATTGATGTTTTTATATAAAGGTAACTATTTTTAGGTGATTCTGTAGATTTAAAAGGAACAAATTTCATTTAGAATATTAAAAAAACTGAGTGGTTTTTCAATGAAAGATAGAGAGAGATCTTTCCATCAAGATTATAATTCATAATATTTCAACATAAAAAGTAAGATAGTTGATCATTTTCTTTTGACATTGTAATATCAATAGATTCCACTCAATTATTAGCATAATATTAAAATAAGGATATACTTAAATTTTAATTGAAATCTATAAAATTGTTGAATTTTTAATAATATATGTATTTAATCTTGATATATAAATCCCATTTTTTATTCAATAATTTAGAAGAAAATCCATTTATAAACTATGATTTCTATATGGTCTTGATGCTTATGCCTATTAATTCAATTATTTTTATTACTGTAGTTTCATTTTTATTAATATTCTATGTTAATCTATTATTATACTTAAGCTTTTTAATTTTTAAATGCTTTTAAGTTGATTTTAACTAATAAACTAAATTTTACTTAAATAAGTCTATTTGTAAAAAGCTTGATATAATTTTGTTGATTTAAAGTAAATAAAGTCTCAATTTCAAAGTCAAATATCTTTTTTGTTTTTCATTAATAATAAAATAATTTAAATGTTAATTTTTGTTTTAATAAAAGATTATTTTCTTAATCTACATATTTTGGAGTTTATAATAAATTTTTATAGAAAATGATTAACAATTATTCCTAATACTAAAGTCCCATGTGTTTAATATCTAATGTAGCCTTCAAAAAGGCTAAACGCGAAAAAGTACTAAAAAATTTATATGGATATCGAAAATTTGATTCAGCACATTAGTATTAAAAATTATTTTTTCCTCTTCTTCAAAATGAATATTATAGATCAATTGCTAGAGATGAAAAGGGCTTTTATGAAAGATTGTTTTATAAAGAATCATATCCATTGACATTGAGAATTAGTAATTTTAATAATGATAATAATGCTGCAATTGAAGTGAAAATTGAATCTGAGATAGACAAACAGGATCCTAGGATAAGATAAAAAGAATTATGGAAATATAGGCATTATTCTGATTACCTGGTTTTCAAAGAGTCCTTTTCATACATTGGTGCAATATACATTTTGGATCCAGATGATAATAGATAATATTTGATGTCTTTGGCAATCTTTAAAAATAAAGAGAATGAACAGCATTTATTACTTCCAAATAGCATAACATTATATTTCCCATTAGGCACATTAGTAAACAACTAAGAAATTTATTTTCAACCAATCTGTCCTTTAAGTGCATATAGAACAGAAACAGAATGCCTATTTCAATTAGATAAATGTCCCTATTATCAATTGATATTGAATCCAATAGAAGAAAATAATAATGTCTAAACTTCTGAATTTGCTTAACTTGTAGAATAATAAGAAGAGTAGTATACTTAAAAGGAAGAATTTAAAAAACATTTTAACGATGAACAAATAATTGCTATCAAAAAGGCTTTAAATTTTCATAAAAGGGTAATAATAATATTTAATCCAAGTTTACTATTATAAAGGGTCCTCCTGGAACTGGTAAAACTTAAACAATAATAGGAATCATATCAATTATGGCATAAATGTTAATTTACAAGGAGAATGAAAAGACAGGGGCAATTTTAATCTTAGCTAAATCAAATAGTGTAGTCAATGATTTAGTAAGAAAGATTCAAAAAAATATTGAAGAATAGAACTCAATTATATATTGTTTTTAATAAAAACCAGATTACTTGAAAGTTGTTCGGTTTGGAAGACCAAATTTATGTGATGAAGATATAGAATAACATAGTTTAGAAATCTAATCTCAAAATTAATTCTTTTAACTTTTTATATAAAAAATAAAAGAGATAGAAAAATAATGTATAACTGAAAAAATAAAGGATCTAATGATAAATAATAAAATTGATGATTATTAAGAGTATTTAAAACTTAATAAATAATAAATAACATTAATTTCATTGTTAAATTATATCGATGATCTTAATAGATACTGTAAAGATTCAGAAATATTAAATGCATATGGTAAGTTTTATTAAGATTTATCAAAATTATTATAAACAGAAAAAAAGTAATATGAAGAGATTGAATAAAATTAATTATAAAAAGTAAAATATATGAATATAACAATTATTAGTGTCACATAGTAGTGTCTACATTAAATAGTTGCTCAAAAGAATGTTTAAGAAAATATTTTGAAGGAGTTAACTTTCGAATGTGTATCATTGATGAAGCACCTACAGCACTTGAACCAGCTTTATTGATTCCCATGGTGAACTATCCTAAAATTGAGAAAATTGTTTTACTAGGTGATTTAAAATAATTAAGTCCAATTGTTATAGCAAGAGAATCATTTAATCATGGTTATAATAGATCTTTATTTGAGAGATTGGCAGAGAGATTACCTAAAAGTACTACTTAATTGATTTATTAATACAGACAAATGGGTAATTTAGCTGAAATTACATCAGAATTGTTTTATGATAAAATTATTTAGAATGGTGATGAAAATATGTAATTCCCATTTTGGATATCATAGAAAGTGTCTTAAGGTTAAAATAGATTATTTTTCAGTGCTCCTTCTTAAACAGAAAGTAGAGAGGAAACAAGTAGAAAGAATGATTTAGAATGTAAAGCCATTATCAATTTAATTAAATATTTATTGGAGGGCTTAAATTTATAGTAATATAAAAATCAAATTACAGTTATTAGTGGTTATGCAGCTTAAAAGAAGAATTTATTTTAATAATTATAAAACGAAATATTTCAGGATCATAAAAGTAGAAAAAAAATAATAAAATTAAGTGATTTAATAGAATTAGACACTGTTGATTCCTTTTAAGGAAAGGAAAATGATATTATCATCTTATCACTTGTAAGATCAAATGAATAGGCAGGTTTTTTAACTGATAAGAAGAGAACTAATGTTGCACTCTCCAGAGCAAAATATTGTCAATATATATTTGGTACTTATGAGACAATGCAGAGGAGTCTAAATAATTGGAATAAAATATTTAAATTGCTTAAACCAGAAGAGATAATTAATTATAAATAATAAGATTTATAGAATCCTAATTTCTATAAGTCCATATTAAAATTAGAATGAATTATATTATTAAAATTAGAGTATTTAAGTCATTCTTTTTCAAAAACATTTTTTTTATGATGTAGTCATAATAAGAATCAAATTCTTAAATATTAAAAATTATAATAGAAATTTCTTTATATTAAATAGTATTTTAATTAATTAATTTAAATGCACATATGTTGATCCTTAAATATTGTTTATTATATAGATTCGATCATTAATTATTTTAATAAATTAATTTTAGCTATTAGATTTTAATTGAAATAGGCTCCATATTTAAGATATCAAAATTTAATGAATCCATTATTAAATATTAACACCTTGATCTTTGAACAAAAATCAAATCTAATATCTCTCAGATGATAGTAATAGAACAATAATTAACAATACTATTTTAGACATAGAATTATTGAGCTCATGATAAAAGGCTAATTTTAAAACATCTTTATATTCTAACTTATGGAGATATTTAATTCTCCTAGAACAATTATTTATTAAATTTAATCTTTACCTTAAAACATATAGATATGAAACTCTAATTTTTATGAATAGTAATATTTCTTAAGATAAGGTATTTATTATATAATTTTATAGTATTGATGATTCATTAATGGATAAGATGTAAACTTGATTCAGTATTACATTAAAAATTCCCAAATGTTTAAAGTAATTATTTCATTACATTTCTAAAATAATTGAAATATTATTCAAAAATATCTATAAAAATCTAATTAAAAAAAAATTGATTTATTACATTTCAACTCTAATATAATTTTAAAGATTGATATTTTTAGACCACCATTTTGAAATCAAAAAATTAGTTCATTTAGATAATAAAAAATATATCATATCATTCTTGTCTTGTTTAATTTTTTCAAAATGTATTCTAAAAATGTTCTACTGATTTAAAATCCGAAGTTATATATTTTTTCTTTAATTATAATATAATAAATTTTCTTTTAGGTGTTATTATTTTAAATTGATTAAAATTTCATGGAAACCAATATAATAAATTAATAAATTATAATAAATTTTTCTATATAAATTTATAAAATCATTTTCATCAGAACATAAGATATCCAAAAATGATTGTTGATAATCCAAGAATGTATCTTGAATCGGTTGTTGTTGTTTAATTATTTGTATTGTTTGTATTATTATCTGTATTATTTGGTTAAACAACAGGTGCAGTGCAAACTCCACATTTGCTTGTTGATGCGTTCCATGTATATGTATATCCAGAAATCAAGAAGCAATCATTTGATGATAAAGTTGATGGATCTGTAGCTGTACATGTTCCACTAACAAGAGTACAAACTTATTAAGTCTTTTTATCCCAATTTAAGAATCTTGTACAAGCACCATTAGTTGCTTAATTTGTAGCACAAGTATGAGTGGCACATTTACTAGCAACAGCAGTTGCACCAGTTCCTGATGCTGGAGTCCATGAACATCTATCTCTAGCTTATTAACAAGCAACTTAATCATTATTAGCAGTGGTACATGCTGTCATTAAAGCACATGATCCAGAGTCAGCAGCAGCTCCAGTTGCAGTTGATAAAGTGAAGACACATATTCCATCTAATCCACCTGAGTTGCATGATATTTTATTTTTATAAGTTGAGCAATTAGCTTTTGTAATACAAACTGTTCCATCTGAAACACAGGATGACAAAGCTATTGAACAAACATTGGTGGCTGTACCATTTTAAATATCTGAACAAGTTAATAATCTACATTTAGCAGTGTTATTATTTGTAGCGGATCCAAGTTCCCAATAACATACACCATCAGATCCAACAGCAGTTGTACAAGCAGTTTAAGTTGTATATGATGAGCATGCTCCTTTGAGTAAACAAGTTGTTCCATCAGAAGTACATGTTGATAATTATGAAGAACATGCTGCATCGGTTGTTCCAGTCAAATCAGCACATGATTAATCTCTGCAACTATTAGCTGTTATATCCCATGTACAAATACCAGTTGAAGTTATGACTCCAGATGTATAAATAACACCTTTATCATTGAAATAACATCCTGCTTATGAAGTATAAGATGAACAAGCACCTAATGCAATACAACCAGTTGTTCCATTTGTTGTACATTTACTACTAGCAATTTAACAATCTGAATGAGTTGTATAGAAAGCATCAGCACAAGATGTATATGGTTTACAAACCTTTGGATCTGCAGAATTCAAAGCTGGTACTGATTATATACAAGCTCCATCATATCCTGTGACACATCCACCATCAGTATTAGTTTCAGAACATTAAGTAATACCAATACAATTAGATCCATTAGTTGTACATTATTTACTTATCCATTTACATTAAGTATCTGAATTCCAAGTCAAACTTTTGCATGAAGTATATCTAAAGCAAGCTCCTGTCGATCCATCAGTATTAACAAAGTCATTAATCCAAAGACATGGTCCATTTGTTCCTTCAATGCAAGCACTTATAATTGTAGTTTATTCACAATTTTAAACTCTAGCACATTTTCCATTAGCTCCAGCAGTACATCCAACTCTTTATCCTTAACATGCAGCATGAGTAGTTCCACTAAAATCTTAGCAATCTTTATCTCTACATTTATTTTATGCACTATCCCAAGCACAAATAGTTCCATTAAGAGCAATAGTACAAGCAGCATCAACAGTAACAGCTGCACAAGTTGATTTAGTAACACATCCACCTCCATTCTTTGTGGTACAATTAGTGAAATAACCTGCACAAGCGGCTTCAGAAGTTAAAGTATTTGGAGCAGTATTACATGTCTTTACTGTACAATATGCTTAATTATTTCCAACAGCTGGCATCCATTCACATTATTGATTTGTTGCTGAAGTAACACAACCAGCTTAGCTCATAGCTTAGAAGCAAGTTCCTCTTGTGACACAATTTGTTCCATTTGTTGTACATGTACTTATAGCTTATCTACATAAGGCATCAGTGGCAAAAGCAAAATCTTCACAAACCTTTGTCTTACATTTAACATCTGCATCTAAAGTACATCCAGCCAAATAAGTATTACATTCGTCAGGAGAAGCTGTTGCTTCTGGAGCATTATCACAAGATCTTGTAATACAAGCTGTACCATTCCAATAGCATAATCTACCAGATTTATCAGTAACACATTACTTTTCTACCATAGTTTCACATGTATCTGGTATATCAACACATCCTTATCCTGAATCTGCAACTGTACATTTATTATCAAAATAAGCTCTGCATTTATCATTATTATCATAATCAGCAGTTGCAGTAGCACATGACTTATCTGCACATAATGTGCCATTCCATCCGCAAGGATCTCCAGAAGCATTGAATATGCATTATTCTGAATGTATATAAGTAGCACAAGCTGCTGTTTATTGACAACCTCCTAGAACTGGTGCACCACCATTAGCATCTTGTCTAGCAACTACTGTGCATCTAATAGAGGCTGTGAAGAAATAGGAATCACATTTAGAGTGTGTTACTGTTGCTGTTGGGGCAGTTGTACATGATTTATCTTAACATGCAGGTTAGGCTAAATTTGTGTTCCAAACACAAACACTTCCATTTGCATTAGTTTTGCATTAATCCTCAATTTAATAAGAACTGCAGGCTCCTCTAGTCATACAACCAGCGACAGCAGCTCCATTAGTAGCTCTAACTGTACAATTTGAATCAACTGTTTAGCATTTAGTATGATTATCATATGAAGATGTTTATTCAATGTTACCACAACTGAAATCAACACAATTCATATTTGTAGGATTCCAGAAACATCTTTCTCCACTTTTATTGAATTTACATTATTGATTTGATCTATATGTGGAACAAGCAGCTCTTGGTTAACAACCTCCTATTCTTGCAACTGTGCATGTAGTCAGGTATGAAGTACATTAAGCATTAGTAGTAAAGCTTGCAGCTGGTGAAGCTGTGTCACATGTTTTTCTAACACAAGATGTTCCTGAGACAACACATTCACCTTCAACTGCTCTAATGCATGATGCTTGACTCTAACTGGCACATGTTGCTGGCATTACTGCGCATGCATCTCCTGCTTAATTCACTGTGCAAGTACTCAACCAAGTATTACAATTAGAATGATTAAAAGTTCCTGTGAAGTTAGAGCATGCCTTAGTTTAACATCCTGTGTTATTTAAATTTGTGCAAGTATCTTTAAATTAATTACATTTTTCATGTGTGTAATTGCCAGTTCCTAAATATAAAGCTTCGCAAGTTGTTGATGCTGTTAGGGCAACACATGAATTATCTAAACTATTACTAATACAAAGCCCAGCAGTAGATCTAAAACAATTAGCAATAGTTGCTGAATATCCTGAACACTATGCTTGTATTGGGATGCAGCTACTTCCATCCCTCTTTACACTACAAGATGCGCTAAAAGCTTAACAATTTGTCCAACTTGGATTTGAAACAGTTTCACAAGTATATGTTTGGCAAGCAATTCCATCAGAATTACCAGTACATGATGTGCTGTATTATTAACATAGTGCATGGGTAAGACTAAAGCCTGCAATAACAGCACTGCAATTTGTAGAAATTATATCTAAACAAGCACCAGTAATAACAGGAGTAGCAGCAGCATCAGCAGCTCTCCAAAAACATTTTAATCCACCAACTTTTATGGTGCAATCAGCTTCGGTAGAATAGCTACTGCAGGCTGATTAAAATTTTCGACAAGCTGTTGAACCAGAATTAGTGCAAGAAGTACTATATGCTTAACAAGCTGCATGATTGGCATCATACAATCCAGTAACAGCGTCGCAATTTGTAGAAGTTATATCTAAACATACAGCTGTAATAGGAGGAGTAACAACAGCAAATCTCCAAAAGCACTTCAATCCACCAACTTTTATGGTGCAATCAGCTTCGGTAGAATAGCTACTGCAGGCTGATTAAAATTTTCGACAAGCTGTTGAACCAGAATTAGTGCAAGAAGTACTATATGCTTAACAAGCTGCATGATTGGCATCATACAATCCAGTAACAGCGTCGCAATTTGTAGAAGTTATATCTAAACATACAGCTGTAATAGGAGGAGTAACAACAGCAAATCTCCAAAAGCACTTCAATCCACCAACTTTTATGGTGCAATCAGCTTCGGTAGAATAGCTACTGCAGGCTGATTAAAATTTTCGACAAGCTGTTGAACCAGAATTAGTGCAAGAAGTACTATATGCTTAACAAGCTGCATGATTGGCATCATACAATCCAGTAACAGCGTCGCAATTTGTAGAAGTTATATCTAAACATACAGCTGTAATAGGAGGAGTAACAACAGCAAATCTCCAAAAGCACTTCAATCCACCAACTTTTATGGTGCAATCAGCTTCGGTAGAATAGCTACTGCAGGCTGATTAAAATTTTCGACAAGCTGTTGAACCAGAATTAGTGCAAGAAGTACTATATGCTTAACAAGCTGCATGATTGGCATCATACAATCCAGTAACAGCGTCGCAATTTGTAGAAGTTATATCTAAACATACAGCTGTAATAGGAGGAGTAGCAACAGCAAATCTCCAAAAGCACTTCAATCCACCAACTTTTATGGTGCAATCAGCTTCGGTAGAATAGCTACTGCAGGCTGATTAAAATTTTCGACAAGCTGTTGAACCAGAATTAGTGCAAGAAGTACTATATGCTTAACAAGCTGCATGATTGGCATCATACAATCCAGTAACAGCGTCGCAATTTGTAGAAGTTATATCTAAACATACAGCTTTAATAGGAGGAGTAGCAACAGCAAATCTCCAAAAGCACTTCAATCCACCAACTTTTATGGTGCAATCAGCTTCTACAGAATAACTACTGCAAGCTGATTAAAAGGTTCGACAAGCTGTTGAACCAGAATTAGTGCAAGTAGAACTATATGCTTAACAAGCTGCATGATTGGCATCATACAATCCCGTTATAGATTCACAAGAAAATGAACAAGCAATTGTTTTTATAGCATCAACTAAATTAGTACAACCTTATCTTATTGATTAACATTAAACTTGTGTGCCTGTAAAGGTTGAGCATGCATTCAAAAGTTATGTATTAGAAAAGCACTTATTATAATTTGAATTCCAAGTACAATCATCTGAGTTGGCTGAAAAAGTTCTATAACATTAAGCCTCTGATTTATAATCACTACAATAAGCTGATCTTGTCACACATCCTGATCCTCCAGTTTTGTATAAAACAGCACATGTTTCATTTGAGGTTTTATAATTTAAACATTCAGTATCTGAATCATAAGAATTGCTATCTGGTACATCTGAGCATATTGCATTTCTACAAATTGTACCAGTCCATATACAATTCTTTTTATTTAAATTTATTTTACAATTTTCCTATGATCTATAAGAATAACAATTCATTGCTAACAATTAACAACTTGTTTTTGAATTATTCACTGTGCATGTATCCAATGTATTATAACAATCAGAATGAGTATTTAATAGGATATTTGTACAAATTCTATCAACACAATTAGTACTATTCCAATAACAATCTCCATATTATTTTGATCCTATTTAACAATTTTAAGAATTTAATCCTGAACACTTAGTAGGCTTAGCTATACATCCATCTTAATTATTGTTTGAGATACAATTAGAAAGATAATTTCTACAACCACTGAATGTAAATTATCCTGATGATAATACACCTGGTAATCCTACAATACTTGCAGATGCACAAGATTTTTCAACACATACAGATGTAGCAGCATTCCATAAACATGTTGGCAATCCATTTCTTGAAATTTAACAATTTTCACTTGATCTTCTAGCAGCACAAGTTGTTGGTAAATCTTAGCATCCTGATATTGATCCATTAACAGGATTATTAGCAACACAACCTGATTTGTAATTATTACATTCTTCAGTTGTTGATGATGATCTAGAAGCAGTTGAACAAGCTTTATCAATACATTATGAACCATTCCAACCACATGCTTAGTATGATCTAACTCCATTTGTAACTTATAATCTAACATTGCATGCCAATTCAATAATAATAGCTTCACATTTAAGTGGAATAGGAACACATCCAACACCAGTATTACTCAAAGTACAACTAGAATCATAAGTTTAACAATCTTGATGAGTTGCTGTGGTTGATGAAGCTAATACACATTCTTTTTTATAACATTTTCCTTTCCAAATACATGCTTTGTTATTCAAATCTTTATCACAAATAGTTTATACCAAAGAATTTTCGCATGTTTTCTCTACACAACCAGCATTGGTTGAATTTACTGTACAAGTTGATAAAAAGGCAACACATAAATCATGTGTATTATTAGTTGATGGTGCATATGTACAAATCTTATCTTTGCAACCTGAACTTGAAGTATCCCAGAAACAAGTAGCTCCATAAACATTTTTGATACAAGCAGCTTCTAAAGTAATTAACGAACATGTAGTATTTGTTACACATCCACCTCCTGTCTTTGTTATACAATTATTATTAGGTAAATATGCTTCACATGCATCATTTGTTGTTAATGTTATTGGAGCATTTGTACAACTTCTAGGTTAACATCCACCTCCTGCTTTAACTGTACATGTTGGTAAATATGATGTACATAATTCATGAGTATTATTAGTTATTGGTGAATTAGCACAAGTCTTTTCTTTGCATGTTGTATCCCAAATACAATCAGTACCTGAAGTATTTTTAACACAAGCTGCTTAGACATTTGCAGCTGAACAAGCTCCATTAGATACACAACCTCCACCTGATTTAGTAATACATCCTGTTACAAATCCAGCACAAGCTGAATTAGTTGTCATAGTAGTTGGTGCATTTGTACATATCTTATCAACACATGCAGTTCCAGTCCAATAACAATCACCACCTGAACTATTCTTAATACAAGCAGCTTAAATAGTTGCAGCTGCACAAGTAGTTCTAGTAATACAACCTCCATTTGGTTTAGTTGTGCATGTTCCATCAGTTCTAAAGGTTTTACATGTTTCATCAGTTGTTAATGTTGTTGGTGCATTATCACAAATTCTATCTTTACATGCTGCTCCATCCCAATAACATGCCATTGATCTTAATTTATTCCAAACACATTAAATTTCTAATGTTTAATCACTACAATTATTTCCACTATCAACACATCCACCTCCAGTCTTTGTAGTACAAGTTGATATCTCATCTCTACATTCTTTATCTGTAACAAATGTAATTGGTAATCTATCGCAATTATTAGCATCTACACAAGTATTATTTGTTGTATCCCAGTAACACAAGCTTCCTGCTGCATTTTTGACACAAGGAAGTTGTTTCTTGTATGTGCTACAAGCATCAAGTTCAACACAATGAGTTCCATCTGTAATACATCTATTACTTATTGCTTAACATTCAGAATCTGTTGTTTTTGCAAAGGCTGTGCATCCTGTGAAATGTGTGCATTATCCTTCAACCCAGGCGCAGGCAGCATAACTTCCACAATCTGTGCATGGTTTAATTTTTGGACAATTTGCTTCAGAAAATCTATCGCAATATGTTGCATACGTCAATTTTGGAATAGTTGAAATTGCACAAGTTTTTGTAGTACTATTCCAAGAACATCTAATTGAAGCATTTTTTATACAATCACCTTCTGATAATAATTATGCACATGTGCATTATGTTATACTTAATTTTTGGCTTGATGTTATTGCAAGCAATAATGAAAAAAGTATGAATAATTTATTCATTAATAGTAAAATAGATGAAAAAGATAGGTCGAGATAAAAACAATGCTTTCTAATTCGTCATAATTTTGGATTTATTTTTTTTAGTTAATTGGTATTAATACTACTTTTATATTATTTAATTAAGAATAAAATTCTATAAATAATTGAAAGAAAGCCATGGTACTATTTTATTTGAAATAAACCAATATATTTTTTGCTAAATTATTTTGATATAATGTCATCTCAGAAATTTTATCCTTATACTTGTTTTCTACTCATTATTAAAATCATGTAGTGCAAAAATTCATTACTTTTAATAGAATTGATAGAAGATTGATATTTTTCCAAAAACTTTAAAAAAATTGAATTAAGAGAATTGCATTCTTTTCTCTAATTCATTGTTTGGCCATTTTTAGGATTTCATTTTATTATAAAAAGTATTTGTTAATAAATTCTATGATTAAAGAGAATTTCAAAATAGTATTAGCAAATTTAGTTTAAATTTCTTGAATTAAAGAAAGTCTCTTAAATATAAAGAATACCATTATCATCAATAATTAAGAATAATGATTCTAAAATGATTTTATATAGAATTTAATATGTATCATTATTACATCCTATATTTAAATTTAAAGCAAAATCAAGCTAAATATGTTTAAAGCCTTTGTTTTCTAATTAAAAAAAATATTTGCAAAAATAATTAGGGAAGATCTTTTAAGTTTACACGAGAAAAATCTCCTACAATTTTTTTATTCTTTTTCTTAAACATAGTTATCCTGATCATATAAAGACTTGAAATGGATATTTTGTATTAACTGGTACAATACTTATAATATTAATTTTTTTGGAAATTACAGAACAGCTTAAAGTTTTTAGTGTATAATTGTCCGTTTCTTGCAATTTTAAGTAGAGCGTTCGAATAGATTTAAAGATTAACTCGTTTTTTGTGTTTTATAATCACAGTAACGTCATTTGCGAAGCAGTATCATGAATATCCTGTTTAAGTCTGGGACTTGAGTATAGATAGAATTTCCTTAAGATAGAAGGATCATTTGGGAACACAATTTGCAAAATAGATTGGCTCCTTATTTAATTGGGTGGAAGAAGTGCAAATTAGAGTGCAATACTTATAAGAAATCAATTTCATTTAAGTCAAGATTTTCTTTTATTCAATATCTGATATAGTTTTTGCCTGTCAACAGTATTAAAAGAATTACTGAAATACAAAAATATGCATTTCATCTTGTCTTTTGAGTCATATATTTAGAGTAACATGGAGGATAAGAGGAAGGTTTTGAGGATTTTTTTTATCATATTGTAATTTAACATTTTTGATAATTGATAAAAGTCAAAATAATGCATAAATAATATATTTTAAACTAATATCTATTATATATTCTAATTATTATATATGAAATGTAAAATAAGAAAAAAGAATTGATGTTTTTTATTTTAACAAAAGAAACAAATTAAAGTTTAGTTACTTTTAGGTTTATCAAAAGAACTTGTTAAAATTTAATGATTAACCATTCGAAAAAATAATTTTTTTTATTATTGATAATTTTTCCCTATATAAATTTATAAAATCATTCTCATCATAACATGAGATATCCAAAGATGATTGTTGATAATCCAAGAATGTATCCTGAATCAGTTGTTGTTTAATTATTTGTATTGTTTGTATTATTATCTGTATTATTTGGTTAAACAACAGGTGCAGTGCAAACTCCACATTTGCTTGTTGATGCATTCCATGTATATGTATATCCAGAAATCAAGAAGCAATCATTTGATGATAAAGTTGATGGATCTGTGGCTGTGCATGTTCCACTAACAAGAGTACAAACTTATTAAGTCTTTTTATCCCAATTCAAGAATCTTGTACAAACTCCATTTGTGGCTTAATTTGTAGCGCATGTATGAGAGACACATTTACTAGTAACAGCAGTTGTACCAGTTCCTGATGCTGGAGTCCATGAACATCTATCTCTAGCTTATTAACAAGCTGTTTAATCATTATTAGCAGTGGTGCATGCTGTCATTAAAGCACATGATCCAGAGTCAGCAGCAGCTCCAGTTGCAGTTGACAAAGTGAAGACACATATTCCGTCTAATCCACCTGAGTTGCATGATATTTTATTTTTATAAGTTGAGCAATTAGCTTTAGGAATACAAGCAGTTCCATTTGAAATACATGATGACAAAGCTACTGAACAAACATTGGTTGCTGTACCATTTTGAATATCAGAGCAAGTTAATAATCTACATTTAGCAGTGTTATTATTTGTAGCAGAGGCAAGTTCCCAATAACAATTACCATCAGATCCAATAGCAGTTGTACAAGCAGTTTAAGTTGTGTATGATGAACATGCTCCTTTGAGTAAACAAGTTGTTCCATCAGATGTACATGTTGATAATTATGAAGAACATGCTGAATGATTTGTTCCAGTCAAATCAGCACATGATTAATCTCTGCAACTACTAGCTGTTGCATCCCATGTACAAATACCAGTTGAAGTGATGACTCCAGATGTTAATACAGTTCCCTTATCATTGAAAACACATCCTGCTTATGAAGTATAAGATGAGCATTAACCTAAAGCAATGCAACCAGTTAGTCCATTTGTTGTACACTTTTTACTAGCAATTTGACAATCAGAATGAGTTGTATAGAAAGCATCAGCACAAGATGTATATGGTTTACAAACCTTTGGGTCTGAAGAGTTCAAGGCTGGTACTGATTGTATACAAGCTCCATCATATCCTGTAACACATCCACCATCAGTATTAGTTTCAGAACATTAAGTAATACCAATACAATTAGATCCATTAGTTGTACATTATTTACTTATCCATTTACATTAAGTATCAGAATTCCAAGTCAAACTCTTACATGAAGTATATCTAAAGCAAGCTCCTGTAGATCCATCAGTATTAATATAATCATTAATCCAAAGACATGGTCCATTTGTTCCTTCAATACATGCACTTCTCAATGTAGTTTATTCACAATTTTAAACTCTAGCACATTTTCCATTTGCTCCAGCAGTACATCCAGCTCTTTAACCTTAACATGCAGCATGAGTAGTTCCACTAAAATCTTAACAATCTTTGTCTCTACATTTATTTTATGCACTATCCCAAGCACAAATAGTTCCATTAAGAGCAGTTGTACAAGCAACATCAATAGTGACAGCTGAACATGTAGACTTAGTAACGCATCCGCCTCCATTCTTTGTGGTGCAATTTGTGAAATAACCTGCACAGGCGGCTTCAGAAGTTAATGTAATTGGAGCAGTACTGCAATTTTTAATGGTACAATATGCAGGTGAAGTTATTTGATTTTATGAGTTCATAACAGCTGGTATCCATTCACAATATTGATCAGTTGAAGACATGATACATCCTGCTTGGCTTAGAGCTTAGTAGCATGTTCCTCTTGTTACACAATATGTTCCATTTGTTGTACATGTACTTAATGCTTATTTACATAAAGCATCAGTGGCAAAAGCAAAATCTTCGCAAACTTTTGTTTTGCATTTTACTGTATCTAAAGTGCATCCAGGTAAATATGTATTGCACTCATCAGCAGTAGCTGTTGCTTCTGGAGCATTTTCACAAGTTCTAGTAATACAAGCTGTTCCATTCCAATAGCATGGATCACCAGCCTTATTATAATAACATTATTTCTGAGTCATTGTTTCACATGTTGCTGGGATATCTACACATCCTTATCCAGAATCTGAAACTGTACATTTATTAGTTATATAAGCCCTGCATTTTGTATCATCGTCATAATCTGCAGTGGCAGGTGCAGTGGCACAAGCTTTGTCAGCACATTATGTTCCATTCCATCCACATGGATCTCCATTAGCATTAATTTAACATTATTCTTTATCAATATAAGTTGAGCAAGCAGCTGTTTATTAACAACCTCCTAAAGTTGGATTACCACCACTAGTGCTTGGAGTGGCAACTACTGTGCATTTTATTGTTGCAGTATTATAGTAAGCATAACAATCACTATGAGTTGTGGTAGTAGTAGGAGCACTAGTACAAGATTTATCTTGGCAAGCAGGTGCAGGTAAATTGGCATTTGTGTTCCAAACACAAACACCGCTACTAGCGTTTGTTTTACATTATTCTTCAATAGTATATGAATTGCATGGTCCTCGAGCCATACATCCAGGGGCGGCAAGATTATTTGTAGCTCTGACTGTGCAACTCGGATCAACAGCAGCGCATTCAGCATCAGTATCAAATGAAGTTGTGGTTTCAATATTACCACAATTCAAATCTACACAAGTCTTATTATTTGGATTCCAGAAACATGTACCACCAGTTGTATTAAATTTACATTAAAGTTATGATTTATATAATGCACAGGCAGTTCTCGCTTGGCATGCTCCTGTTCTAGCTACAGTACAAGATTATAAATAAGCTGAACATTCAACATCATCATCTCGAGTATTATCTGTCGCAGCTGTATCACAAGTCTTTCTTACACATGTTGCCCCAACTTACACACACTCTCCTTCAACTGAATAAAGACATGAAGTAGAAGATTAATCTGAACATTTAGATGCCATAGTAATACATGCACTGTTTCCAGCATTTACAGTGCATGTATTGAGCCAATCTTTACAGTTTGTATGATTAAAAGGAGCAATTGCGTTTAAGCATGTTTTTGTTGCACATGCAGTTGTTCCATTAACAGTACATCCAGTTTTCATTTCATTACAATTTGCACTACTGTAATTACTAGATCCTAGAAATACATTCTCACAAGTTGTAGCTGTTGAGGCAGCCACACAAGCAGTATCAGTATTTGTGCTTGCAATACATAACCCAGCTGTTGATCTATAACAACTATTCATTTGACTAGTGTATCCAGAACATATGGCTTATTATTAGACACATGCACTCTTTGCTCTATTTACACTGCATCCTGTATTATATGATTAGCAAATTTCATAAGTTATAGATCCAGCAGATCCAGTTATTTTAAGACAATCAGTTGCTACGTTTGAAATTGTGATACAAGTAGAGCTGAATAAATAACATTTTGGAGTTGTGGCAGTTTTAGTACAAGCAGCAGCAGTGCCTGGATATTATTCACATGTAGTTTTGAAGTCTTAACAAGAAGTTCCGCCAGAAACAGATGTACATCCTGTGCTATAAGCTTGACATTTAGCATGATCAAGACCAGTTCCTGTTATTACAGCACAATTTTTATCAGTAATGGGATAGCAAGAGTTATCAATCCAAAGACATGCAAGGCTACCAGTAGTTTAATATGAGCATTAATTTTATGTTGTATAATCTTTGCAATTGCTTTTGACCTCCTAACAACCAGTACCATCTTTTACAGCACCACATCCAGTATTATAAGTAGCACAAATTGCATCAGTTAGTCCTATTCCTGTAATATATGCACAATGTGTAGCAATTGTTGTAACTGCAAGGCAAGCAGGCGTAGCTCCACCCCAAACACATTTAGCAGCAGTTCCTGAAGCTGATGAAGTTGAACATGCTGTTGATACAGTATATGCTGAACAAGTAGCCTTTTTTTCTTGACATGCAGTTCCAGCTTTATTAGCTGTACATCCAACATTATAATTACCACATATTGCATCTGTTAGTCCTGTTCCTGTCACATATGCACATTCAGTAGCAATTGTTGTGACTGTTAAACAAGCAGGTGTTGAACCTCCCCAAACACAGATAGCAGCAGTTCCTGAAGCAGATGAAGTTGTACAAGTTGCATCAGTAGAATATGAAGCACAAGTAGTTTTTTTTTCTTGACATGCAGTTCCAGCTTTATTAGCTGTACATCCAACATTATAATTACCACATATTGCATTTGTTAGTCCTGTTCCTGTCACATATGCACAATCAGTTGAAAGAACTGATAGCCCAACATTAATACATGTTGATCCATTCCATACACATTTAGCAGCAGTTCCAGAGTCTAGGGAGGAAGTGCAAGTTGTTTCTACTATTCCGTATGTAGTGCAAGTAGCTTTTTTTTCTTGACAAGCAGTTCCAGCTTTATTAGCTATACATCCAACATTATAAGTAATACAGATTGCATCAGTAAGTCCTGTTCCTGTAACATATGCACATTGCGTAGCAACTGTTGTAACTGGAAGGCAAGCAGGCGTAGCTCCACCCCAAACACATTTAGCTGCAGTTCCTGAAGCTGATGAAGTTGTACAAGTTGCATCGGTAGAATATTAAGAACAAGCAGTTTTTTTTTCTTGACATGCAGTTCCAGCTTTATTAGCTGTACATCCAACATTATAAGTAATACATATTGCATCAGTAAGTCCTGTTCCTGTAACATATGCACATTCAGTAGCAATTGTTGTTACTGTTAAACAAGCAGGTGTTGCACCTCCCCAAACACAGATAGCAGCAGTTCCTGAAGCTGATGAAGTTGTACAAGTTGCATCAGTAGAATATGAAGCACAAGTAGTTTTTTTTTCTTGACATGCAGTTCCAGCTTTATTAGCTGTACATCCAACATTATAATTACCACATATTGCATTTGTTAGTCCTGTTCCTGTAACATATGCACATTCAGTAGCAATTGTTGTGACTGTTAAACAAGCAGGTGTTGCACCTCCCCAAACACAGATAGCAGCAGTTCCTGAAGCTGATGAAGTTGTACAAGTTGCATCAGTAGAATATGAAGCACAAGTAGTTTTTTTTTCTTGACATGCAGTTCCAGCTTTATTAGCTGTACATCCAACATTATAATTACCACATATTGCATTTGTTAGTCCTGTTCCTGTAACATATGCACATTCAGTAGCAATTGTTGTGACTGTTAAACAAGCAGGTGTTGCACCTCCCCAAACACAGATAGCAGCAGTTCCTGAAGCTGATGAAGTTGTACAAGTTGCATCAGTAGAATATGAAGCACAAGTAGTTTTTTTTTCTTGACATGCAGTTCCAGCTTTATTAGCTGTACATCCAACATTATAATTACCACATATTGCATTTGTTAGTCCTGTTCCTGTAACATATGCACATTCAGTAGCAATTGTTGTGACTGTTAAACAAGCAGGTGTTGCACCTCCCCAAACACAGATAGCAGCAGTTCCTGAAGCTGATGAAGTTGTACAAGTTGCATCAGTAGAATATGAAGCACAAGTAGTTTTTTTTTCTTGACATGCAGTTCCAGCTTTATTAGCTGTACATCCAACATTATAATTACCACATATTGCATTTGTTAGTCCTGTTCCTGTAACATATGCACATTCAGTAGCAATTGTTGTGACTGTTAAACAAGCAGGTGTTGCACCTCCCCAAACACAGATAGCAGCAGTTCCTGAAGCTGATGAAGTTGTACAAGTTGCATCAGTAGAATATGAAGCACAAGTAGTTTTTTTTTCTTGACATGCAGTTCCAGCTTTATTAGCTGTACATCCAACATTATAATTACCACATATTGCATTTGTTAGTCCTGTTCCTGTAACATATGCACATTCAGTAGCAATTGTTGTGACTGTTAAACAAGCAGGTGTTGCACCTCCCCAAACACAGATAGCAGCAGTTCCTGAAGCTGATGAAGTTGTACAAGTTGCATCAGTAGAATATGAAGCACAAGTAGTTTTTTTTTCTTGACATGCAGTTCCAGCTTTATTAGCTGTACATCCAACATTATAAGTAATACATATTGCATCAGTAAGTCCTGTTCCTGTAACATATGCACATTAAACACTATAATTTGGTACTCCTACACTCAAGCAAGCAGTTCCATTCCAAACACAATTAGCAGCAGTTCCTGAAGCTGATGAAGTTGAACATGCTGTTGATACAGTATATGCAGAACAAGTAGCTTTTTTTTCTTGACATGCAGTTCCAGCTTTATTAGCTGTACATCCAACATTATAATTACCACATATTGCATCAGTAAGTCCTGTTCCTGTAACATATGCACATTCAGTAGCAATTGTTGTGACTGTTTAACAAGCAGGTGTTGCACCTCCCCAAACACAATTAGCAGCAGTTCCTGAAGCTGATGAAGTTGAACATGCTGTTGATGCAATATATGCAGAACAAGTAGCTTTTTTTTCTTGACATGCAGTTCCAGCTTTATTAGCTGTACATCCAACATTATAAGTAATACAGATTGCATCAGTAAGTCCTGTTCCTGTAACATATGCACAATCAGTTGAAGTAGTAGCGACAGCATTGCAAGCCGTACCACTCCATGCACACTTAGCAGCTGTTCCTGAAGCTGCTGAAGTAGTACAGGAATTCTGTGTTAAATAGAGACTACATGTTGACATCTTTTCTTAGCATGCAGTTTTGTTAGCATTTGCCACACAAGACACATCAAAGTCATCACAGTTTGCATCAGTTAATCCAGTTCCAACAATTGAAGCGCAATTAGAAAAACGAACGCAATCGGAACCATCTAGATAACATTTTCCTTAAGAAGATGTGCCACAAGTATTTAACGCAGTATAGTCTGAACATTTCGTCTTGTACTCTTAACATCCTGTGCCATCTAATAAAGATGTACATAAAAGATTATATCCTTAACACTTTGCATGATCTAATCCAGTGAATCCTGACACATGAACACATTCATTAGCAGTAGTAATAGATAAGCAAGCTGAACTATTCCATCCGCATAATCCAGAACCCGCTCTAAAGCAATTACTCTGTTACGTATAACCAGCACAATTAGATGATATTACTAAACAACCAGTGCCATCCTTTTTGACAGAGCATGTAGTATCAAGTGCCTAACAATCTTAGAAACTTAAATTTGATCCAGTTTTCAAAGTACAATCTAGTGTACAAGATGTTGATGATGTAGCTCCAACAACATTTGTACATCCTGCTCTATAACCTTAACACATTTATTAAGTACCCTTAAAAGTAGTACAAGAACCGGTAGCAAATGTAGATAAAGCATAACATTTATCTACAATCCATTTACAATCATCAGTAGCTGTTAAATTTGATATGGTTTTATGACATTAGGCTTATGTCATATAATCTGTACAATTTGTTGATTTAGGTACACATCCTGATGCTCCAACTTTGTAAACTACTGTACAGGTTTCACTTGGTGTTGGATAACCTAGGCATTCTGTATCAGAATCAAACGATGTTGTATCTGGAGCATCTGCACAAGTTGCACTTCTACATGCTAATCCAGTCCAAATACAATTCTTATTTGTTGATGTTTTTTTACAATTTTCTTAAGTTGTGTAAGCTGTGCAAGCAGTTGCTAATGCTTAACAAGCTGTCCCTCCATTATTTACTGTGCATTAATCAAATATACCAATGCAGTTAGTGTGTGAAGTTTATATAATATTTGAACAGGTTTTATCAACACAATTAGAACCATTCCAATAACAATCCCCACTTGATTTTGATCCTTCCTTACAATTTTATTAAACTAATCCTGAACAACTAGAAGGCTTAGTTATGCATCCATCAGAATTATTATTTGAAATACAAGGTTTTGAAGTTGCAGTACAAGAACCTGAGGCATTTGTTGCTGTGCATACTGACAAATAATTTTAGCAATTTGTGAAATTAACTATTGTTAAAACACCATTAGTTCCTACAGTGCTAGCAGTTGAACAAGATTTTTCGACGCAAGTTGTGGTTGATGAAACCCAAAGACATGTTGGGAATCCACTTCTTGAAATTTCACAATTTTCTATTGATTTTCTATTTCCGCAAGTAGTTGGTAAATCTTAGCATCCTTATATTGTCAAAGAACCATTAATAGTAACAGGATTATTCGCGACACAAGTCGATATGTGTCCTTAGCATTATGAAGTAGTAGTGAAGGTCTTAGAAGCAGTTGAACAGGCTTTATCAATACATTAAGAGCCAGTCCATCCACATAGTGAACCATTAGCTTTAATTTAACAAGCAGCTTCAATTATAATGGCTTCACATTTGAGTGGAAGTGGAACGCATCCTGAGCCAGTATTACTTAATGTACAACTTGAGTGATAAGTTTAACAATCAGTATGAGAGGTTGTAGCTGATGAAGCTAGTACACATTATTTCTTATAGCATTTTCCTTTCCAAATACATGCTTTATTATTTTTATCCTTATCACAAATAGCGAGAACTAAAGAATTTTCACATGTCTTCTCAACACACCCAGCTCCTGCTGAATTAACTGTACAAGTATTTAAGAAATCTTGGCAGAGTTCATGAGTAGTTTTAGTCAATGGAGCATTTATACATATTTTATCTTTACAGCTTGAACTAGCAACATCCCACACACAAGTTTAACCACTAGAATTCTTTACACAAGCAACTTCCAATGTTATTGCAGCACATGTAGTATTTGTTACACAACCTCCTCCAGTCTTTGTTATACAGTTGTTGGCTGGATAGTATGCTTCGCAAGCATCGTTTGTTATTGTAGTTATAGGAGCATTTGAGCAACTCCTATTTTAGCATCCTCCTCCTGATTTAACTGTACAAGTTGCTAAGTATGATGTACACAATTCATGTGTATTATTAGTTGTTGGTGAATTGGCACAAGTCTTTTCTTTACAAGTTCCATCAAATATGCAATCAGTTCCAGAAGAGTTCTTAACACAAGCTGCTGGAAGATTGGCTACTGAACAAGCTCCATTGGCAACACATCCTCCACCTGATTTAGTGATACATCCTGTTACAAATCCAGCACAAGCTGAATTAGTTGTCATTGTGGTTGGTGCATTTGTACATGTCTTATCAACACATGCAGTTCCAGTCCAATAGCAATCACCGCCTGAACTATTCTTAATACAGGCAGCTTAGATAGTTGCAGCTGCACAAGTAGTTCTCGTAACACATCCTCCGTTAGGTTTTGTTGTGCATGTTGAATCCGTTCTAAAAGTTTTACAAGTTTCATCAGTTGTTAATGTTGTTGGTGCATTGTCACAAATTCTATCTTTGCAGGCTGCTCCATCCCAATAACATGCTGTTGTTCCTAATTTATTCCAAACACATTAAATTTCTAATGTTTAATCACTACAATTATTTCCACTATCAACACATCCACCTCCAGTCTTTGTTGTACAATTTGGTAACTTATCTCTGCATTCTTTATCTGTAACAAATGTAATTGGTAATCTATCACAATTATTAGCATCTACACAAGTATTATTTGTAGTATCCCAATAGCACAAGCTTCCTGCGGCATTTTTGACACAAGGAAGTTGTTTCTTGTATGTGCTACAAGCATCAAGTTCAACACAATGAGTTCCATCTGTAATACATCTATTACTTATTGCTTAACATTCAGGATCTGTTGTTTTTGCAAAAGCTGTGCATCCTGTAAAGAATGTACATTTATTTTCAGTCCAAGCACATGCGGAATAAGCACCACAATCTGTACAAGGTTTAGCTTTTGGGCAATCAGTTTCAGCGAAAGCATCACAATATGCAATGTAGGTAGTAGTTGGAGCAACAGGGGTTGTTGAAACTGCACAGGATTTTTTTGTATTATCCCATGAACATCCAAGATTTATATTTTTGATGCAATCTCCTTCTGATAACAATTATGCACATGTGCATGATGTTATACTAAATTATTGACTTGTTGCTAAGGCAAGCAACAATGAAAATATGATGAATTATTTATTCATTAAAAGTATTATTATTTTATTGAAACTTTATCACAGTTTTAAATATAAAAAAAATTAATTTATTTTAAATTAATAGATACAATCTATTCTTGATTAATTATAAGATCTGAATTTTATTTTGATCTCAATTTAGATAATTAATATTTATATAATATTTCTTTTGAGGCTGTGAGTGATAGAGAAAAAAAAAAGACAATATGTTGATTGGTAGCACACTAATATAGATTAATTTTTTTTTAATTTGCTTAAAATACCATTTATTCTGTTTTTCTAGACTTAATCTGTTAAAAATCCAAGGAAAGAAATGAAAAAAAAAAAAGCAAATTCTTTCAGCAAGAAATAGTTGATTGAAAAATTGGATACTGCTCTTGATATCGGTTTTCCTTTGTCTAGAAAACTCTAGATCAGATTAATGGCAATTCAAAGAAAAATTCAAACTTAATAGTATAATTTAGCTGTCCTTAAACCTATACTTGAAAATATAACAAAGCAAAGAGCAATTAGAATGAAATCAAGCTTTTATTTACAACAATAGATAACATAGACGAAAAAAATTTTTAAATTTGATTCAATGAAAAAAAAATCTCATACCTTAATCTATACTCTACTAAATTCATTCTGCCCCTAAATTAAGGTATTAAATGAAGTTTGAATTTTCCCACCAATAAATTTTTTTCTTCAACATATTTCTATTTAAAAGAACTCTACCTATCACTTCATTATTGTAATTATTTAAAATTATTTGCTTCTGTCACCTTTCCAAAAATGAAAGATTTTTTTACCTGATAAAGTAATTTATCTATTGTTAATGTTTACTAGATGGTTTATAATAACGAAACTGTGAAAGAAGTAGAAAAAAATTTTAATTCAGCCTATTTTCCATCCATTAGCCTTTGAATGATATTTGATTTAAACTATATTTTAAGACTTGACAGCAATTTATATTTGTCATTTTTTATCAGTCATTTTAAAAATATTTTTCTCACCCATATCTTTAAGGATTCATATTTCATTCATTTTTAAAGAGCTATAATCCTATACAGAGCTTTAGACTATGATAAACTTCCTAGAGTAGTCTTTATTACGTAAATAATTTAACATCGTTCATACCATGTTAGAATTAACAAAAATAAAAGCATAAATCAATAAGGCCGCTTAATCATAAAGTTTATACTACTAAATCAGAATAAAAAATATAGTTGACTAGATAGAATAATAAATGATTTCCTAAATATATTATATAATCGGTTTCGATGTCATATCACAACTAACAATATTCATTGATCGAGATCGAGTATGGTGAAGAAAGAACATAGATCAAGCTAATTAATTTATAGAAGTGAATGAATCTAAAATTGATGGAGGATTTTAATTTAAATTAAGTGATTTTTTCATCAGAAATATATTAATTAAATGTATAAATATAAATATTTATAATTTAAAAATCTTTTTTTTTAATTTGATATGAAAATATTTATTATTGTTATTAAAAAATATTTGTTATGATAAATTATTTAATCATGGTATTGATGAAATTAATGAATTTTGATGAATTAAATTTTATTTCTCTCAACATTTTTGTCACAATTTTACTATAGATCCAGAATGGCCAGTCTAAAGAGTATTATTTGAGGACATCTCAATTTTTTTTGAACTAAATTCTAAAGGGTGTTTCATTTTATCAAGCATCTATCCTTATACTTGTTATATATTTTCAATATATTGGCTAGTACCTTAAAGCATTATCTTGATAGTAAATCCTCTGTTTAATTCTACTCTTATGTTATTGGGTACAAAATATTTTATTTGAAATTCTATATACTATTATGATAAAATAATCAAAAAGTTAAATTAAAAAATGACAAGAAAGTAAAAATTACATTTAATAGTAATCGACTAAAGCATTTAAGCAGCTCCTATATCATAATTCTTCTGAGAACCGAAGAAAAATACCTATTCGATATTTAACTTAATAATTAGCTCAAAGCAGCTTTAATTTGTTAAAATTGACAAATAAATAGAGCATTGATAATTCTGGAGCATTTTCATCATATCTTTAGGTTTGAATCAATATTTAATCATAAGTGAATGAAGCCTACAAAATAATAAGAGATGCTTGGTTTCCACTATATTATTACTCTATCCTTTTCTAAATGTTAGCACTAGTTTTTATGAAAAATGTTTAATTAATATCTCCAAATTTTAGATTTCTCAGCAGTGTCCTTAAGATGTAAATTATTTTATAAATTATCTCTTTTGGATGCAATTATAATTAACTAATTAGATTGTACAATATTAACATTTTCAACTAAGTACTTAAATATGAATCTTAAAATCAAATTTAATATACAGAAAGATAACAGTAACAGTAATTGATACTAAAATATACTACTTTTTTTTATATATATTTTTCTTGAAAGTGATATATATCAATTAATTAAACATTATTATAAAGGTATCGGTTTTAAAAATGGAAATTGTTCAAAATTTAATGATAATCCATTCTAATTAACACTTTTTTATAATTATTTTATTTTTCCCCAATATATAAAATTATAAAATTATTTTTTTCATAACATGAGATAAACGATAATGCTTGTTGATAATCCAAGAATATGTATCTTGGAATTGATTCTTGTGTTATTAGTTGTGTCTATTGAATTATTATTTGTAACATTTGGTTAAACCACAAATAGTGTGCAAACTTCAAATTTGCTTGTAGATGCATTCAAGTATATATTTATTGAGAAATCAAGAAGCCATCATTTAATGTAAAAGTTTATGTTCTGTGGATTTGCATGTTTCACTAACTTAAGTAAATATTTATTAATATTTTATGCCAATTCAAGAATCTAGTGCAAACATAATTTCCATATTTATTTACAAAAACAGTTGCTCCAGTTCCTAATGCTGAAGTCCATGAATATATATCTTTAAAAACTTAACAAAAAGCTTTATAGTTATAAGTACTGATGTATGCTGTCATTAAAGCATATGATTTTTACCAGAAAAAGCTTAAGTTGCAGTTGATTAAGTAAAGATAAAAATTCTATCCAATCCAGCTGAAATATATGCTATTTTAGTATTACTGGTTGAGTGGTCAGCTTTTAGAATACAAGCTATTCCATCTCATACATATGATGACTATGATCAATCTTAAATATTAGACCAGAGTAAGTGATCTAATTTTTGCATTCTTATTATTTGAAGCTTATGCAAGTACTAAAAAGCTTAATCAAATAGAACGGTCAAATTTTAGTATAATGAACATGTTCCTTTATTAAACTAGTTTTTCCAACTGATTCAATTTTTGATAATACATAATTATTAATCATTGTTTTAAGCAGTATCAGTTGATGTGGTATTATAAGTCTTTCATACACATGATATCCCTACTATAACACATTTTCCTTCAACTAAATAAAGACAAGAATTAGAATATTAATCTGAGATTTTAAATGAACTATTTCTATTATTAGTATGTTTTATTGAGACAAATATTGCAATTAGAATAATTAAGTGATTGTTTCATTATAAAATCTTCTAACTATATATCTAGTGGAATTTCTATTAACAATACTATATATCCAGTTTTTATTCCATAACAATTTACATTTTCGTAGTTTTGTGTTCCAAAAAATATAGTTTCATAATTCGCAGCAGTTAATTTAGGAACACAAGCAGTTTCATTATTTGTGCTCTTGCAAACAAATTGCAAGTGTAGAGTATATTCTAAACTTTGAGATTATTATTAGAAATAAGTTATTTTTGCTTTATTTATGTAATTAGCAAATAATAAATCTGAACTTATAAAATTTTGAGCAATTTGAATAATCTCTAAATAAATCTATTAAACTAATTTCAAAATTGTTTTATAGATTTATTTTTTTAATAGAATCCCTTTTCAATACAAGATTCTAAATTTACAATAGCATCTTCTAGATTGATATCTGATGAGTGAGTTAGTACAAGAATATCAAGTTAAATAGAGATTATAAGTTTTCAAATTCTCCTTTCAAGTTGTTCTGTCATCATTTGCTAAATTATAAGCGGGAATAAATAGTAAATACTATCCAAGAAACATTTACCTTAACCAGAGAGGGCAACAAATATTTGAGGTTGCATAACTTAAAAAATATTCCTATTATCTTAGCAACCTTAGCCCTATAGTAAACCATGTTTATGTGATAAAAAGTGCACTATATAGAGGGTTTTCAAAATAATTATTTCAAGATTACCCAATTAATTTTTTTTTGTATTTATAATCATAGACTTTCAAATACATAGCATCTTGTTAAATTTACATTGTTTTTCCCCGTAGATAACCTCTCTATTTAGCCGATATATTTTTAATCTAATTTGAAAGCAATATATTTTTAGAATTACAATAGCATTGAATCCTTAGCAATCTTAATATTTCAAACCTGCTCTATTGTACAAGATGTTGATGATGTAGCTCCAATAACATTTGTACATCCTGCTCTATAACCTTAACACATTGATTACGTACCCTTTAAAGTAGTACAAGAACCAGTAGCAAAAGTAGATAAAGCATAACATTTATCTACAATCCATTTACAATCATCAGTAGCTGTTAAATTTGATATGGTTTTATGACATTAGGCTTATGTCATATAATCTGTACAATTTGTTTTTGGTTTTTTACAATTTTCTTTTAGTTTTGTAGGCAGTTCAGTTCCTTCATTATTCACTGTACATTAATCAAATATACCAATGCAGTTATTGTGTGAAGTTAATATAATATTTGAACTGGTTTTATCAACACAATTAGAACCATTCCAATAACAATCCCCACTTGAATTTGATCCGTCCTTACAATTTTATTAAACTAATCCTGAACAACTAGAGGGCTTAGTTATGCATTCAACTTCGTAACTGTTCGAAATGCAACTTAGGAACATAAGTTTTATAAATTTAGAATGTAAATCTTCTTGCTGACAATGCACGACTTTTTCCCAGGATACCAGCAGTTGCACTAGAGTTTTCAACACATAACGTAGACGATGCAACCCAAATACACATTGGGAATTATTTCTTAAAACTCGAAAATCTCTAGATGATCCTCTAATTGTTGATGTAGCTGATAAATCTTAAGATTCTTAAATTGTTAAAGTATCATTAACAGTCACATCTAATCGATTCATGAATTATTTTTCAAAATATCTATTTAGAAATTGGCAGCAAAAAATCCTCAACTATTCTTAATGTTGTTGGTGAATTATCACAAATAATATTTTTACATGCAGTTCCATCTCAATAATATGCAGTTGATCTTAGTTTATTCCTAAAACATTAAATTCCTAATTTGTTAAACACTGCATTTATTTCCAATTTAAAAAATCCACCTTTGTACAAGTCATATCTTATTTATTTATTCTTTGTCTGTAACAAATATGATAATTAATCAATTACATAAATTACCTTACAATTTGTAAAGAATTTACCTTTGCTGTCAATTTAAGCACTTGCAGCATAGTCTATTATTACTAATCTGCTACTGATAAAACTTACGCAAAAGTCCTTGATGTTATACTACAAGTTTGACTTCTTTATATTACAAGCAACAATGCATAAATAATTATTTAATTTATTCATTAAAAAGTAATAATGATAAAAAGATAGAATTATATCAGGATATAATATATTTATATATTAACATAATATTCTTGTTAAATTAATCAAAAAGTTTAATTTATTTTCACTTAATTAATACAACTTATATTTTAATTAAAGATCAATTCATAATTAATATTTCTTTTAATCAGCATTTTTATTTTATAATATTATCATAGATAGTGTAGTATTTTATAAGTGAAATATTATAATTATTTGATAAATCAATGAGGACATTTATTTAATAGCAAATTTCTTTACTATACTATAAAAACACAAAAAGAGTAAAAAATATTAATCAATTATGATCTTACCCACTATCTGGAAAAAATAGTCATAGTTGAAATTAAAGATATAAAAGTAAGAGAAAAAAATTAATTTATTCACAAAAATCAAAAATGGAAAAAACAGTGAAAAGCTCTTACTTTATAATTCGTTTTCCATAATTAGTTAAATTGCCTCATTATATTAATAGTTATTTCCTCAAAAAGCCATTTTAGTAACATATGACTATTTCTCCTTGGTAGAATTTATCTTTCCATTATAGGTATTTAATTAATAAATTAAACTTAATGATCCATTTATCCTATATCTTTTGTATATAAAATCTCTTTATTTCAAATTAGAAGAAGTGAAAAAAATTGACTGTCAGCTTTTGTAATTTAAAAAGTTTTTAATTAAAATAAATAAAGTAAGTAATTAAGAAAGATTATAAAATTGTAATAAATTTGTAATAATTCTTAGCATTAAATATTAAGAAATCATTTATAATAAGGTTAGATATCAATATTATTAATATAAATTATAATAGTATCAACATGAAAATACAAAAATATTAGTATATTTATATATATTTAATTGAATAATAATAATAAAATAAATCAATATAATTTCATATGTGATTCATTATCAATAGTATAAAAATAATAGTTGTAATTTATTTTGCACTGACTTACCAACCTTTGCATTTTACACAATTTTTACCATCCCAATGATAAAATAACTAAGAATTTTTATAACATGTTTCTTCATTTTCTTAAGATGGATCAAAATTTACACATTCTCCATCTTCTAATTTCTTACAAAGTAAATATTGATCTCCATTTATTTTTAATTTTCTTGGACTACATTTTGGACTAATTGAATTTTCACATTTATCATTTGTTATACAAGATATTGTTGGTTACATAAAGCATGCAGGATAAGTCTTTTGACAAATTGCATCTAACTTTACATCTTCACATTTTGTCAATTCTTAACATTTTCCATCTTTAACATAGCAAAGACCTTCTCTAGCAACATAACATTTATCTGTAGATTGTTCAGCACAAGTTGGTATAGATAAATCAGGTTTTGGATCATAAAAACTTAAACATCTTTTTAAATTTTAATCATATGTGCAATCACGATTAAATATATCACTACATTCTTCTTCAGTTTGCTAATTGCAACTTTTTGATTTATAACATTTGTTATTTTTAGCATAGCAACCTAGATATATACAAAGATCAATATCATTAATATTTTCACATCTACGAGTCACACATTTACCTTTTTCTATATTACAACGTCCCTTCATCCAATCACTTTCAGTTTCACATTCTTTTTCATTCAATTCTTCACAACCACAAACACCTTTATGAAATGTCACAAATTCTTAATTCAATACTATGGTAGTGGACATATAAAATATCATTATTGGTAGAGTAATAATCATTTTAAATAAACAATTATTATCTATTATATTAAATATGCTTAAGAACAATAAATAAATCTATATTTTTATAATAATCAATTCTATGTTGTTCCCAAATTATTTAATTATTAATTGAATATTTCAATTATTAATTTAAATTATATGGGTCACAATCTATTCTATTACTATAATCATCTAACATTATTTTGTTCTGATTTCAAATTATATTTATCATAATAATTCAATAAAGTTTTTAAGGTTTACATCATTTTCTTAAGCGAATTCTAAAATTAATATTAATAAAATAAAATGATAAGGTCTTAAATATTTACAAAAATAAAATTAGGAAAATTAAATCAAAACTAAAACCATTGTAATATTTGAAATGAGAGAATCCATGAGGATAATGAAAAATCTAAGATGAGAGTATGAGTTAACAATCAGATCTTTCTGTTAAAAAGATATACATATTAATATAGAGAAGGAAATAATAGATTACTTTATTAATTGGATATAATCTATATCTATTATAGATTTTGTAGAATAAGGAATATCTAGAGAAAAATGATAAAAGATTATCCATATTAGAATTTAAATTTCAATTATTTTGGAATTCTACACAATTAACATTTTATGATATTCCTTCATTTTTATAACTTATTTAGTTAAACAATTTAATTGCTAACTTATTTGACAATTTCTTTTCAAATATTTTTTAGTATATAACATAGTACTAAATTTAATTATTTTATATTATTTATGAATATATCAAATTCTTTTTTATGGTGATAAAGTTAATACTTTTATATATGAGATTGTAAATAACAAAATAGTGAATAATGTAATTAAACCTTAATAGTGTGAATATTTACAATTATATTGTATATTTATAAGTGATTAATTAAATTTTATTCTATTAATTAAATTTTTATTCTATTAGATTGATTATCAAGAAGATTAGATAAGAAATTTTAATTGATTTCAAGGAAATTAATAATAATAATAATGTAAAACTAACAAGACTCTCTTACCCCATTTATAAATAATAGTCGTGCTTATAATTTCATAAATAATTATGATTATGCTTATAAACAAAATAATCTTAAATTTATGTAATCATAAAATCAAGAATATGAAATTCAAAAATAAAAATAAAATAATGATGAAGAGTAAGTCTTAATTTAATATTATGTTTATCAAGACTTTTAAAATTTGATTAATCTATTATATTCTTATTAAGCAGTAAAAAATTACTTTATAGATTAACCCTATCATTCTGCAATTATTTTAAGTAGAAATAAGATAATTCTACAATTAAATATTTCTAATTCAATTCATTATGATTTATAATAAACAAATAAAAATACATCAGGTTAAGATACTTTAGAAAAAGAAAAAAAAAATGTTAAAAATATTTTATATAATATGAAGAATGATTTAAATATGAAGGATTTAGATAATGAATGTTTAGGATATCTAAATATATACACTTAGAATTCTTTGGCAGAATACGTTCAAATTAAATAAATTCCATTAGAATAATCAAATATAAATTATAATTTTAATTAAAATGTGTTGGACAAGGTTTTGCCTCAAATTTCATTTTTGGACGAACAAATTAAATAATTGAGACAAAGAAAATAATATCATATCCCTTCTGAATCCTAGATTAAATAAAAAGCCAAGTAATTATTTAATTATATTCAAATTAGAGAATATTAAAAGATTACATATAATAAATTATTAATCAATTATCCAAGGAATAATTATAATCTCAGAAGTCCTAGTAAACAAGATTATATGAGTTTTTAATATGAAATTGAAAAATCACCTAAAAAATAATCAAATATAAGTAAATCATAAATTTATAGTACTGATTCTCGATATTCGAAGAATAATGAATTTTAAAATTATCTTTAATGATTTATTTTATTAACACTTTATATTCTTTTTTTCAATTATCAATGAATAAAATCTATAAAGCAAATAAATTATATAAAATTAAGGTGCTCTATCTGTTTAAAAATAGAGTTAATGTGGATAAAGTTAATCTATATAAATAGCTGTATATATACATTTTTTTATTCTAATTTACTCTGTAAAATAATTTGATCTGATAATTCTAAATTTTAAAATCATGCCAATATAAAAAGATTTTAATAAAAATTTATATTTTATTTTTAATAAAAAAAAATAGACACAGAATCATAATTCAAATATGCTTTCATCTATGAATTATGAGTCTTAAATTCAAGACACTCTCCAAAAAGAAAAGATTATTTTTGATACAATAAAATTAAGAAATCATGAAGGAAATCAATATATTAAACCTGTAATATATAACTTGAAATTTAGGTGGTCACCAAAATGTGTTATCATTTGAAAGAATGCTTTGAATTAGATGAAATTAAGAAATAACTTGAAACCAATTAATTATTTACTTGTGCAGAGTGTAGTTAAAAAGCTTAATAATATTCGGATCTAATGTGGGATATTCGATATTATGCTAATTAAGAATTTCATGATTCAGTTGATGAAATTCATATCATCTTAGGATTAATGGTCAACAAATATTAGAGAAATAAAAAATATTTAGATTTACTCACAATAGAAGATGTAAAAGGACATTTTGTGGCATTAATACAACAAAATTTTGAAACAAATTCATTTCTAAAATCTCTTATTGATAAGAAATAAAGTGGATAATAAGAATTATATGCAATTTGTCTTTTAGATTTTGTGAAAATTATAATTCCTGTAAGGATTTATGGATGCTAACATTTAGAATGCTATGAATTCACAAGTTTATTATATTATTAATAAAATAAAAAGTAAAGTGAAAACTCCTTCAGATGTACTTATCCAGAATGTAATTAGAAATTAGATATTTCTAGTTTAAATTCATTTTTTTATGGAATTTTTATTGATTAATTACTCCTAAAAGAAATTAAATAAAAAAATCCAGTTACAATTATATTCAATATTAATAAATCAACTAAAACCTTTGAATAGAAAATATACTTTCCTTTGAATCAAAGTTTAATTTCATACTCTTAAAAATTCAATAAATAGATGACAAAATAATAAGAATTAGATATTAGCACTAATCTTGATAAAGTTATTTTATAAATAATTCAAACTAATTTATTACTTGAAAAACAAGATTTAAAGTCAAGCTTATTAGAAAGTACATCAGAATTATATATAATTGATTAATTTACTAAATTACATGTTGAGTTACCAACAAGATGTATTAATTGCAAAGACTTAAATAAATCAATTGATTTATTAACTTATATATTTGACTTTCTTTATTAAAAGCTAATGAATAATTAATAAAAATACTCATGTCCTTTGTGCAATTCACCTTAAAATTAAATTATGGCAATTATCAATCTTAACAAATACATATATATTGACTAATTTTTATTATTAAAATTGATAAAAAGTAAAAATGATAAATATGAATAATAAAATTTGAATATACTTTCTCAAAATTTATAACAATCGAATAATGTTGGTAATTAATTAATTAGTAATCAATATCTTAATTCAACAGAAAATAGTTAATAAATTAGTTCAACAATTATTTATCAAACACTAAAGGATATGATTTATGATACACTTTCATTAGGGATTTCATACAACGCTAAATTTAGATATCGAAATCCAGTAAGACTATTATTTTATAAATTAGGCTTTAACCAAAAGATGTATACATTACAATTCTTGCTTCGAAATGGAAGAAGCTCTAAAGGATATTTAATAAAACAAATTTTATCAATGCCCACATTGTTATTAATAAGCAAAGAGTCCAGCTGATTTAGTTGAAGATTGGAGAGTTTAAGCATATAAAGAATTTAATATAATCGTTGAAAATGTAACAATAATCAAAGGAATTGTGGTGAATAAATACATAAGAAATAAAAAAAAATATTTGGATTTTTTCTTGATAGAAGAATGTGCAAGACAATTTCTAAAAATGTTCGAGAGAGTTTCTTATGATACATCAATTTATTCAATGATTTAAAAAGAATTAGTTTCATAGAAATCTAACAATTAAACTATAATCAATTTTTGGTGTTTTTGTTTGTTGGATAAAGTTAAAATAAATGTCCCTGTGAGAATATAGGGATGTAAACATTATGAATGTTATGAATTAACTAGTTTACTATTCTTTTAGGAATAAAATAGAAAAAAATAAGAATTCTTAAATTGCAATCAACCTGGATGTTCAAATCGATTAAAAATTGCTCACATAGATTATACTAAGTAACCAGATACTCTAAAAACTCCTTAAACAGAGGAATAAGATAAAATAAATGATATCATAACATTATTTTCAGGTATTTGTGTAGATTTGGATTTATTAAATGCAATAAAATTAAGTAATCCCTATCCATTAAAATTTTATTACAATTAAGACACCGGAAAAATATAAGAAGATGTAATTATAGAGAATGGCAAATATGTTGATCCAGTCATTAAAGCAGTATATTACTAGCATCCAGATTTCCATATCAAAACTACTTTTGAAGAATTCTAAAAATAAATATAATAATAGGCAATGTCAGTAAGTCAAGGAGATCTCTTATAAGATGATAAATAATTAGGCAAAAAAATATCTCTATATAAATACAGAAATTATAAAGTAAAAATGCAAGACCAACTCACAAAACTTACAATTGAATATCCAGTACGATGTAAATTATGTACAGATCTATAGGTTTGTATGGATATGAGAAGTTATATTGCAGATTTTAATTATTAAAAAAAAGTAAATCCAACAAAAATTTATAGTTGTCCATTATGTAAAAAACCTTAAAATAAGTCGATGATTCAAACTTAAATTTAAAATTACATATATTTAGATACAAATATGCTTTCATATATGTTTAAAGACATGTCTTACACAAATGGAACAAATATTTTTGAATATTAAGGTGAATAATATATGCTTTAAGAATTTATGGATAGATACAAAATCAAAAGAGAGGATTACATAAAAGAGTTAAATGAAAGATAGGTTGTATTTAAGCAATTGTTTTGTGCAGTAAATTTTGATTTGAGAATAAAATTACCTTTACTACTTTAAAACTGTCTTGAGAAACATATTGTTGATTTTAAATCATTTTATGAGGAATTAAAAAAGATAGATTTTGATTATGAATAACAAGGACTAATATTATGTAAATGTGTTCATTGTTATAGAAATCCGATTAAGTCTTTTGTAGGAAACATCTATTTTCATGAACCCTTTTATGAAGCTCTTAATAAATTTTATAAGATACAAAACCCAGTAAATGATAAAGAGTTCACTTACAAATTTGCTGATAATGAGTAGGATAGTATGGTAGTTGTAGGATATATAGTTTCTAGTAATCCTAAAATAAAAGTTGTTTAAAAATTAGAGACAGATTATAATCCTATAGATAAAGATGATATCTATTATGATTGGAAGTATTAATAACTTTTTTAAAGAAGAGATATTAGTGGTTTCTTTTTTAATTTGAAAATTATGCAAATATATATTGGTATTTTCTCAGTTTATTTGGAAAAAGATAAAATATATGTAGATCTATAAAGTGCAAGGAAATTTATCAATTCAAATATTAGTTTACAATTAAAATAGTACTCTTTTCAAATAACTAAAATTGTTTTACAATTAAAATCAGATACAATTTTTGGATTCTTAAGTAGAAATTACATATTTACATCAGATGAATGAGAGTATTTGATTTAAATATCATTATATTTTAAAATATAATGATATATTTTAAAATATATTTATCATATTTCTTTAATTTTTCAAATCTTTTTAATACATCATAACTATTCATTATTTATTAATCTATTGCTATTATTAAATCTTAATTCTGGAATTATTATTTATTTATATTTTAATCCAATAATTTTTACTTAATTAAATAATATTCATATAAAAAATTTAATTGATTATAAATCTGTATTATTTAAGATTCTGAATATTTTTAATGGTATATATTCTTATTAATTTTAACTGTTTCCAAATGAAAGTGAATAGTTTATATACACTAAAGCTTATTTATAGATGAGATATCAATTGCTTATAATGATTATATATTGATCCTTTATTTTTGACTCAAATAAGCTACACTATACTATTAAATTGTTGATAAATTATTTACTTAAATTGTATATAAAAAATGAAATTATAATTAAATTAAAATGAAGGCATTAATCTTTTTATAGGAAAAAGCAGAATAAGAAGGGACTGGATTTATTCCTTTTAAAGATGAAAGAGATGAATTAGGAAATCTTAAGGGTTTAACAAAAAGAAGTTGTTCAAGAATTAATAATAAAAAAAGTGAACATATTTTTGATAGAACAACTTCCAATACTTCCAAAACATCTTAAATGTAATAAATTATAAGGAATAATTAATAGAAATAAAAAAGTTAGATTTCTTAAAGAAATTTATTCAACTCATGGAAATTCTGATTGGTGCAGTTTAACACATTTACGTAAACTAGATAAAAAGTTTTAATTAAATATTGAAACAGAGTTCTAAGTTTAAAAACCACTAACAGGATTGAATTAAAAGTTATAATTCAATGATGGAATAGTAAGAAAATTAACAACAAATATATGTAATTCACCAAGACTTGGAAAAAAATAGAAAACTGAAAATTATACTCCTCCCTTAGGGTATTATTAACCATAAGAAGTCTTTAAAAGACAACCTATGCTTGTTTTCATGGATCAATAAATTCAAAATTAAAATAGATTATCACAACATAAATTCAGTAGAACTGAAGCATCAACTGCCTAACTTGGTATTAGACCAAGATTATCACCAAATAAAGGCTCTCCTATTCCATAAGAGATATTAGAAAAAGCTTTTAAAACTGAGAGAATAATTACATAATAAAAATACAAATATGTTCCTTAAATGATTGATGAAAAAAATCTCGATAATATAACAGCTAGAATTAATTCCATAAGGTAAAAAATCTTGCATTAAAAAATGAACAGTGTATCTAATCAATGATTCTCATGCTTATTTTTTTATTAAAAAACTTAAATTTTGACTTTAATTCTAAAACAACAAAAATAAATTAACAGTTTTTCTTCATTATAATGATTAATTATAATTATATAATAAAACAATGAACAAAATCAAATAAGATAAATTTTAATGATTATTGATATGATTATTAAAAATAAAAAATAAAATAAATGAGAAAGGTGTTTATATTTGAATTTATATTGGCAGCTCATGTTGTATTTTGTATTTTGATAGAAATGTAATCAATAATATTTCCAATTTAATAAAAATTAGTAGATTTAGATAATGTAGGACCTGTAAAAAAGTATAATAATTATATTAAATATTATATAGAAATACTCATGCTAATCATAATTCATATTTTGATTTATTTGGATTCTTTGGACTTTGTATTTGGTTATTATTGAAATATTTTTTTGAAGGATTTCGATTTAATTCAATTCTAATAATGGCAGCATATACATTCTTCTTTTTTGATAGAGTAATATATATATTAATTATTTATAATAGGCATTATAATTTGCAGATAAAATATTATGTTAAGTATCTGCTGTATTAACTATTTTATATATTTGGACATTAATTAGTTATCCTGTTTATGAATTTCCTAAATCTACAGGTAAATATAGAACATGTTATAAATCAATTAAATTAAATGATAGTTATTAAACTGATACTTCTGTATATTATCCATGTTAAGATAATAAATAAGAAGATATTAAATATAAATGGTTACCTAATAATAAATTTAGTAAATTAATATATGAATTATCTATTTTATCATCTAAATGGGTACCATCGGAATGGATATTTGATATTGGATTATCTTTTTTAAAGTATTTAATTATTATTAAATTTAAGTTTTATTAATTTTACAGCTAGTATTGAATAACCATTAATAAATAAAGAATTAGATGTTATTATATTTAGTCATGGATTTTCATAACATAGAAATGCATATACAACATTATGTTAATAATTAGCAAGTGAAGGTTATGTTGTATTTTCATTATAACATTATGAATTAGTTTATCCATGGGATATTAAAGGTACTAAAATATATAATACTGGTAATTATCCAGAAATTATTGAAAAATATTAAAAAATAAGATCATCACATTTAGAATGGAGAACTGAATAAATTTAATAATTAATTGATAATTTAAAATCAAATAAAATTAAAGATGTATTTTATGATTTTAAACCATTATCAATTAATTTAATTGGTCATTCATTTGGTGNATTTAATGATTATTGATATGATTATTAAAAATAAAAAATAAAATAAATGAGAAAGGTGTTTATATTTGAATTTATATTGGCAGCTCATGTTGTATTTTGTATTTTGATAGAAATGTAATCAATAATATTTCCAATTTAATAAAAATTAGTAGATTTAGATAATGTAGGACCTGTAAAAAAGTATAATAATTATATTAAATATTATATAGAAATACTCATGCTAATCATAATTCATATTTTGATTTATTTGGATTCTTTGGACTTTGTATTTGGTTATTATTGAAATATTTTTTTGAAGGATTTCGATTTAATTCAATTCTAATAATGGCAGCATATACATTCTTCTTTTTTGATAGAGTAATATATATATTAATTATTTATAATAGGCATTATAATTTGCAGATAAAATATTATGTTAAGTATCTGCTGTATTAACTATTTTATATATTTGGACATTAATTAGTTATCCTGTTTATGAATTTCCTAAATCTACAGGTAAATATAGAACATGTTATAAATCAATTAAATTAAATGATAGTTATTAAACTGATACTTCTGTATATTATCCATGTTAAGATAATAAATAAGAAGATATTAAATATAAATGGTTACCTAATAATAAATTTAGTAAATTAATATATGAATTATCTATTTTATCATCTAAATGGGTACCATCGGAATGGATATTTGATATTGGATTATCTTTTTTAAAGTATTTAATTATTATTAAATTTAAGTTTTATTAATTTTACAGCTAGTATTGAATAACCATTAATAAATAAAGAATTAGATGTTATTATATTTAGTCATGGATTTTCATAACATAGAAATGCATATACAACATTATGTTAATAATTAGCAAGTGAAGGTTATGTTGTATTTTCATTATAACATTATGAATTAGTTTATCCATGGGATATTAAAGGTACTAAAATATATAATACTGGTAATTATCCAGAAATTATTGAAAAATATTAAAAAATAAGATCATCACATTTAGAATGGAGAACTGAATAAATTTAATAATTAATTGATAATTTAAAATCAAATAAAATTAAAGATGTATTTTATGATTTTAAACCATTATCAATTAATTTAATTGGTCATTCATTTGGTGGTGCATCTGTTCTTAGAGTTGCTTAAGAAATTAATGTAAATAGTGTTATTGCATATGATCCATGGTTATTTCCATTTAATTAAGAATAAATGCATAAATAAGTTAAATGTAGAACCTTAATATTAAGTAAAGATAAAAATAGAATTAAATAAGAATGGTTTGATCCTAAATTACTTAAAGAATTTTTAGATTTTAATACATAAATTGAACATTATAAAATTAAAGGTTTAGATCATGCTTATCCTGTTGATTTAACTTATTTTATTGCAGCTGAAATGGTATTAATTGGTGAATTAAGAACTGATGAAAATCTATTCAAAATTAATAATTTAATTAGTTCATTAACTATTAAATTTATGTAATAAAAACTATTCAGTATCGAAGAAAATAAATAATTTTGTTGAAAATATTATTATTAATCAATCTAATATTACATTTTTATTATAAACTATATAATATTTTCTTATTATTTTTAGATTAGTATTTCATTCATTATTCTAACATATATATAATAAAAGTTAAATTAATCCCATTTTCTTTGTGAGGATTTTCATATAAGCTCTAACTCTTGAAAAATTACATTTAAAATATACACAGTTATATAAAGGAATTTCTATTTAATAGATCATAAGAAATACATTAAAGTGAATTTTAATGCTTCTCAATCATTAATAATATTTGCTACCTTAAATGATATCATGTAAGAATTTTAGTTATCATTTAAATATTATTTTAATTTTTATAATGTCATAATTGATTATTTCAAGACTATGAATATAAGAATTGATATGTTACTAAAATTAAATTGAATATAATGATTAATTTTGTAATAAATAAAATATATTATTAATGATTATTTTCTCTTTAAACAAATTATTATAAATACTATTTTTTAATTTCAATACATTTATTCTTAATTAATTAATAAAAAGATCTTAGATTATTTAGTTTTAATTATCAAAAAATTAATTATAAATCTAATAATAAAAATTTAGATATAATCAGATTTAATAAAATCTTTAATTCAAATTACAAATCTTATTAGAATTTTAACTAATAAATTTTTGGATCTGATTCATTTAATCATAGAAAAATAGATTATAATATAATTTTTCTAATTTAAAATCTATCAATTAAACAAATATATTTAATTAATACTCAAAAATATTTAACTTTAAAAAATATAATTTACCATTAAAGAGGATAATTAGTTATCTCAATAGCAATTTTTAAATATAGAAGAGGATTTTCTAATGGTTTAATACTGATGTTAAGATACTCAATATATTATGAGTTTAGAAATAATCAGAAATTTATAGATATGATAAATTAGAATTATATTTTGTTAATGAACTTTTTAATTTTACTTTGATATGATAAAATATTCATATCCTTCTTAATATTGATCTATAAATTTGAATTTTAAGTGGACTAGGATTTATTATTATTATTTAGATAATAAATCAGAATGCTTTATTCTTCTCAAATAAGAGATTTATTAATTAGGGAAAAAGTATCTGTATTTTTAAAATTGTTAGTCTAAACCAATAAATAAGTTGAATGAATTCTATTAGAATGATTCATAAGGCATATGTAGAAGAGATATTCTCGTTTAATGGATTGTGGCCGTATCTATATTCACATATAATTAGTAAGCTTCTCAATTTAGACATTCTCTAAAAACTATAGAACTGACAGTCATATATATTGATACTTATCTTAATTATTTTAAGATAACTTAAGAATATCTATAATTACTAGGAATTTCAGCCTATTCTTTAGCAACTAAAGTAAATATGAAAATAATTTGTAGTATAATGAAACAGAAGCCATGGCTTAGATTAAACTATATGATTCTAATGGCTAGAATCTATATTAGAATGTAGAGTATGATGAAATGGAAGAGTAGATAATAAAAGTTATGGGGTTTTAGTTAAACTACATTACATCATCAGATTATTTATTGGCAATGAATATTGAAATCAATGAAAATGTTTAGAGTTTATTAATGTTCATTCTTCTAGGTATTTCTTTCAATTATTCTAGATTTCGATATTTACCAATATTCTCACATAGAACTTGCATTGGCTATAATTGCATATCTTCAAGACGAATAAATCTAATTTACAGATAAAATTCTTAAGTTATCCCAATTCATACATAATAAAATACTCAGGGCTTAAGAAGTAGAAATAGGTAAATAGTAAAATGAAGATTCTAAAAGTAAAATTAGAAATTAACAAATAAACAAAAAGATTACTAAAAACAAAGGTTTGATTCACTAAAGAGCTCTAAAACAAAAGATTTGAAGTTCTATGTTATAAGTTTCGTTTCAATATAACTCTAAAAAAATCAAAAAAAAAATGTTTTTTTGTATTATTTAAACATTCTAAACCTTCTCTTTGGAAAAATCTAAAATTAACTAAACAATTTTCATCAGTATTATATTATTTCTTTATAAGGAAGTTTTACAAAGGGGTATTTCATTCTATTACCTTTTGTGTTTAATGAAAAATACTAATTTCAAAAGAAATTTAATTGATATTTTATTGAAAAGCTAAATGTATTACTATATAAGGATACAAGAATTTTAAAGAAAAAAGTTTATTTTTGAAGGATTAATCTAATTAATATTACCAAAATACACTAACTAACTTAAAAAGCGTATACTTAATATATAACCAAACATATATTTATATATATATAAATTATAGTATTATGAAAATGGCTCAAGAAAATAAAAAAATAAACTTTAGATGTTTAATATGGCTGACACAAAATCAAAGAATTTAAATAACAATAATTAAGTATCAGTTCTTTTCACTCGAATTATTAGAGTGAAATGAAGTATTATTGATTTTTTCATAAAGACTAGCTTCTAATCTGCTGAATTCTTTTTTTGTATCTCCTAACATATTCTCTAAAGTGTGTAACTAACTAATAAGGAACAACATTTTTTAATCAATTTTAGCATCCTATACCATTTAATTTTCAGTTTCATTTTTCCCTTCATTTACATTAGCTCTAAATATTTATTATTAAAATAGTACCCTAATTGAGTAATTCCTATTTAACCAAGATGATTAAATTTTTGTAAAAATGTATTCATAACCATTTAATTTTATTCAACTTCTTCTTCTTTGACTTTTGCACTCTTTGCCATTTATCTTTTAGTTTTTTTTTTACTTTCTTATAATTATTACTATTATTATTATTATTATTATTGTTGTTATTATTGTTATTATTATTATTATTACTACTATTAGATTTTATTATCATCAGAAGCAAGTATCATTTGCCATTTAGCTTATTATTTAGGATCCCCCATTTCAACATAAAATTTTTTCATTACTTCATTTAATTGTTGATTGAAAAATGCCAATAATTTTTCTTAAAATTCATTCATTTTATCAGAATCACCATTTTAAGATTAAGCATCCATTTTTTATTAAGAAAAATTAGCTAATTATTATTCAAGATTTTATTAAAAATCTAATTCTTTTTCTTCAGATGAATTTTTATAATCTTCTTTTTTAAGTATCATCTTTCTAAGATTCTCTACTTTATCTGATAATTTTTTATCTTTCTTTTTTTGATTATACCTTTTTTTATATTTTTTATATATTGTTGAATAATCTTTCATACATGATGTTCTTTTTATTGGCCCTCCTTATTATTTAAGTAATCTATAAAGTAGATTCTATTCTTAATATGTTTCTGCTTGCATTTTCTTTCTTGATTTACTATCATCATCATCTTCAGATTTCATTTCAGATTCTTCTACTTTTTCATCTTACATTGATTTATCTGATTCTGGTTCTTCTTATTCCACTTACATTTACATTTGTTATTCATATTTTTATAGATGCTCTTTTACAAAGGTCTATAAAGCAGAAGTGCCATTTTCTCCTTGTGCCTCAAGCATCTAAAATTAATAAAATGGATTTACTTTAAGTGATATCCCATTTTTTTCTTAATCAGCCAATAATTTTCTCACAGTGGAATAAAACCTATTCTTAACCGAATTTTCAGTTCTACCTAATAAGTTCTTAGCAATTTTTGACCAAGATGATGAGTACTATAGATATCCTTTAAATATTTCATGATCCTCCTCTACGAATAGTGATTAGATAAAAACCAGATGTCCAGCCTCCTTTTTTAACATTTGGATTGAGATTATTGAACCATCGTTCTCTACACTGTTTTCCTGACCTTCCTGCAATATTTTCAGCACACAAAGACCATTTACAAGGCCCATTATTCTTGACCCATTCTAATAGCTTCTCATCCTCATCATCTTACCAAGGTCCTAAACTATAAACACAGTAAATATACCTTTCTTCAGTCCTGGTTTAAGTATTTTAGTCCATCTGTGCAAACACTGTATGGCACTTCGACCTTCCATCATATCACTAATGATTCGCCAACTCTTTTCTCCATATTCTACAAATAAAATTCAATAGAAAACCTTCAATCAATTTTTAAAGCTTCTCATCCTCTTCAGGTGTCCACCTGCCAACCTTTTTTTTATCATTTTCATAATCTGCTATTGGAGATTGTTGATTTTGTTTGCGTTTATCGTTTTTTCTTTTCGATTTGCTTTCGTACATATCTACCTCATATTTTATTATTTAACCTCTAGACATCTATAGTTTTTTTTGTTTAGTTTTCGTTTTTATTTAATTTATCCGTTTTTACATAATTCTAAAACGATTAGAGGCACTTCCAATTATACGTCATATCATTGTTCTTATTTTATATATAAATAAGTAGATAATCAATTGATAGAAGAGGTTATTTATCAAATACTTTTTTTTGTTTACTTGATATATAGTTACTTTAATTATTAATAATCTCACTAAATTGTACAAAAATCATTAAGATCTAGAACGATCATTAAAATATTCTTTCTACATTTTATTCACAATGTAAAACTTAAAATAAAATCATAATTTAGAAATCCCACTAATGTATTTTATAAAGATTTAAATCTCTATTCAATAATATATATATAATAATATATATGTTAAATTATATCTCTTGATTATATTAAATAATTCTAAATATATACTTTGTTTCATTAAATAAAAAAAAGAATTTCTTTTTATCCTTTTGAATTTAATTTTATAATAATGTATACATAAATATATTATTTGAAATTTATGTAAATGAAAATGAATATAAGTACTCAATTTAGATGATATTTATGAAGACTTATAGATACTCTCATTAAATAAACAATAGAGTATTATAATTTTGAATACTACATAATTCTAATGAAGAATCTCTTTATCTAAAAATATCAATATTGAATATAAACAGATATAAATAATTGTAATAGCACAAAAAGAGTTATACAATTTTATATATGATCTTATTTGATAATAGAACTATTGTTAGAGTTTTGAGAATTACTATTTTATTATTTTTAAATCTCATTGGATTTATAGATTAAATGAAGCTTAGAGTATGTTAATGTTTTGATCCAACATTAATTGAAGACGTTGAGTTTGAATTATAACTTAAAATTAATTAAATAATGGGCAATTGTAACATTACTGACAAGAAAGACTTTTCAGATTCATCAAGTACTTAGATAGATATATCCTAGTTCTTTCTGTCCATAATTTTGAGTTTATTGAGGTTTTAGGAAAAGGTGGATTTGGGAAAGTGTGGAAGGTGAAAAAAAGAAAAAATAAAAGTTATTTTGCATTGAAAATGATGTCAAAAGCAAAGTATATTAAAGTTTTGAAGTTTAGAATTATTGCAAAGAAAAGTGTAACTTCAGTTATGAATGAAAGAACACTTTTATGTTAATTGAGACATCCATCATTAATAAATATGGTGGCTGCATTTTAAGATAGAGAGAATTTATACTTAGTTATGGATTTATTAAGTGGAGGAGATCTCAGATATCATATTGGTAAAAATAGAAAATTTTCAGAAGAAGAAACAAGTAACATCAGTTTTTTTTAATTTAGAATTTTTTTGTGCCTGCATCATAATTGCCTTAGAATATTTACATTCATAAGGAATAATTCATAGAGATTTAAAGCCAGAAAATTTAGTATTTGATTCTGAAGGATATTTACGATTAACTGATTTGGGTATAGCTAGAATTTGGAGACCAGATAATTCAGCTGATACTAGTGGAACTCCAGGATATATGGCTCCAGAAGTATTGTGCAGATAAAACCATGGAATTGCTGTAGATTATTTTGCATTAGGAGTGATTGTCTATGAATGTATGTTGGGAAGAAGACCTTATGTTGGAAGATCTAGATAAGAGATTAGAGATAATGTGTTAGCAAAGTAAGTTTAAATTAAAAAAAATGAAGTACCTACTACATGGTCATTAGAAGCAGCTGATTTTGCAAATTAGGTAAATTTAAAATGATTAATTCAGTTAATCCAAAGAAAACCTGCTTAGAGATTAGGCTCTGATAATCCAGAAGCTGTTAAGAATCATTCATGGTTCAATGGATTTTAATGGAACAAATTACTTAATAAAGAATTATAGCCTCCATATTTACCACGTAATTATAGTAATTCTGGTGGATCAACATAGGATACTGAGTAGGATACAAAAGAAAATGATCTTATGCTTAGGCGTAATTCTATTTAAGGTATATTTTACAAATCTATATATAGCTTAATTTGAGGGATATAGTCATGATTCAAATGAACCTATAACAGCTGAACCATCAAAATTCTGATTTAATATATTATTAACTTATATTTATACCAATCATTTTCATTTATTATTTTACTTCAATCTTGTTTTGTTTAATAAGATCATAATTCTTTGTTAAATTAATTTAAGTCAAATACATAAAAAATACTAATAACGAATTCAATTTTTTATAAAATAATTAAACTATTATTTTCGGTTATCATATTGGGAGTTAAAATGTCTTTCAAAAAAATTAACTTAATAGGATATTTTTAGATTTAAAGGCAAAGAATTTAGTATTTATATATCAATTTTTCAGGTAACTTTTCTAACTTATTTGTTCCTACAATTAAATTAATTTCCTATTTTTTAATAGAAATATTGTCAGATTAGTATTTGATAGTTCATTTATTTTCATTAATTATGATAGTTAAAGTTAATTTTAGTTATTAAAAACAAGCCTATTTAAATATAAGAATAAATTAAATTAAATAATATCTTATATCCTCTTAATAATATAATTTATTATTCAATTTCACATTTCATTAAATATCCTAATATTTTTGTTTGATAAATATTGTTAATTTTGGATAGATCTTCAAATATTCATTTATTTTTGATAAATCTCAGAATTAAAAATATATGTATATGTTTTTTTATTTGAAAATAAATTATTTTTAGTATAAATTGGAAGTAAAACTAAAATGTTTAAACATAACTTCTTAATAAAGAATTCATTTAATTTGAATTAAGTGGATACTAAATCGAAGATGATAATTTCATAATAATCATGAATTATTTAATTTTTTTAATTCTTTATTATGATTATATATGTATGATGATAGAAACAGATGTATAATATATGAATATGCTATTGGTATACAAACGATTTTATATAGTTAATAATTCTATAAATAATAATTTAAGATGAATTATTTTTCATAGAGTAAAACTTTTGATCTAATTATCCTAACCTTCAAATCCTATGATATAATTTGGTTGATTCACAATAATCTAGAAATATTCTTCTGTTTCAATAATATTACTAACTTCTGAGATGAATAACAAACCAGTATCACTAACATAATATAAACAATAATTACATAATAAATTCTCTTAATGCTTATGGGATAGATGTTAATTAAACTCTATATAGTTTTTATTTATTTGAGGAATCTATGCTTGTATTTGATAAGGAATCATCAGAGATATTTGAAACCTAAATATTTTTTAGTAATAATGGAACATAAACATCATTTTAAGCTGGAATGAATATACTCTACTTTCCAATTGAAATAGTAGATAAATCAAATTAAAATTAGGGATCAGATAATTTAAGTTTTTATTGTACTTCAATAATATTATCAGATTTCTATTTTTGATTTAAATAGTCAATCTATCCTTATAATGATTGAATTTATATTGTCAAATCTAAATTCTCTTAAGTTAAACAATTAATTTTATCCTCATATTATAATTATATTTCTTTAAAATCATCCTATGCTTTCAATAATTATAATTAATCTTGATTTTTTAATAAAATTATTTCATTATTTTTTTATTGTAGGGCTAAATCTAAATTATCAATTTTATTTTAAAGTGTTTTTTGATCTTCTTCTAATTATAAATCTTTTTAGGCTTATTCAATTTAATCTTAATTTAAATTTTCCAATTATGAATTCTTTTCTAAATAATCTTCTAATAATTCATTATAAACTTATATCTGTTTATCCAATTCAACTTATTTATTATCCCTTTCTAATTCAAGCATTTTAAGTTTCTATTTTAATTTTTCATTTTCATTTTAAATTACTTCTAATTAAGCATAATAATCCTATACTTATTGTAGATATTGTTTATTTAACAAATCTAATTCATTAATTTAATCATTTTGAGTTTCACATTATTATTAAATTGATTATTTATGTTTAAGTAAATCTGATTATATTTATTTAGATTAATTTAATTGATCATTAAGTTATTTTTATAATTATTATAATTTAGATATTTCACTATTTTTTTAAATTAAATTAATTTCTAAATTCTCACATTTACTTACAAATTTATTTAAATCATCCTTTAATTTAATAGTATTATTTTATAAAGATTCTATTTTTTATTATAATTCTGTAATCATATTATTTTTATTATCAATTTCAACTAATTTAGATTCAAAATCTTATTCTTATTTCTATAATCTAATTTTAAGTTTTTCATATTCTTATTTTTAATTATTTAATTATTCACTAAATTCATTTTTTAAATTCATAAGTTTTGAATCATTTTCTCTTTAAGATTTATCAGTGTTGGTATCTATTGATGATAATGGTTTATTTTCAGCTCTTTATATAAACATTTTCATTGAATTCTTTGCAGTTAATTATAATAATTCAATATAAGTTGTAGATTTCTTAGTAGTTTTCTCTTAATAAAATAGATGAGTTTATTTGCATTATTAATTTAAATCTTCTATTTATTATTTCAATTAATCAACATCATTATCTTAACGTTTCTTAAATGTATCAGTATGTAAACCAGTTATATTTGGTAATTCAGCATCTGCAAATGCATTAATAATTTAAATTGATGGAGTTAAATTTTTTAATTATCCAATAAAATCCTATGGCAATATTCGACCATATTATTATAAAAACTTTTTCCTCTTATCTTTCTCCTAATCAATTAATGACATCAATGATTTAATTTTCTTATCAAAAATATCTCTAAATTCTTTCCTTCTACTTGTTTCTATTAATGCTTATTAATAAGCTTATGGTAATAAAACAGGATTCAAAAGATATGAAAAATCTTTCTCCATTTTTTCTACCTCCTCATCATATTATCTAATTTTTTCATTATGTTATTCAAATTCTTTGTCTAGAGCTCTCAAATTTTAGAATACCTTCAAAATTTTAGACATATTCTATTATTTTAATTAAGTGAATTACATAAATACTTATTTTGCTAATTATTATTTAAATATTAAATACTTTTTTCTAAATGATCACCTATATGAGTTACTGCATCCTCAAATTATTTAATTTACTCTTAAGATAATTCAAATTAAGATAAATAATACATAGCTGGTTCATCATTAATATCTTATGAAAAATCAATCATATATTATCTTAATGTATTGTATTCTAATCATTATTTATACTTTTACCATCAATTGTAGATTAAACAACAGATTATAATAGTGATTTATTTTCTTATATGAATTATTAATATTATTATTAATTTGCTTTGTAACTTGATAAACATTATGTCATATTTTCTGTTTTTTCATTCTTTATCTTTTATTTTGATTTTGATATAGCTTAACTTAATTTATCAATTTTTTATTTTAAATTTTATTATGTATTCAAACAACTATTTTTCCATTTAAGCATAGATTCTGGTTTATAATAAATATCACTTAAATATTTTTATGAATTTGTTTGCAATGCAGCATGTAATTCTATTTTCTTTAATTACTCTAAACTATCATCAAATTTTTTAACTGTTAATAGATTTCTTTCTAATGATTCTTTTTATTTTTTTGTCAACTCCTCTTTCTTAGCTTTAGAATTTTTATATGTTGTTCTACTCATTTTTAATACAATATCAAATGATTAAATTTAATTTTCCAAATCTTATCCAATCTTTTCCAATTACTTAACCTTTTATTAATAAGGTATATATTTATTCTTTAAATTTTGTAAATGCTAAAAGAATATTTTCTCATGATTAATTATATTTGAGTTCAAATTAATAAGAGTTTCTTTTGCTTATTCTGACAGTAACAACTATTTTAAATCCATTTTAGGTTCATATTTAGGAAATGGGTAGACAACTTATTCTGGATTTTCACTTAGATCAAATAAATATATAGTCTATCCCAATATTAATTGTGTATATTACATAAAATTTTTATTCATCTGGAAATTATTACACTGTTTATTGCAATTATTAATCAACATCAAATTAATTTAAATCTTCCAATTTTACTCCTTTCTTTGTTAAAAGTAATTAATTCTTTACTTCAACTTTAGTTTCATTTTAAATTTATTCTTATAGATATTATAATCTAAAATTCTTATGCTATAAATACCGTTTATTCTCTGCTTGAAGAGTCAAAAGGAATTGATGACCATCTATACCAATTTTTATAATGAAGTCCATTTTTCTATTTTTTTTTGAATTTGAATTAATTAATTAAAAAGGTTGTTATATTAATATTATAATCTTAAGATTCTATATAATTAATCATACCATTTCTAAGAAATATTGTAAAGAACAATAAAATTATTTGTTTAAGCTAATCTATGATCAATTAAAAAGTGTAATATTTTTTATGATTATTTTCGAATAAAATTATATTTAATGATTATTGATATGATTATTAAAAATAAAAAATAAAATAAATGAGAAAGGTGTTTATATTTGAATTTATATTGGCAGCTCATGTTGTATTTTGTATTTTGATAGAAATGTAATCAATAATATTTCCAATTTAATAAAAATTAGTAGATTTAGATAATGTAGGACCTGTAAAAAAGTATAATAATTATATTAAATATTATATAGAAATACTCATGCTAATCATAATTCATATTTTGATTTATTTGGATTCTTTGGACTTTGTATTTGGTTATTATTGAAATATTTTTTTGAAGGATTTCGATTTAATTCAATTCTAATAATGGCTGCATATACATTCTTCTTTTTTGATAGAGTAATATATATATATATATTAATTATAATAGGCATTATAATTTGCAGATAAAATATTATGTTAAGTATCTGCTGTATTAACTATTTTATATATTTGGACATTAATTAGTTATCCTGTTTATGAATTTCCTAAATCTACAGGTAAATATAGAACATGTTATAAATCAATTAAATTAAATGATAGTTATTAAACTGATACTTCTGTATATTATCCATGTTAAGATAATAAATAAGAAGATATTAAATATAAATGGTTACCAAATAATAAATTTAGTAAATTAATATATGAATTATCTATTTTATCAACTAAATGGGCACCATCTGAATGGATATTTGATATTGGATTATCTTTTTTAAAGTATTTAATTATTATTAAATTTAAGTTTTATTAATTTTACAGCTAGTATTGAATAACCATTAATAAATAAAGAATTAGATGTTATTATATTTAGTCATGGATTTTCATAACATAGAAATGCATATACAACATTATGTTAATAATTAGCAAGTGAAGGTTATGTTGTATTTTCATTATAACATTATGAATTAGTTTATCCATGGGATATTAAAGGTACTAAAATATATAATACTGGTAATTATCCAGAAATTATTGAAAAATATTAAAAAATAAGATCATCACATTTAGAATGGAGAACTGAATAAATTTAATAATTAATTGATAATTTAAAATCAAATAAAATTAAAGATGTATTTTATGATTTTAAACCATTATCAATTAATTTAATTGGTCATTCATTTGGTGGTGCATCTGTTCTTAGAGTTGCTTAAGAAATTAATGTAAATAGTGTTATTGCATATGATCCATGGTTATTTCCATTTAATTAAGAATAAATGCATAAATAAGTTAAATGTAGAACCTTAATATTAAGTAAAGATAAAAATAGAATTAAATAAGAATGGTTTGATCCTAAATTACTTAAAGAATTTTTAGATTTTAATACATAAATTGAACATTATAAAATTAAAGGTTTAGATCATGCTTATCCTGTTGATTTAACTTATTTTATTGCAGCTGAAATGGTATTAATTGGTGAATTAAGAACTGATGAAAATCTATTCAAAATTAATAATTTAATTAGTTCATTAACTATTAAATTTATGTAATAAAAACTATTCAGTATCGAAGAAAATAAATAATTTTGTTGAAAATATTATTATTAATCAATCTAATATNAATATTTTTTTGAAGGATTTCGATTTAATTCAATTCTAATAATGGCAGCATATACATTCTTCTTTTTTGATAGAGTAATATATATATTAATTATTTATAATAGGCATTATAATTTGCAGATAAAATATTATGTTAAGTATCTGCTGTATTAACTATTTTATATATTTGGACATTAATTAGTTATCCTGTTTATGAATTTCCTAAATCTACAGGTAAATATAGAACATGTTATAAATCAATTAAATTAAATGATAGTTATTAAACTGATACTTCTGTATATTATCCATGTTAAGATAATAAATAAGAAGATATTAAATATAAATGGTTACCTAATAATAAATTTAGTAAATTAATATATGAATTATCTATTTTATCATCTAAATGGGTACCATCGGAATGGATATTTGATATTGGATTATCTTTTTTAAAGTATTTAATTATTATTAAATTTAAGTTTTATTAATTTTACAGCTAGTATTGAATAACCATTAATAAATAAAGAATTAGATGTTATTATATTTAGTCATGGATTTTCATAACATAGAAATGCATATACAACATTATGTTAATAATTAGCAAGTGAAGGTTATGTTGTATTTTCATTATAACATTATGAATTAGTTTATCCATGGGATATTAAAGGTACTAAAATATATAATACTGGTAATTATCCAGAAATTATTGAAAAATATTAAAAAATAAGATCATCACATTTAGAATGGAGAACTGAATAAATTTAATAATTAATTGATAATTTAAAATCAAATAAAATTAAAGATGTATTTTATGATTTTAAACCATTATCAATTAATTTAATTGGTCATTCATTTGGTGGTGCATCTGTTCTTAGAGTTGCTTAAGAAATTAATGTAAATAGTGTTATTGCATATGATCCATGGTTATTTCCATTTAATTAAGAATAAATGCATAAATAAGTTAAATGTAGAACCTTAATATTAAGTAAAGATAAAAATAGAATTAAATAAGAATGGTTTGATCCTAAATTACTTAAAGAATTTTTAGATTTTAATACNATTTGAATTTATATTGGCAGCTCATGTTGTATTTTGTATTTTGATAGAAATGTAATCAATAATATTTCCAATTTAATAAAAATTAGTAGATTTAGATAATGTAGGACCTGTAAAAAAGTATAATAATTATATTAAATATTATATAGAAATACTCATGCTAATCATAATTCATATTTTGATTTATTTGGATTCTTTGGACTTTGTATTTGGTTATTATTGAAATATTTTTTTGAAGGATTTCGATTTAATTCAATTCTAATAATGGCAGCATATACATTCTTCTTTTTTGATAGAGTAATATATATATTAATTATTTATAATAGGCATTATAATTTGCAGATAAAATATTATGTTAAGTATCTGCTGTATTAACTATTTTATATATTTGGACATTAATTAGTTATCCTGTTTATGAATTTCCTAAATCTACAGGTAAATATAGAACATGTTATAAATCAATTAAATTAAATGATAGTTATTAAACTGATACTTCTGTATATTATCCATGTTAAGATAATAAATAAGAAGATATTAAATATAAATGGTTACCTAATAATAAATTTAGTAAATTAATATATGAATTATCTATTTTATCATCTAAATGGGTACCATCGGAATGGATATTTGATATTGGATTATCTTTTTTAAAGTATTTAATTATTATTAAATTTAAGTTTTATTAATTTTACAGCTAGTATTGAATAACCATTAATAAATAAAGAATTAGATGTTATTATATTTAGTCATGGATTTTCATAACATAGAAATGCATATACAACATTATGTTAATAATTAGCAAGTGAAGGTTATGTTGTATTTTCATTATAACATTATGAATTAGTTTATCCATGGGATATTAAAGGTACTAAAATATATAATACTGGTAATTATCCAGAAATTATTGAAAAATATTAAAAAATAAGATCATCACATTTAGAATGGAGAACTGAATAAATTTAATAATTAATTGATAATTTAAAATCAAATAAAATTAAAGATGTATTTTATGATTTTAAACCATTATCAATTAATTTAATTGGTCATTCATTTGGTGGTGCATCTGTTCTTAGAGTTGCTTAAGAAATTAATGTAAATAGTGTTATTGCATATGATCCATGGTTATTTCCATTTAATTAAGAATAAATGCATAAATAAGTTAAATGTAGAACCTTAATATTAAGTAAAGATAAAAATAGAATTAAATAAGAATGGTTTGATCCTAAATTACTTAAAGAATTTTTAGATTTTAATACTTAAATTGAACATTATAAAATTAAAGGTTTAGATCATGCTTATCCTGTTGATTTAACTTATTTAATTGCAGCTGAAATGGTATTGATTGGTGAATTAAGATCTGATGAAAATCTATTCAAAATTAATAATTTAATTAGTTCATTAACTATTAAATTTATGTAATAAAAACTATTCAGTATCGAAGAAAATAAATAATTTTGTTGAAAATATTATTATTAATCAATCTAATATAAATATCAATCATTATTAAATTTTATTATAAACTATATAATATTTTCTGAAATAATTATATAATTCTGAAAGAAATAATCTTAATCTATATAAGTTTGTTAAAGATAATTTTTATAATATATATACTTGTAAACTAAATTCTCATAAAATTATAGATTAAGAAAATACTTTAAATTTAGAGTAATGTTATAATAGACTATTATTTATCTAGAAATGGCAGTCCTTTAAAAGATATTTTAGATTAAGTTAAAGGTTATATTTTTTCAAGCACTTAATCTAATACAAAAATTTTAGATCCTTTCTAATTAAATTCACAATAATAATTAATTCTTCTAATTAAAATGAATTAAAGATCTATAAAATGAATCTCTTATAATATTTTATTCTCTTAAATATTTGTTGTTTCTTCTTATGATACCTTGTAAAATTAATATAAACATAATATGTTTCCTAGTTATAATTTCAAAGAGAAATACATATGCTTTATTATCTCCATAAATTTATAATTTAAATAGCTACAATATTTGCAAACAGTATGCTATATTATTTATTTAAAGGTTCAAAGATATCAGAATAGTTCAATTATCCCTTTGAAAAGGAAGTGATCTTTAAAAATCTTAAAAATATAACAAAATAAATAATAAAAAAGTTGTGCCTTTATTTTTGATATAAGAATTAAAACAAATTATGAAGAAGTCATTGGATTACCATTTAGTATAGATTTAATTAGGTAATAGAGGAAAATTACTTAGATAAATTAATCAATTTATTTTAAATCAAAGCCTAGTTGCACTAATTAATAATGAGATTTTCAATGAAGAATGGTCAAACTTAAGTTTATATAAAATAAATAATTATCAAGATAATAAATTATACATACAATAATAAATGAATAAAAATTAAATTAAGAATTTTTTTAAAGTAAGATGAATAGATAGCTTCTATAATTATTATGAAGTAAATATTTTAAAATGAAAATGGTAAAGTTCTAAACTAGTTGTAGTTTTAGAATCTTAAAATATAAAATAATTAAATGTCTTATTAACTGAAGGGACTCAATGCTAAAAGATTATAATAGATAAATCAATCAACATTCAAGACACGTAAAAGTTAAGATTATCCTTGCGACCTTTCTTATGAATACCAACCTCGAAACAATTCTTTCAAACAGACTAGAGCTATTACTCAACATAATTAAAGACTAATAAATGAGGATGAAATATCAAAGATGGTAAGACCTTAAACTTCAGAGGGGACCAGACGAATGAGAATAAAAGAAAAGCATACTGAAATTGGAAATCTGAATTCAAACTTAAAATGTGATATACTTGAATGTGAAAATGAAGAAGATAATTAGTATAACATTATTCATTTACAATAGAGAATAACAATTAGAGATAAATTATCATATTATATGTAATTCAAGTAACACTACTAGAAGCTTAAAACCTAAAATTCCATTTTAAACAACTCTCGATCAAGATTTTATAAGTTTGTTCGCCAATGATTGATTAATTAATCTTATATTTTTTTGTATTATTATTGCTATTTAATTTATTTAGTAAAACATGCATCCTTATTTATCATTACTTTTATACAGATAGATAAATAATTAAATTAAACTAGCTATATAATCTTATATTGTTGTATAAATTATATCTTTCAATAGTAGTTCTATCTATTGTTAATTGAAAAAAAGAATTAGGAAAACTTCATAAGTATATAAGTCTTGATTCTGATTGACTTTCTTATTTACTGATTTCTGTTATTACAAATTATAAATTAATTTAACAACATCTAATTAAAGAATTATTATAAGCTATTAAATAAAAGTCAAAAATAAATGAATTTGATAAGCTGAGACAATTATTTATGTATATTTTATTATAAATTATGAATTTATTGTTATATATTAATTAAAAGAATTCATTCAGAGAATGATAAAATTAATTTTCATAATAAAATCATGAATAATAGTACTTGATAAATTTATTGTATTTTTGATAGTGATGTAATTCAATAATCAAGTGCTTAATAAATTAATATTTTAAATAAAGAAAGGTTCTGAAGTTCTAAATGAGAGAATCAATAGATGCTAATAAATAATAGATCAAAGGAATTTATAAATATTAATTTGAAATTTCAAAATCGAACTTCAAACATAAAAAGAAAAATTAAAATAATCTTAAAGTCATAATAAGGAATACTTAGTATCAAAATTGTTATTCTATGATTCATTTTTGAAGAATTAGTCAATTAGATAATGATGTATAATGTATGTACAATGAAGTCTACACTTTTAATTTTGTATTTTATTTGATTAAAAGTAAAAACCTTTATGGATTTAATCCTTTGAATTTTATTAAATCTAAGATAAGTTTTAATACAAATAAATAGACAATCTAATAATTCAACTTGATAGATACTGAATTAAAATATTATAGGAAAGTTACTTATTTTGGTATCAATAAATTATAAATTCAATAGTTACACAATTGATAATCAAATCAAGTAATGTTAATCTATTTTTTAAAGAAAGAGACTGAAAAGTTAATTGCATATTCAATTATAAATGATATTTATTTAATTTAATTTTTTTAACAAAAAAATGTATTCATGATCAATCTATACAAATTGGATTTTCCATATCTTTACCATTTTTATCCTCATGACTGCTGTTTGGTTGAGGAGATTTTATTTTCTATAAAGATTTTTCTTTCATTTTTTATTAAGGAACTTATTACTATTATTATTATTATAATTATTATAATTATTATTATTATTATTATTATTATTATTGTTGTTATTATTGTTATAATTATTGTTATTGTTATAATTATTTTTGCTGTTATTATTATTGTTGTTGCTATTGTTATTATTATTGTTATTATTGTTGTTATATTTATTAAATTTATGGTTGTTATCCAATAATTGGTGGATTTTAGTTACTTAATGCTTTTTAAATTTAAGCACTAGAATCTGATTATTTTTAAGTGACTATTTATTATTAAAATACATTTTATGGAGTTGGAAATCCTTGAGGGAGAAAAGCTTATAATGATTTTAATTGCTCTTCTCCAAAAGTTTTCAAATCTTCATGTTGCTTTTCAATTTGCCCAGGGTTTTACATAATGATTTGATCAGCTAACATTTTTGTAAATTGATTAGTAGTATTAATTTTAGGTTTCTCTTCAGAAAGTTTATAAATATACTTCTTAGTGGCACTTTATTATTATTATGTTTATGAAGGATTTTTAACATTATTTTCTGTGGAGGCATTGATATTATTAGCAAAATTTTTTCTTATAAATTCAGAAAATTATTTTTTTATTACTCTAACCATTCTTTCTTTCAATCTATTAGACTTTTATATTGGTTTATCATTTTCTTAATGTGTAATTTATTATTATTGCTATTATTGCTATTATTATTATTATTATTATTATTATTATTATTATTATTATTATTGTTGCTATTATTATTGTTGCTATTATTGCAATGATTACTATTGTTATTATTATTACTTTTCTTATGATTATTAATCTTATTATTATGCTGATTACTTTTATTCTAAATTTGACTAATCTTCATTTTATTAATCATTTATCTATTTTTCTAAATTCTTTTATGCAAGTTCTTATTGTGATACTTCGTCTACCCAAGTTTCAAATTTTTTAAATTTTATGAATTTAGGTTTAGTAATTGCTTATTAAGATAATAATTATTGTAATGAGTTTTATTTTCCTTCAATATTAGTTAAATTTGATTCAACTAATTATTTTAACTATGATTTATTTTAATAAGTATTGATATTTTCATTTTTCTCTTTATGCTACAGTTATTGTTATTATATTTATTGCTGTTACTAGAGAACAGATATTTAGTCCATTTATTTTTAATATAACTACATCTATATGAGAGTAGTAGGATTTAACATAATTAATCTATGGAGAAGTGTTGGATCTCCCAACTACTAAATTGGTTATTTTTATTATTCTTCTAATTAGTTCTATTTATTGATACTAACTTATTCTTCTTCAGACTCTTCCAATTCCTCCTTAATCTCTTAAACTATTACACCCTAAAGATAGAATAAATAAAATACATTTTAATCAAAAACAACTTCTTTTATGTTTTCTTTGTTATTTCTATATTGTTCCAGTAATTGTAATTAATACTAATCAATCATGATATCAAAAATTTTTTTTTTGCAAACAGGACATTTCCATTTTCTAGATGTTCCTGCATTAATAGTTATTGTATTTTCAAGAGAGAAACATTATACATGAGTACAAAATCTTCCTCTAGCAGGTGTCTAATAATATTTAGAAACTATTACTTAGATCATCTAAGAATCAAACTAACATTTAAGAGAAGCTTTGATAGTAATTTTATCAATTTGAACATCATTATCTGTTTTTTCAGCAACACATGCTTTTTAAATGAGTTGAATACACTCTTCTTTAGTTTTGATACATTCTTTATTTTATTTAATCTGATTGATTAATTCCTAATGAGGTCTTTTCTTGGTTAAATAAATAGCTTATGCATAGACACCACTATATTATTAAATATATGATATTACTCTTCACATAATTTAAACTATGTTTTGGGTTCTTGAAAATTTTGACCTTCTTTTATTATGATTTGATTGTATCCTTATTTAATGGAGAGAGTAATATTGTTATGTTAAAATGGAATGATTTAAATTTCATCCTTTCTTTTTTTAAGACTACTATTAGATTTAAGTGGTTTGAGTTCAACAAGACGTTGTTAATTGATTGATATTTCACAGAAATCAGGCCAAGTAATTTCATTCATGTATTTAGCATCTAATCTAATTGATCTTAATTCAACTTAGTATTAAAATGATCTATCTTATAATTGACTATGGTTATATAATTAGATAATACTGAAATTCTTCTGAATTAAGCATGAAACTTAATGTACTTGAATTAGTATTCATCAATGTTGGTTTTGTAAGAACTTTAATAATTTAATTGAGTGGATCAATTTTGCTGAGTATGCAAACTGGACATTCAAACATCTTAACATCGTTGGGTTACAATTTCATACATGAAATATGAAGTTTATTATCACAATTAATGCATTTAACTTCTTCATTAGTAACCCTTTTGGCGGGAATGATTCTAGGAATAATTGTAATTTTCTTACTTACATGGACACATGAGGAGTTATTAAATTTCTGTTTGTGGAATAGTAAGGGAATCATTCCATTGATCTAAATAATGTAGAATGCATACTGTATTATTGATAGTAAAATTGTTGTGGAGTATTTTATCTCATTTGTTATTGATAGAGATTCATATTCATTATTGGAGGGTATTATTGTAATAATTATTGTTAAGCTTGTTATGCTTATGGGAGTACCATCTTAAATTGAAATGAATTCAATACATAATTCAGATAAGGATTTTGCAAGAGTTATGGCATGGCTCGTTGCATTTGTGGTTGTTGTTGGAATTATTATGTTCTATTGATTATGCTTCCTTAAAATTTCTTTAAGATGGCCATTATGGTCTCGTTGTTTTAGAGGTTTGGTTGGTGTTAAAGAAGCTATTCCATGGGTCTTGAAGGATCTACTTATATCAAAAATTGTAGAAGATGTTTAGGAATTAAGGTAATTATTTCTTCTTTTTTTTTTTTTTCAGCAATACCCAGTTCTTTTGCAATTTATTATAGTTGTTTTTTTCCTAATTTTTATAATTGCACACTATTCACAGCTTCTTTAATTGCCTTCTCGTACGCTTAAGATATTTATGTATTTTAAGGATTCAACATGCCAAAATTTGACACATTTAGAAAACTAAATATTAGAATGCTTCTTTACTTGAAATGAGGTTGTCCAGACATTCTGCTTGTTTTATATTTAAATTTTGATCTTTAACTAAAAAGATTCGTCATTCCCAGCACACCTCCCCCATCCTTAATTTAACTTTTTAACTTTATGGTATTTACAATTTAAGTGAGTGTCGTATCTTTTTTAATTTTTTTTAAAAATCCCCTTATTTAGTGTTTCTTTTAGTTATTTTATTAATATATTTTATTCTATCCCCTTAAACTCGAAAATCAAAAATCTCCATCTCTCTTCACTTCCTTTAGACCTCAACTGCTCAATTTCCAATTGACCATAAATTCCATAATACAAATTAGTGCCTTTACTAAATTAACCCCTTAAATTGTAACTGTATAATTACATAATCGAATGAATTTAAATTACTTTTTATAAAATACCTAGTCATTCCTTTATAAGACATCATTCCTTATTAATCTAAAAGACCTTACATATAGTCTTAAACTTGAATATCAACAATCAGCAATATAAAATTAACGTATCGTAATTTTCAGTTCAAGTCCTTTGCCTTCATATCTACTACAAGAACTTTATCATAAACCATTTAAAACCTTCCTCAATTATCAAAAGGGTTAGCCTAAGTAATTAAACAAGTAAATGTAGCAATAATTTAGATATCAATATAATATTTAAAATAGTTAATGTTTAACTAGGTTATATCATTTAGTAGATTTAATTTCACTTAAATTACACACTTTATAAAGGATATAATATTATTATAACTGAAATATTAATGGAAGAAATATAAAAACTTTGCAGTAGTATAAATATTCTAAAATAATTACAGAGTTATAATTTTATTAAATTATAGACATGAAAGAATGTAGAAATAAATACTTATAGTTGTAGATAATATTAATTTGATACTAATGGAACTTTTACTATTTTAGCTGTTTCAATAAATTATAAGAAATCAGCAGTTTATAAATATAGATATGAATCATTGTAAAAACTAATAGTTCAATAAAGAATTAGAGAAAAATAAGAAATTTTATGTATCAAATAATATTATCAAAATAAATATGATTAATAAAGAATATGAAAATTAGAATGTTATGAATTAAATCTTTATTAGACTTAGTCATAAAGTTAATTTATTTAATGTTGGTAATAAAATAAGGAAAATAAATAATTATTTATTTTTTATGAGTTTATTGTAATTAAATTATGAAGTATATTATTAATAGTTATATGTTTATTCATACTAAAGAATTGTATGGGTGTTCATTAAAATAGTAAGAGTAAGAAACTTTGATTGCATTGACTACATTTGGAGAAGGAACCTAAGAATTATTGGGTATATATATAATATTAATAAAGTATTATCCAATAAGGAAGATGATTTATAAAAAAAATCTTAAATCAATCTTGATTCCAAATTTGTTATTCAAATAATGTTACTTAATGAATTAATAGTTGTTGCAGGTGAAAGTTTCCAAATCTTTAAGTATTCTAATACAAAAATTGATCATCTTGTAGATCTATAATCTAATGAAGTGATTTCTTGTTTTGACAATGTTAATAATCAAAAGATTATTTCTGGTTCTATTAATTCAATTCTAACTATATGGGACATCAATACTTAAAAACCTCTTTCCTAAACATAAGTCTTCTAAAATCAAGAAATCTATGATCTGAGTCTAAGTGCTGATGGTAATGTTGGATCATTGATTACTAATAAAAATGGACTCTTTCGTTTTGATGTAAGACTTAATTAAATATTTCCATTCTAAACCAGACAATCATTAAAATATAGCAAAATCAATTATAATAAATTTGATAACTCTTATGTAATGGCAATTGATCAAGAAAATGGTATCATCGATTTATATGATACAAGACAAATACAATAAACCTGTTAAAGAATCAGATGTTAAGACATTATATCAAATGCTGATTGGTTGATAAACTCACTTATTATTTCAGCTTGTTAAGAAGGCAATGTTGAAATCATAGAAATGGATACTCATCTAAAGAAATATTAAATTCACAAAGAATATACAATAGATAATATGTAAATTTATGACAACATAGTTGGTTTGATATCTGCCAATCATTTTGGATTGATTTACCTAAAAAAATGATAACATATTAATTACTAAAATCAATTGATATATCAATCTATAGAACCCCTTATATTCAGTTAAGGATTCTATATTTTAATTGTATAATTATTCTTTTCTTTTATTATTAAAAATATATTCTGAATAAATGACTATTAATATTCTAATATATAAATCTGTATAATAAAATCATTTAGGAATGAAATTAAATAACAATATTTTCACATAGATGCAAACTAAAATTTTTATCACTTAAGCCAATATTTAATTAAAATTAATATTAATCTTTATATATATATATTTACTATTTGCATTGTATCACTTGTTTGATATTATAAGTAATGAATAAATTTAATTTCAAAACAATATCCTAATATAAAAACTGATAAAATATTTGAAATTAAATGATTATAGAGAAATCACATATTGCTAATATTGTAATTGTATTATTTGGGTATTAAATTGATTTATGATTATATCAAACAATTAACTCCTTTTTTAATTATAAATTTAATGAGTTTATAATAAAAATCAATTAATGGTTATTTCTCTAAAAAAAGCACAAAATTAATATATTTACTAATGTAATAACTTGTCAATAACTTCATGTAATTGTCCATAATTTTATTAGTATTTGTAATCTATAGTTTATCATAAGAATATATATACTGATTTTTTATCATAATTAATAAATAAATGATAAAGAAAAAGAAATTAGTTTTAATTAAGTTATGATGATGAAATGGAAATAGAAATTTATTTATGTCAATTATTCTAATTTTTAGAGTACAATAACATTTCTTTAGCAGTAATTTTAACTTTCTCGATATTAGAAAGAGACCAAGGCAATCTTTTAACTTCAAAAGAAAACTAGATTTAAAAAAAAATATTTATACAATTTTATCGTCTGAAATTGTATTCTAAATTTTATTGCATAAAGCTGCAATTTTTTTTTTTGAGTCTTTCTGAATTTGTTCATCTAAGCAATCTAAGATATATATTTAGTATTTTTACCTAAATATTGTTCATAATATTTAACAAAGGTTGAAGAAGAAAATATTTCTCTTAAAAATTCTGAATTCATAGTTTTATTCTTGCTATTTTTTCTAAATGGCAATATTATATTTTTCTTTGTCTCTTGTTCTATAATTTCTATGAATTTTTTCTATGCGCATTTCATATTTAACTCTAAAAAATTAAGTCTTATTAATACTTGTTTTATCATTTTCTTCTTATACCTTTCTGAAAATGAACTTTAATGCTTTTCTTAAGCAAAACTTTATAAGTTCTTCTCTACTCTTATGTTATTACTATTGCTTTTGCAATAACATCTCAAGGACATTCGCCAAAGAAAATTGACTTTTATTTTTTAACGAAGAAATTAGTTGATTCACATCTTCATCTTAATTGATTATCATATGTATATAGTTTTCTAGTGTTTCCCTTTATACAAATGGCATAACATCTTTAGTCTCGAAAATAGATCTTCTTGTACCCTGAGTTGTACTAGCATCCTCCTTTAATTACACTAAAATTAGTTTAGTTAAGCTTACTTTGATCTGATTAGACAGGAATTTACTCATATTATTAAGTATAGAGTTAAGTTTGATTAGCATAAGGATAACCATATGGATTAGGATAATAAAAATTTTGCATATTCTAATACATATTCCAATAGTTGTTTTATTAGCGGAGTTAGAGATCAAAGATGAGTTAGTTGGTCAAAAAGCTGTACATTTAGTTGTAATTTAATTCGAAATATTATAATTAGAAACAAAAGAAAGATATGCTATTTAAAATGCCGTATAATACATATATTCATTAATTAAATTTATCCGCACTTAATTCAAGATGAATTGAGCATTTACAGGGCTTTGTAGTATAATATAAAGTACTGTAAATTGAATTTTAAATGAGAACAAATTAATATATTTCTGAATATTCTTCATTAATGTAAATAAAATTACTGATATTTAAGACTTTTATTCATTACTAATTAATTCATTAATAATAAATAATTTATTATATATAAAAAAATAAAAACAACAAAAACTAAGACAATAACTCAAAATAATTACTATTGTTATCAAAAGTAATTAATGAGTTTAACTCAAAATTTAATTTCTTAATTTCATTCTACTTAAAGAAAAAAATTAGCTATATATTTTAATAAATTTATATATTCTTAAAAATCTTATCTTTTTTTTAAAGAATAAATAATCTAAAATATTGGTGAAATTAAAATTATTGGCAAAGTTCTTAAAATAGTAAAAAAAATAATTATACAAAATATAATTATAGAAGTATTTAAGACTTTAAAATTTGTTGTTTATATATCTAAAAGCTTTTAATATGCAATAATTGATAATTATTATATAATAGTAAAATGTAAAGTAGAATGACAAAGAGACTTTGAAATGACTTAGAATAAATGCAAAAGGTATATGCTGATTAATTCAATGCAAGAATGCTAAATAATGATATCAAACATTGGATTATCGGATTTGAAGGTGCAAAAGGAACTCTTTATTAAAGAGAGAAATTTGAGTAAACATTTAGATTGATATTTTAGATTGCAATTCAAATTCTCAAATGAATATGTAGAAGTACTTGATTCTTATTTAGCTCTTTTTTCTTTGAAAATAGCCAATCGAATCACCTCAAGCAATATTAATAATCAGAATATTTAGGTCATTTTTATTGGTAAAACACCTGAGCTTGAACATATTTATTCTGTTAATCAATATTATTTGATGGTATTTACATGTTAAATAATTATTTTAGAATGGTCAGCTGCCTTAAATGTATCATCTTTATGTCTCTCAATCCAATCCATGTTATCAAGTGCTACAAAAAAGTAAAGATTATTGTTAATATTATCAGATGAAACCTCTAAATGATGCAGAATTTGTAAAGAAAGCAGCAATTAGAGGTTCAAAGAGTTTTCTATGGAGTTATCATGATGAAAAATGCTGAAGAATTTGTAAAACAAATATATTAATTGAATACGAAACATTCTTAATCATAATTAAACAATATCCTAATCTGAAACATCATCCAGAATTTTCTATAAGTCTGTATTACTTTAACTGCTAGATGGAATCTTCTAAACATTTAAACTATTTCTAAATCCATTATCTTAAAGATTAGCACTATTTCTATATCCATTATCTGATATTTGATTCTATGATACCAATACCGAGCCTCTATTAGAACCAATAGATAATCTAGATTTGTTCATAAGCATTTTAGTAGTATCTATCATACTGGTTCTTTTTGATGATTATCTTGCAGGACTGCTTTGACAACTAGATAGATTGCTTTGAATTATTAAAATCAAATCATTTAGATCTTAATCAGCTGCTGGAGTCAATTTCAACATATTTTACAATTTCAACACCAAATCCTTTTATTATTACTTTAACTAATCATTAACAGTTGAAAATTGGGCAATTTATAATTTACTTAATCTAAGTTCATCATTTAGTCTATTAATCTATTCTTTATATTTATCATCTTATGACATTTCTCTAACAGGTGAATATTACTTAATATTTTCAGAACTTCTCATTAATTATTCCTACATTAATTTCAGTTCCTCCTTGTAACCCTCTGCAATCTTATTACATTCTTCTTAAGATTATTATTTAGCATTTTTTAATTATTCCTCAAGTACTAAAAATAATTCATTTATTATTACCTTTATATTGATTTTCCAATTATTTTTAAAATTTTAATTATTCATCTCTTTATAAATCTTTACTACTATTGATCTTAGTTAATTCATCCATATTTCTTTTAAATTCATCTACCTCTTCCTATAGCTACTTATTTTATGTTTTAATTTCTATTAATTCTATATAATTATTATTACATTCTAATTCCTTATTCAAATCATTTACTATAGATTCTAATCTCTCCTTATTAATTTTCTATTCATGTAAATCCTATTAAATTTTTGAATATTATTATTTCAATTCTTCAATTTAAGATTCAAATTAATTTTTTTATTCATTCAAAACTCCAATCTATTATTATTATTTATTGTTTTCTTATTCTAATACTTTGTATCTAATTTCAAATTCGTTCAACTATGAAGTTAATTCTTAAACCTATTTTGTTAAATTGGATTCATTTCTATTTAAGTTTACAAGAAGGAGTTCTTATTAACTCAGATTTTAATCTGATTCCTATCTTTTTACAGATAATATTTGAATTTATGTTTCAAGATCTTATATTTTACTTATAAATTCTGATTTTTATTCTAATATATGTAAAATTAAAATACATTCTTAATTTTTATTAAGTAAATTAATTTGATTGGTAAGCACTTACTTTTCTTATATTAGATCTATTTTTAATTTATTATTAAAAAATACTTTGATTATCATTTTATAATAATGAATTTGATTAAATATATTAATCTAGAGTATTTTAAGTTTCAATTATCTTTTCATTTAATATCTCATTTGTTTTTTACTTTTCAACATTTAAATTCTATTCACTTTCAAGATTTTATTTTAATTTTTAAATTTCTGTTTCTTTTTCTATTATTAAATTCTAATGATGCTCAATATCTTCTTTTAGTTTTGGAATCAATTCAATTTATTATTCTAATTATTATATTTAAGATTTGATCTATTCTTGTTCTTCATTAAGTGTAGAAATCATTAAATCTTTTTAATTCAATTACTATTATGACTATTACAAATCTTCATTAAGTTTTGCTATATTTTAAATTTCATTTTTCTAATCCGCAATCTAAGATTGAAGTATTTACTCTTTAGCCAATAGATCTATATGTTAATATAGTAATTATACCTTAATTTTATTGAATGAGATCATTTATTTAATTATGTAAATTTTTCTCATTTATTAATATTTTTTCTTTAAATGATTCAAATTTATTTTCATTTTCTTTAAGATTGTCTATCAATCTTTATTTCTCTTATTGTAAATCTAGATAATATATTTGTTTATTATTACCTTGAATTTATTCTTTTAATTCTTCAATAGTAAAATTTAATTCACAAATTTAATTAGGATTAGATTATTAATCTTAAATTCTGATTGGTGATTATAATTCTACAATTTTTGATATTTAATATATACCTTTAGATTCAGCACATTGATTAGATGATCCCAAAAGGATTTCTTCATCAAAATTCTCACAAGTTTCTTGATATTTGACTTCAGAAGCCAAAGTTTCAAATTAGCATTAATCCATTGATTCAGTAGTTTAATTATTATCTTGGCTTCCAAGTTTCTTTATGTTCTATAACATTTATGAGTTCTAAGATATTCTTATAGAATCTTATATAATATTAATTTAATACTGTTATTTAATTATTATGATTTGAATTCTTCGTTTTGATAATGTTCCAAAACTAAAATGTCATTTAAAACAATACTTTATTTTAATTCTGCAATTTATTTGTTTAAGTCTTCAATGAGATTAAGTAGTTATTGATTCTTTTGAGTCAAACTGAAAATTTAATCTTGATTATCTATTTGAATAAAGAATATTGATTACAATCTTTGACTTCTTCAATTTAGAGATTGAGATCATTTATTACTTACTATTGTTACTATAATTTACATTTATATTCCAAATCCATAGATTCAAGTTCTTGTTTAATGATATATAATAAATACATAGTTCTTTTTCTTAAAGTTTTTGTTTCAACATTAAACTACTTTAATCCATTTGTTTTTGCAATTAAACATAAGAATTTCTAACAGTCTATTCTGCTTAATTCTTTCTTTCTTCTTTAATCTTTTGTCTGACAACATTGATTTATTCAATAATTTCTGCTCCACAATTTCTTCGATCCAATTCTGAAAGACAATTAGTGAATCGTATTAATTTCTTCTCTGCTCTCTTTTTAATCTACATAGCATTATTATAAAGCGATAACAATTCCTTAATATCTGTTTATTGCTGATCCATTAAATTAAATATCAAATATACTTAATAGATTACGCCATGTTAATTAACTTATAATAATACAAACACAAAAATTGAAATATATATAATATCTTGTATTCATTTATTACTCTAATCTTACTTGATGTTGTTGTACTTTTATAATGCATTGCAAATTTCAGATTTAAATAATTCTCTACTTTATTCCTTATTCAAATCAGAATTCAAGTTCTATTTCTTTTAATCTAAACTACAATTGAGTATAGACATAGTTGATTTTTGTAATTAATTAGATTTCATCTCTTAGATCTAATTATATTTTATTTATTCCATAATTATTACTTATTTAGTGAGATCATTAACTTTTGCTCTTTCTGATTCTATCATTAGATTTAATTCTTATATTAACTAAAAACGTTACCTAAGATCTTTTTATCATGGTCATTTTTTTATTATTTTATTATAGAATTGGCCTTATGGACTTCTATAAATAACTTATATAATAACATGATTTAAGATCATTTATTTCTTCAACATAGAGATTGTAAATTTCTTAATGTTTATCATCTGTATATATGGAATTTAAATTTGATTTCACATCTTTGACTATAATAAATTAGAGTCACTTTTTTCTTACAATTAAACAAAGGATTGGTTGTTAGACGAGGACTTACTTGAGGAGAATTTTAATTAGAAAATGCCACTCTATCAGACTTAATTATTGTTCTTAGAGAATTGACCTCAGTCAATAAATCTGGTGTCATGTCATTCTTATGCAATTTATAATATTAACTAGAAAATTTGATAAAATTCTTTTCAGCCTTTTTGTTAACTTATTTTGAAACTGTATATATCTTCATCATCTCTCGTAATTTTTATTCATTCATTAATTCAATTATAAATTATCACCTTATCAATTAATAATCATATTATCTATAAATACTAATACTTTAATAACACAAATAATTTTATTCATTAACATCCCGTTCTCCATCTCTTTTCAAGATTTTCAAAATTACAATCAAATTGAGCTTTGCCAAGTTATTAATTCACATCATTGTGTCTCTAACACAACCATATTGATAGATCCTTCCTTGATGTAACTTATGGAGGATCTAAATTAAATCAACATTTTCTATTACTTTTCAAGATTTCCTATTGAAAATGAGCTTTGCAATGTTTACAAGCATAGAATTCAGCTATGGCATCAAATAAATTTCTCATCTTCTATTATTACTCATATGTAGGTTCATCTGGATAATAGATTGCTGTAGTATGCAACATATTCCAAGTATAATTTCCATATGTTGCCCTATTAAGTGGACATTCTTAATTTGGTTATTCATCATCAAATTAAAGTTTAGATCTCTTTTTGGATTTAAAATTGAGAATGTCTTCCTTTTCACAAATAGGTTCAAAACAATTCTTATCACTCATAGATTAAATAATAATTCAATAAATACAATCACAAATATAAAGATGCAGCAAAAACAATACCTTTCTTAAGTTTCTTAGAACTTTCTTTAAACTTATTTTCTAATTCCTTATTTCCAATCACCTTAGCAGCCTCTTCCATTTATTTTATTAATTCATCTAATCTTCTAAGACATCTAATGATCGATCCTTCAAATAGATCAGTCATTTTACAAATCTATAAGAATGATTATCCTTAACACCAAGCTAGAGTTACTTCCATCATCTAACTCTTAAATGTAGCCAAATACTCTTTCTATAATGATATGATATTAAGAATATTACTTCATCAATATTCATTTTAGATTCTGTATATACAGTATAAAGATATTTAGCCTATTCAAGTACTTTTGTATATAGTTGTTGCATCTTATCATTTTTTAATTGAAATTTTTCATTATTATTTTCATCATGAACAAAAACACTCAATACAGCACAAATTTCTTCCGAAGCCAAATCATTAAATAATCCACTTACTAATAATTCAGTTAACTAATATATATATATTATATATATATACCATAATTTCATCTCCTGCTGATATTTCACATGCTACTTTACCTTTCATTTAAACAATTTCATCTTTTGATATATATTATAATCTTCTTAAAATTCTTTTCATTCTCTTAAGATCTCCACTCAAAACCATTTGTGAACTTTCTTCAATTTATTTATTCAACAATTTGATTGTTTAACCTAATTTAATTTTCTCATCATATATTTTTAATTCCTATTCTAAATTCTAATTATTTAGATCTTTCTTGACTTATTCTATTTATTCAAGAAGTTATTGTCTCTATTCTAACAATTTATCTAATTAATCATCATTAATTTTCATATCCTTTATTGGATGAATAAGAGGAGGTTAACCTTTAAATTCTTTAAGTAATTTAATCATAGTCTATTTAATTTATTATTTGCTTTCATTTGTTCTAAGATCTTTGGGTAAATTCAATTTTATGGTACTGATCTCATAAAGTTACTCAATAGATACAGGTACAATTTCTAATTCTCCCTCTTAATCATATGATAATTAAGGTTAAAGTGGTTCATTCTAATAATTATATATATATATAAATATACTTTCTTTCTTTTTTAAACATATAACATTACATCTAAAATAATAGATTGTTCTTAATCTTTGTTTTTTTTATTTCCAAATTTCTTTTACATAAAATTAATTGATACACCCCATCCCCAATCTCCATCTGAACCTTTTATTCTAATAATTCTGCCTATATGCATAAATGGTAAGACAATTTATGGTTAATAAATAATCTTTCTTATTTTATTATATATATGAGTAGATTAAGAGATTAGATCATGATAATTACCTAATTTATCTTCATTTTCAATTTATATTTAATCTCGTTTTTGTTTAAAATCCTATAATTTTTCCTTCATTTCAGGTAATTATCTATCATTTTAAAATTAATGGAAAGATTTCTTAATAATGAATTCTGGATCAGTATCTTCCATCCTCATAGAATTGATAAGCATATTATATGATAATCTAAATGAAGAATTTAAACCATCTGATTTTCCCTTAAGCATAGATTTGGCAACTTCTTAATCCATCTTTTCATCACACATTAAAATACAAACTCCTTTATCATCAATACCTCTTCTACCAGCTCTACCACTCATTTAAATATATTCTCCACCTTGAATCCATCTGAATTATTCACCATCAAATTTTCTGACAGTTGTGAAAACTACTGTTCTAGAAGGCATATTCAAACCCATAGAAAATGTTTCTGTTGAAAATAATGCCTTAAGATATCCTTCTTAAAAGAGTATTTCAATAATTTCCTTAACAATTGGTAATAAACCACCATGATGAATACCAATACCTTTCTTTAAAATTGGAAGCATTAATTGAATTTATGGTAATTATCTATCCTCTTCAGATAAACAATTCATTGCATTTTTATAAATGGTTTCAATATTCTCTTTTTCTTTTGGTGTTGTTAAATCTAATTTTTACATTCCAATAGCATATCCTTCTACCTCTCTTTTAGAAAAGGAAAACACTATAGCAGGTGCTAATTCTCTCTCTTATATCATCTTCATCAATTTAAATAAATCTGAACCCTCTGTAGCCTTTCTTTTCCTTGTATTTTCAACATTTTCTTCCAATTTAGCTACTGCCTCTTAAAATTTGTCTTCTTTAAATTTTCCTGTTTCATCCACAACTAAATAGATTCCTTCAGCACCACTTGGAAATAGATAATGTTATAAAGGTGTAGGTCTATAATCAGTATAAACAACATGACAAGGTTAACGTTTGATTCTACAAATCCATTCAGCAAATTCACTAGCATTAGGAATTGTAGCTGATAAAAAGACAAATCGAACCTAAAAAAATGAATATATATATATGTCTTACATTTTAATTTAATAAGATGATAGTCTCTTCCCAAACTACTCCTCTTTCTCTATCTCTCATATAATGTACTTCATCCATTATGACCCATGCTACTTCCCTCACAATTTCTGAACCTCTATATAACATACTCCTTAAAATTTCTGTTGTCATTACTAAACAAAAGGCATTCTCATTCAATGTTACATCTCCTGTAACCAATCCAACATCTCCAAATTCTTATTATAATTCTCTGTATTTCTAATTTGATAAAGCCTTAATTGGAGAAGTATACACAACTCTTTGCTTATCTCTTTTAGCCATTGCTATAGCATATTCTGCTACTGCTGTTTTACCTGCACTTGTATGTGCAGCAACTAATACTGATTCATTTGATTCCAAAGTCTTGACTGCTATTTTTTGAAATGGATCCAAAGTAAACTTATATTATTTTGCATTTTATTTCTTTTCTAGAATAGGTTAGTAATCTTCAGGTGTGTACCATTCATGAATACAACCTTCATTCTCTTGGTTTTTTATTATCTTAAATGCCTCAACTTTCTCTTATGCTTCTACATTCATTGACACTTCTTCCTCCACTTAGTTCTCCACTTAAATTCCATCATCATTTGCCTTTGTTTCAAAAACACCAAATAAATCCATTAATTAATTAAAGTAATATATTGAGTTAAATATTTCCTATAAAATTAATTTATTTTCTTTTTTTACAACACTCTCTAATGATTCTCAAACATTACTCAGTCAAAATCAACAATCTCATTCAAAATGACAAAGTTCATTATTAAATCATTGTAACTAATGTAAACAATACTTCAGATACCAAAACAACAATGAATAGATATTCAGAACTTAAAGATTTTAATGAACAATTGATTAAAAACATTAATTTACTCAAACTTTAGTTATAATTGCCTGAATTTCCAAAAAGATCACTCTTCTCTAAAACCAATAAGAATCAAGAAAAAATTATTCAAAGACAATAAGAATTAGAACAATATTTTAATCAACTTTTCAGTATTGATAAAATACTTAGTTTACCACCTGTCTAATCATATTTACCTATTGAAACACCTATTAATTAATAGTAATTATACATAATCTAATTATAGAATGAAAATCAGTGTCTCTATTGAAAGCTATACAGTTTATGATGATGTTGTAATCTACTCTATGAGATTTAAAAATAGAATCACAAAAGAAGAGTGGATCTACAAATAGAGATATTCTGAAATTAAGAATATTCATGATGCATTAGTTGAATAAGGATACAAAGGCAAATTACCACCATTTCCAACTCGCAAACTTTTTGGATAAACTAATGAAAATCCAGGTATATAATCTAATTTTATCTTTTTCTAGAGACCATTGAAAAAAGACGTGAAGATTTAGAAGTCTATTTTAATGCTATTTTTAGCACTTAAGAAATATATGATAATGAAATTATATAATTTTTGATCTCAGATTCCAAAAAATATTTTGAAACAAATAAAAAATTGGAAGAATAGAAAAAAATATAAACCTCATGATTTTAAATTTTACTAGAATACATCTTAATAATATGTACATTATATTTATATTTAATTGTTATAAATTCAATTTTAACTACTAATGTAAACAAACAGTGTTCATTCAATCGATCTTGATAAATAAACTAAATACTCTCAATTTGTAAATGCTTAACTTTTTAGTGGCTATAAAATTCGTGGTAAAGATAACTCTAAAAAATTCATAAATTAACTGAGTCCATCATCAGAAGATTAAAAAATAACAAATAATTTATCATCATCATAAAGTTATGTAAATGCTATGAAAGCATTACAAGATAAAATTAAATACTTAGAAAATGAAAACTAAAATCTACAATCTTAAATTGTAAATTCATTTAATATTAATTAATAGAGTTCTAAAGATTTAACTAAATAAATTGAAGTTAAATAAAGACATGTGAGTACTCATTAAAAATCTAATGATTGTTAATAAATAAAAGAAATTGAATTAAAATTAGTTTAAGTGGAAATTGAAAAAGAATAAATTAAAGAAGAGAATGAATAAAAAATATAATAATTACAACAAAATTTAATAAACATAGCCTAATAATCAGATTAAAGAAATAGAGAATAATTGGAATAGATACAAAAATTGTAATATTTATTTAATTAAATTAATAGATAGGATTAATTGGAATTATAAGGCGAAAGTAATTAAAATTACAGAATTAAAATCAATACTTAAACTTAAGCAATTTAATAAGAAAAATTAGTATTTATATTTTAACTATATATTTAGAATAATAATAATCTTGAATTTATTTTAGATTAAGAAAAACGAGAGACTAAATATTTAATTGAAAAAAATGAATAATTACAAAACGAAATCAATAAATTAAAAGAATAATTATTTGAAATAAGAACATATATGAATAGATATACAAAATAATATGATGAAACAAGAATTTAATGTATAATTCATATATTTATTTATATATAGAATTGCAGGAAGAAAATATGAAATAAAAAAATTAAATTTATGAATTAACTAATTAAGTAGAATAATAAAAGGAATTAAATTTAAAGTTATAATTAGGTTTAGAACATAAAAAATAAGAATTAGAAAAATCTGAATTAAAAAGAGTTAAAAAATTATCAGAGTCTAATATCAAAATTGATTAACTTAAGCAATAAATAATTAATTTGTCTTCCAATTCCATAATAAATACATAAAGTCCAAGGGAAACATTTAAAAAATACAAATAAAGTGCAGATATTGTGAATAAAACATAAAATTTAAGGAATTATAGACAATAAAATAATAATAGCAGAAGATAATTACAAGATTAAGATTGTAATTCAATATTTAATATTTTATAAGAATCATATAAATAGCAACCAAATGATTCATAAAGTAGTGTTTTCAGTAGGTTGATAGTAAAGACTTAAGAAGGGAACATTCTTACTTAATAGAAAAGTGATGATAGGAATAATATTGGAAACTTTATAGATGAACAAATTTAAACTATTTAATTAAGTGCAAATAAATCATAAAAATATCTTCAAACTTAATAATATAGAATCTAAGATTTAAATGAATAATTAAAGATTCTTAATTAGAAATATGAAGATATTGAAAATTCAATTTCATAATTAACAGATTTAAAAATTAAAAGAGAAAAAAGATAACTTTTATTACAAATAATAGATCAAATACAAGATATAAATTAAGAGTTAAATACTCTTGTAGTTAATCCAAAAATTAATTAACAATTTTGAATCTTTCTTTTAATTTATTACACTTATTTTATATAAAGTTTGATTATAAAAATTTATCTGTTAATTTCATTATATTTTATATATTAAAATTCTTAGATGTTAAGAATTAATAAGAAATAATGGGAGTAGGGAATTATACTTGAATAATAATGATTTCTCATCTTTAATTTATTTTCCTAATAGTTATAATAAATTTGAATTCAAATTAAAAAGTAATTATAAGAATATTGTTGATAATTCTGAATATTAATCTATAGAAACTTCATCTTATAGTCATAATTGATCGCGTGGTGTAGGGGTTATCACGCGTCCCTAACAAGGACGAGGCCGCCAGTTCGAGACTGGCCGTGATCATTTTTTTTATTTAATTTCTTAATGTAATTAATTTTTTGGTTTTTGGGATTGGTTTTTACAATAGAATGTCAAGATCCTAATGATGCAGTATTTTCATAGTCAATAAATGTAGTCTTGAATGGTCAATTGAAACATTATTATGTGGGTAATGTAGTTGTACATGCATCAAGCAGATAAGAAAAAAACGACTATTTTCCTGAAGATTCTACTACATTTGATGAAGATGGAACACCAGAATTCATAGAGTATTTAGAACCTTATGATTATGATTAAGAAATAGATTTGAATGATATAAGGGTTTCTAGAATATATCCAGATGTAAATAGAGATTAAGTCTTACCCTTCAATATTTAATAAGGGAATATTAGTAATTATGTTGTGAAAAAGTATCTTGGAGATGGTACTTTTGCATTTGTTTAAAGTGCAATTAGATTGAGTGATGGATTACCTGTTGTATTAAAATAAATAAAGAAAGAATATACATGGTGGGCAAAGATGGAAGCTAAAGTATTAAATACACTAAATGAAGAAAGCAATCCTAATATTGTTAAATTGGTTGATGCTTTTTTTAATGATTCTAGTCCAGTTCTAGTCTTTTAAGAACTATAAAATTGTACAACTTTTGATTACAGAATCTATAATTATTATCATGACTTAACCTCTGAGGATATCAAAAATCTATACTATAAACTTTTTTAAGCATTAGCAACAAGTCATGCAAAAGGAATAATGCATTTAGATATTAAACCTGCAAATATTATAGTAAATGGTGATTAAATTTAATTGATTGATTGGGGAGTAAGTGATTTCTATTTTCCAATGAAAGAATATAGAACAAGAGTAGGCACTCGTCATTATCGAGCACCAGAATAATTGATCCATTATAAATATTATGATTATGCAGTAGATGTTTGGGCATTAGGTTCTATATTTGCAACAGCTATTTTTAAGAAATATCCATTTTTTAATGGAAGAAATAATGATGATTAATTATTAAAAGTTGTAAAAGTATTAGGATCTGAAGATTTCTTTAAATTTTGTGATAAATACAGTATTTAAATTCCTGATGATCTTTATAAAAAATTAAAAGGTCATTAGAAAATATCATTAGAGACATTTATAAATGATGAAAATAGAGAATTAGCAACAGTTTAAGCCATTGATTTACTAAATAAAATATTTATTTATGATCATGCATTTAGAATAACTGCTGAAGATATTTTATAACATGAATATTTTACAGATTTATGATTTATATAGATAATCTATATTAATTTATACTTAGACAAAAATATCATAACTTGATTAACTTTTTTATTATAATATTAATTTTATAATTAATATTTAGTCTTTAAAAAGTATTAAAATTTTGGATTAAAAAATGCACTAATGAAATATATTAATTATTAATATTATAAATATATAATATAGTAATTATAATGAGTTAGAAAAAATAAGAAATCTCAACTTGGATATTGGCTCATACTTAGTTGGCATAAGCATTAGAAGAAGCTTGGTAGGAGTTTAGTATGTAAAAGAGTTAAGAAGATGATTGTAATGATGAATAAGAAATCAAGAGATAATAATATGAGAAAGAGAAAAATATTGGATAAATTGTTTAGGAAGTTTGGGAAGCTAATTTAGAAAAGTTAAAGCAAAATCAAAATTAAAATAAAACATCCAGATCTAATCTTTTTGATGCTGAATGTACAAGCTACAACATTCATTAAGAGAAGAATTTTGGACTCAAAGATATCACAAGATGGAGATTATCATTAAGAGATTGTAAATTAGAATAAACTAAAATTGGAAATGGTATTGTTGAAATACAAGCATTAGAATTCAATGAAAAAGATTAGAAAAAAAAAAAGAATAAAAAATGAATTATTAAAATCTAATATATGTTGCTTTTTTTAAACATATTATCTATTAACTCAATTTAGAAATATATAATTTATATATTATTTGATTTAAAATTATTAGAATTATATATTTTATTTTAAATTGTTTAATCATTTTTATCATTTAAATTGAATATAATATATATCAAAAACATAAGTTTTAATTTTACCTTATATATTTATATATTTTAATCTTACACAAATGGAAAATATTATTTTATTTAAAAGAAATTGAAAAAGTAATTATTTATCAAAAAATATTTAATATATATTTAAAATTAAAATTTTGAATTTTTCTTTTAAGGTACCATAATGTTTTTAGGATTTTAAACTATGTAATTGTTTAAATTTAATCAAATGCAAAGTTTAAGTGTATATATTAAAAAATTAAAGCTTTATAGGTAATCAAATTAATTTCTAATCATGATAATTATAAATGAAAATTATTTAAATATGAAATAATCTTGAATAACTATGATTTTGTTTGTTTAAAAACAAAATTGAAGATTCTATATTGAATAATAATATTAAGGTACTGAATTTGTAGTTATATCAAAAAATGTATCCTTAAATGAACAGAAACCATTATATTTATTGTTCAGTATTACTAATGAAATCAAAATATCCCTTCCTCTACTAGAAAATAGCTTTTATATTTAAGAATAAATTTATATTATTTTAAATCTAATAACTATTTAAAATTTCAATCTATTTATGATATTATACTTAAGAGTGGAATTATTAATTAAATAATAAATATTAAACAATTTATGATTATCATATAATTATCTATATATTTACATAAATTAATTTATTAAAAGCAAAGTGAATCAATTGAATATATTTTAAGAATCAAGATAGTTTGCTTTAAATAAAAAATATCTATGATAATAGAATAATAAAATGAAATTATTTTTCTTCTTAAGATTAGTTTCTTATGATAGTTAAAATAATATACATTTATATAATATTATATACTATACGAAGATATTTATTATGACAAAAAGAAAATCTTGTCTTTTACAATAATTAATAAATAAAAATGCAATATGAATGATTTCTTTCCATATTAAATTACATAATGATAGTATTAAATTCCATCTGAAACTGAAATTCTATGTTATGTTCTTCAATATTTAGAATGATAATTCATTTATTAATAAATCAAATGAATGAATTTAACGATTTCAAATAATTGCGTTAAAATTACTCAAATGCATTGGATAAAAATATTCAAAAACTTCAAGGTAGATTAAAGGCTCTTAATAATAATATCATAAACTCTACATCAGCTTAAAAAATAACAATGACTAAGAATCCAACAGAAGTGAAATCATTAAGATCATCTTGTTTATTTACAGACAATAATTTGGCATCACCAACTGACAGATTTGAGAATAGTCAAGTTTTTGCTAATTTTAATAGATATAACAGTCTAGATGTTCCTTAAGCAAGTCAAGGGGTTTAATAAAGTAAACAATCACCAGATGTTTTTGAAAATATTTTTTTGAAATAATCGTATATCCCTTATGAATAGAAATAAATAAAATAAGCAAATAAAACAAAGCAAAAAAATACATAGAGTAATACTTTGAAAATAACAAAAAAAGCAGAAAAAAATCATTATTTGAGTAATTAGATGAATAGTTAATCATTGTAAAATATAAAGAAAAAAGATGATATTTCTTAAGATAAAACATTAAAAATGAATATAGAGAAAAAGAAAAATCTAATTCCACCTGCTGCTTAACAAAAGACAAAAAATACATCACGTTCACCATAAAAATAAAGAGTAAAACAGAATAAACAATAAACTCCATAATAAAATCTATAGAAACCATTGTTTAATGAAATTTTGAAAAAGTTTGTTTCATCTAAAACTAGTTTAAGTAGAACAATATCTAAATCTAAATCTAAATCAAAGTCAAAATCTAAATCAAAATCTCCTGAAAAAGAATCTACTTCTTTTAAAAAGAAACATAAATCAAGAGAATAAGCTATACATCATTATAATGAATAAATAACATCTTAATTTAGTCCAACATAAGAGAAATTTTAAATAAGAAATAATATAGACTACTCTCCAAGTCTTCTAAGATAAGTAAGAACATTGAGTAAAAAGAAAGGAAAAAGTAAATAGAAATAATAATAATAATAATAATAAATAACTAATCCTAGTCCAAATAAAGTTTCAGAGATACATACTTTAAGATTGAAACATTTATTAAGAGATAAATCAAATAAATAAGACAAAAAAATAAGAACTTAAATAAGAACTACCGAATCTCCAATTTAAATTAAAGATTATAAAATAGATGTAATTAAATAAAAAGTATTATTAATAGGTTCCATAAATTAAAAGTCTTGAAGACTAACCAAAAGATGAATCAAAACCAAGTTCTGTAAGATTCAATACTTTATCAATATAAAGATCTGATGAAAAAGATAATAGTGTATTAATGAATATCTTTCATGAATTAAAGAATTTATCTGAAGATTAGATTTAATAATTTTAATAAATATTAAAATAGATTAGAGTTGAAAGAAAGGATGAAGAATTATAAACTTCAATTTCTGATTTAAATTAAATTGTAGGAAATTAGAAATCAAACAATTAATCAAATTAAAAAAATAATATTATAGAAACTCATTTGAAGATGGCATTAGAAGAATTTCCTAAAAAATCACATGCATCTTCACCTATGTCAAATAGCAGTATTATGTTTAAGAAAGAATTCTTAACAAATTCATAAATAGAAGAGATATGTTAATAAAGAGAAAAGGTATATAAAAATAATATAAATTAGAGTATAAAATTAAGAGTTAATAGTTAGATGTAAGCATTTTAGACATTATTACAATAATAGAAAATATCTCCAAGATCATTTCATCATAATAAATAATTAGTTTAATCTTGGTTTTCAAAATAAGCTGATTAATTATAGAAATTCAAATCAGAATTATAGAAAGTTTAAAAATAATCAAATACTTTGTTAAAAAAGACTGAATAAGATGTGATTATTGTGAAGGACTTAAAAAAAGACTAGATGCTAGTTTTGTCTTAGTTATGTATGTATTGGCACTTTAATAGTTAGAATAAATTTCATTTGATTAATCTGAAATTAAAGATGAAAGTTTCTTAGATTAATCTGATCTTTAATTCAGTATTCCAAATTCCCCTAAAATAGTTACTCCAAATACCAAATTTTTAAATTAAAATTATGATAAAAATGAAATGAAGATTATTTAATAATAATCAATATCATAATAAAAGTAGAATTAATTTTCAAAACCATTTTAGTAAGATACAAAAAAAAAAGATTTTGAAATTTCAACATTTAATGAAGAATTATTTTTTGGAAATTAAATGACTAGACCTTTATAAGTATCTCCTAATAATGAATCAAAATAAATAATAACAGATTATAGAGAACCATAGGTTTAAATCTATGGTTTGAATTAAGCTTTGTAAGTAGAAGAAGAAACAGAAAAGATTATTGAATAATTAATAGATGAAGCATCTAATAGTTTGAATAAAATAGAATTAATTTAATAATATGCTTATTAAACTAATGCTGGAATACTTACAAATTTGGGAGTAATAAACAATTTTATAAATTTAATGTGTTATGCAATTTTAGGTAAATATTTAAATATATGAAAATAGAAAGTAATTAGGATGAATTTCTTAAGAAAATGAACACTCCGTATGGTAGAAAACCCATAAACAGATTGAGATAATTACATGGGTAGGATGATTTCGAAGATCATCAAGAAATTTAACCACTTTACTAAATAAGTTATAAAAGAAATCTATCATAGAACAAATTATGGAAACTCAAAATTAGTATGAAAAAATTCACAACTAGGCCATATTTGATGCTTTCAATGAAGCCTTGAATACTTTGAGACCATTCTATTAAGATGAAGGAATTCCTTATCCATGGTGTATAGAAACCAATATTTCTTAAAGAGTTTGTTATGGAATAGAAGACATAACGATTATTTTAGAGAAAGCAAGATAGAAAGTATTTGATTGGTCAAAAACTCTGTGTGGTATATTAAATAAATATTATAATTAGGATTATTATCAGATGAGATACCAGTGATATCAGTTAGACAACTAAATTATGAATAACTTATAATAATGTAAGAATGTCAAGCAAATGATTCATTGGCTTACATAAATGAAGAGAGAATATAGAATTGTCTATAAATAGAAGTATAATATTAAGAGTTATGATTAGTTATAAGAAGGAGAAAGAAAATGGTCATAAATTACACAAGAATACTCAGAAGTGTTGATGGAGATAGCAGATTATTTATTTGAAGAATTGACTGAAGAAATGGTTGTTGAGGTTTTTATGTAATGAAAATTAATTACTTTTTTTTTGTATTCTAGTTAAAGAAAACAATCTTATAATTATATAACAAAATTTCAATTATATATATATAACAAATATTTAACAAAAAATTCATTTAGCAATTCCTTATTCTAGTCTATAGAATGCACCTTTAAGACCAATCAATTTTTAGTAATTACCTTCTTCAACAATTTTACCATCTTCAAAAACATAGATAACATCAGAGTCCTAATGGATATTATAAATGAATTACTTTTATTGTTGAAATTCTATGAGCTATAGCAACAGTTGTTTTTCCTTCCATTAGTTTATTTAAACTATCCTATACTAATTATTCACTGGCAGCATCTAAAGCACTAGTGGCTTCATCAAGTAATAATAGATTTGAATCTCTAAGTATAGCTCTAGCAATTGCAATTCTTTATTTTTAACCTCCTGAGATTTAAGCTCCTTTTGGTCCTACTTATCTTTCAAATCCTTATCCTCTTTATTTTTCATTTCCTTTTTATTCCACTTAAGTTTCTTCAAATTAATTCTTTGTAATGAAATCATAAGCATTGGCTCTCTTTGATGCATTTTCTATTTATTCTATAGTAATAGATGGTAGATTATATTATATGTTTTCTCTTATTGTGCCATTAAATAAAACTGGCTCTTATGAAACAATACCAAATTGCCTTCTAATATATCTGATATCATAATCTGTGATATCAATACCATTAATAGTGATTATACCTTAATCAGGTTCATAAAATCTCATTAACATTTACATCAAAGTAGATTTACCACAACCAGATGGTCCTACAAATGCAACTTTTTATCCTTATTTAACAGTTAAACTTAAATTTTCAAATACATTTTTATCTCTTCCATTATATTTAAATGTAAGATTATTAAAATGAATATCTCCTTAAACTGGTTTAGTAAGTTTTTATTTTTTTAATCTCTCTTCTCTTTAAAATTCATCTTCACTATCTAAAATTTCAAAAATATTCTTGCTTGCATTTTTAGCTGCTCCAATATCACCTGCAAATGCAGCATTATTTCCTGCACTCATAGTGGCAAAAGTTATAGCAAGTATTGATTTAAACATACCTTCAATTGTAATTACTCCATCTCTACAAAGAATAGCTCCAACATAAAAAACAATTGCATTAATTATAAACATTTACATTTATGAAAATCCAAAAGCTAAACCAGCATAAATTCCTCTTTCTTTTGCTTTCATTAATGGAAGTTAAACTTTTTTTGAATAAATTCCAAGAATAATTTATTCATTTCCAAAAGATACAACTGTTCTTATATTAGTTACAGCTTCCATTATCAAATTACCAGAATCTTTATATGCTTCATCAGTAAGATCTGAAAAACCTTATAAGAATTTTGCTTATAATATTCCTCCAATATATGATAAAGGAGCCAATCCAAGCATAATTAATGTCATTTACCAACTGGCAACAAATGAAATAACCAATCCACAAATTAAAGCACCAACATTTGATATATTAATACCTAAAATTGATGAAGTAAGACCATTAATCAATTTACAATCTACAGATAATCTACTAGTCAAGGTACCTGCATTATTTTTTGGAATATCAAAATATGGAATAGGCATTCTTAATAATTTTCTATATGTATCTAATCTTAATTTACAAGTTAATTTCTCTCCCACATATGCCAAAAAATACATTTAAATTGTCCATAATATTTAAGCAGCAACTCCAATTAAGAAAAACCAAAGAGCAAGTCTATCTGCTTTAGTTTTTACTTCTTCCTTTAAATCATCTTTAAAAAGTTAACAAATTTCTGGTGTGGGATTATTGTATGTGTTTGAACATTTATAATCAGCAAATGAAGGATTAGATTCAACTAAAACAGTGATCATTTCAGCTAAGAATAAAGAAAATACTGGGAATGTACATCCATTGGCTAAAGCTGCTATGATACCAATGAAAAATTATGGTTTCTCATCAGAATTGTAAGTAAATAATCTACCCATTTAAGCATCAATTTCTTATTTAGGTTCTTCTTTTTTAGGTAATGGTTAGGCTTCTAAATCTGTTTCATTTTTTTTATGATGATGATGGTGATGATGATGACCTTAACCAGAAACTTTTTTGACTAATTCTGGTACTTCCAAATCTTTAAATCTATCAATTTCTTATTTAACAGCAAGAGCTATATTTTATTAATCAACCATATTCATTTTAATTTTGACTGATCTTTAAGAACCTATTTATTAATCTTAAAGATTCTTTTATGAAGGACCAGAACTTGAAGATCCAGAATCATTTTCTTAATGTTATGCTTGAATTTAATTTTTAGCCAATATTTCATATTTTCCATGCATATTCATTAATTCTTGATGAGTTCCCATTTCAACAACAACACCATTATCAATAACATAGATTAAATCAGCATTTTAAATTGTACTTAATCTATGAGCAATAACAATTGTTGTAATTCCCTTTGATACTTCATCTAATGTTTCTTAAATTAATCTTTCATTAGTTCTATCTAAAGCACTAGTAGCTTCATCAAGTAACAATATCTATGGTCTCTTTAAGATAGCTCTAGCAATAGCAATTCTCTATTTCTATCCACCACTTAATTAACCTCCTCCAATACCAACATAAGTCTCTAATCCCTTATCCATTTTAGATACAAAATCCCAAGCATTAGCTTTCTTTAAAGCATCTATCATTTCAGATTCTGTAGCATCTGTTTTACCATACAATAAATTCTCTTTGATACTTGTTGCAAATAATACAGGTTCTTATCCAACAAGACCAATTCTACTTCTCAAATCAATTAAATCTATATCTTTAACATTAATTCCATCAGCTCCACCAAATAATACTTCTCCTTATTCACAATCATAAAATCTTTCAATCAATTACATCACAGTAGATTTACCACAACCACTCTCTCCTACTAAAGCTACTTTCTTACCAGCAGGTATATTTAAGGTTAATCCTTTCAATATTTTTTGATCTGGTCTATTTGGATAACTAAACTAAATATTTTTTAATAAAATGGTTCCATTAAAAGATGTTAATTTTATTGGATTAATAGGATTAACAATCTTAGGATTTCTATCTAAGATGGCAAACATTTTAACAGCAGCTTATCTTCCCTTAGCAAAATTTTATACACAAGGACCAGCTTAACCTAATGAGAATCCACCAGTCAAAATAGCAAAAAATATTATCATCACATCTCCTACTGTATAAACGGTTCCCATATTATGATTTAAAGTCTATAGAATATAAATAGATTAAATACTTAATCAGAGATTAACTTAGCACCATACCAAAAACCAAGAGCATAAGCCCAAAGCATAGCTGCCCATAAAAATCCAAAAGCTATACCTACACCAAATTGATAACTAATAGTTGTTGCAGTCGCTTAAAGAAGATGAGTTTTGTATTTTTCAACTTCAAAATCTTCACCATCTAACATTTTTACTGTTTTAATTGCATTAATTGCTTATTCTGCTAATGCTCCAGCATCAGAATATGCTTTTTAAGTTGCATTCTCAGAAGTTTAAATAATTATTGCAAATATAGCTGTAGCTATTGAAATTGCTGGTAGAGTGGCTGTTACAACTAAAGCTAATTACCAACCACTAAAAAATTATTATTATATAATATGTACTAAATGTAACCAATTAAGAAGCCAAAGAATGACATCGAGAATGTCATAATAAATGTTGGAACTTTTTCTCCTATGGCTCCCTACACTGCAAAGGTCTCATTTGCCACTTTACTATTCAATTCATTTGGATTTATTGTATCAAACCAACCAATTTCTTATTTAAGAATTGCAGTAAAGTATCTTTTTCTAAATTCTATACTTTAATTTTCACCAGTTATCATCCAAGTTGCAAACATTATGAATGACATTAACATTGTTCCAACAGCCACAATAACGAAATATCTATATTTATTTTTAATATATTTTACATAGCATTCAATCCTGCTTGACGAACCATCTCATCTCCTGCTTCTGAAAAAGAATCTGTCATATCACCAAAGATGATAGAAAAACTTGGAAATGCAGCTCCATTACAAAATGCCGCAAACCCACCAATAAACATCAAAAATTTGTCTTTTGGACTTGCATACCTAAGTAGCTCAAAATATGGAACCATTGGTTCTTATTATGGCTATGTATTAGTTCCATTTCCATTTGTTAGAGCTTAATTTTCCGCTTAAACATCTGTTTTCATTAATTTATATTTTTGATGAAAAAATGAAATTCCTAAAAGGCTTTATACTATCAATCAAAGAAATTCTGATAATTAATTATATTTATGATAAAAACAATACTATGTATAGTGATTCCACAAATTTAAAAAAGAAATTAATTAAAATTAACACTCCTAATGATTTTTTAAACTCTAACTTGTAATGTAATTCATTGAATCATCAAATTCATATTCAAAATAATTATTTAAGTGTCTACATCTTTTCATTCAAACTTACTAAAAATCATAACTTAAATACTTATATTCATACAGATATATCATCATCAATCATGAGATTATCGATATACTTCAATTTATAAATGATTTTTAAAGAAAATCAAGAACCTTTTAAAGAAAATATGTTTTCAAGAATGAGATGTAGAATGGTATGTAGAATGGGATGAAGAATTAATGAAAGTTAAATTTAGAAGAGTAGTAATATACGAAATTGCATAATAGAGATACTAAAACTATATATACTAGCCTTTATCTTATATTCTAGAAAAGTGGTTCTAAATTCCTAAAATTAAAAAATGTCATTTCTAAAAAGTTGATGATTTATTTATTCAAAGTAGTATGCCCATGTATTAATTAGATCAAAAATCATGTAATTGAATAATTATTATGAAGCTCAGTGCTATAAAGTTTTGAACATTTATAATTTATTTCTTTCATTATAAATAATGAGAATATATAAATCAATTGAATGAGATAATATCATTAGAATGAATATCAGGTTAAAGAGATCTGATAATCATTCTATGTAAGAAAAAAAAGTTGAATTATAAAGTATTTAATTAAATAAATAACAAATAGGTATCCCTATGATCATAGATATATTATAAATTCATATAATAATTAGACTTTCGTATTTATTTGTTTTTTCATTTTGTGCTTGCATTAAATTTTACTTCAATCTTTGTTATAAATGTATTCTTTCTATTTTAGTTATTTAGATATTTCTATTATTAATAAATTATATATCATTGTATTGTTTAATATTTGATTAAGCATAGATTATAATGTTTGAAGAATAAAAAAGCAACAAAAAAATATAATATTATTAAAAAAGGATTTAGAATTATAAAATAAAATACTATTGATGATTTAAATTGTTTTATTTCTTCAATTCAAAATATCATAAAATCAATATATATATGTTTTTATATAATCTATATATATATTATAGGTATTTCTTATCTTATTAATGTATAAAACTTATAATTAATCATTTTTTTCTTGCAAAAATGGTTGCACTTAAAATTTTGGTACCACTATTCTCAAATTCATTTAATACTTCCTTAGATACATACTGTAACATCAATTCTTCAGGGAAATCAATAACTTTTTCTTTTTTAATTTTGATGTCAGTGAATCCTAATTCTTCAAGAGTTTTTAAATATACATCTTTTCTAAGGGCTCCTGAAACACCACCTATATGCAATTCTTATGCTTATCTTATAGCTAAAGGTAAATCTCCAGTTGATAGAACATCACTAATAGAGAAGTGACCATTTTATTTCAAGACTCTATGGATTTCTGAAAATACTTTTCTTTTATCAGGTACCAAATTGATTACACAATTACTAATAACAACATCAACATAATTATCTAAAACTGGTATATCTGTAATATCACCTTATCTAAATTCAACATTTCTAATATTGTATTTATCTGAATTTAATTAAGCTTTTCTTATCATACTAGGTGTCATATCAACTCCTATAACTCTTCCACTTTCACCAACCTATGCTTTTGCTATAAAACAATCATTTCCAGCTCCTGAACCTAAATCAAGTACAACATCTCCTTTTTTAAGCTCTGCAAATTCAGTTGGAATTCCACATCCTAATCCTAAGTCAGCTTCTGGAATATATCCTTACAAATTTTAATATTTTTCTGCAAATAAAGCATAATCTATAGTTCCACAACCAGAAGTACTACAACAACCTGAATTTATTGATAGTTTTTGTTCACATATTTCTCCATATCTTTGTTTTACATTATTTTTGATTTACTCTTCAGATTCACAACAATTAGTATTGGAACCTAATTGTTATTAAGCATCTTTTTATTAATTACAATGTTATTTGTCACACAATTGATTTTCTTCACAATTTTATTAAACACAATTATCCATATAAATCAATTAAATATTAATATTTTGATTTTCAAATTTTATTTTTAAATATGCAATTCAGATTCATTTAATTAAATTCATGAATCACTTTATTTAATTAATGAATCATTAAAATAGTAATGTAATTATAATGTATTAGGAACTCTCATTCTACACTAATATATATAATTGAATTATTACAAGTATTACTTATATAAATAAGAAAATTTTTAAATAATAAGTATTTTGATTATTTTTTATCTTATTTCTTAACTTACTCACATTATTTCATTATAATTTGAATATACTATTATTTTTTCGAAAATGAGATTTATAGATAGAAATACAATTTTAACCTAAATTCTTTGATAAATTTATATTAAATATTGATATTATTTGAGAACATTATCTAAAAAACTTTTTTTTTATAAATTAACAAAATTCTTAATAAATTCCATTAGAGAAGATGTTTTCTTCTATTCTAATTATATAACCTTAATTCCTAAAAATTAATAGAGTAAAATTCTTAAAAAATGCTGGTATATTTAAAGAATTATAAATATCTAATTTCAATGTTTATAATTAATTTTTGTCATATACAATCATCAATAAGAACCCCTTTCTTTCTATTTTAAGTAATTAATTCATATTATTTACTGTTTGTATTTTCAAAAATTATTAAGTTATTACAATAATATACTACACATTATTTATTCGCAATATAAGATTGAAATTTTAATTAGTAAAATATTATTGTAAATATATATATTTAATAATTAGAATTACAATTCAATTAATCAATCTCCTCTTCTATAGTAATAAATCCTCTGTCCATTCCCAATAATGTAAACAGACTTCAAGTTGAGTTTTTTTGAATCAGAAATCCTATCAAAAATTAAATCTGTTCAGCTTATACATGTTATATAATTTATTGATAGTAATTGATTATATGACATGCATATCATTGAATAAATTTTCTTTTTTAGTAATGTAACAAATTATAATTTGAAGACTTTATAGGTGTAGACTTAAGTTATTATAAATTACAAAATGACATGTCTCATTCAAATAACATTAATCCTAATATATTATCATCAAAGTTTTTAATCTACATTTCAAAAATTAAAAGAAAAATTCTTTTAAAATTTGTAAGAGAATCATAATATATTATTTTTAATTAGAAATAATAGTAATAATTCCATTTTATTATATTTATTTTTTTACATCCTTTTAGTAGATATAGGAATTGATTTATGTAATTAGAAATTTTAAAAATGATTAATGAAAAAGATATATGTTTAGATTACCCACATTTTGATAAGAAATTTAAATCATAAATACAATTTGAAAATCTAATATTTATTATATATCTGATTTCAATTGAACTTTTTAAGGGCTTTTTTCCAATCTTCAATAGTTGCATATTGAATTTCTTCATAAAACCTACTAAAGTCATAATTATAATCTGTAAAAATCACTTTGGGATTCAAACAGATATTTAAATAAAACTTTAGTTTCATTAATTCTACAGTTTCAGATGTTAGTTTATCCAAGACTAATTTCACAGTACCATAATAAATTTATTGAAATTAATCTGTCAAAGTCAAATTATTATCTAAAATGCATAAATATTATTAGTAAAATTCTTTTGGTTATTCATTAAGAACAATTTATTTAGCTTAATTTTATAGACTTAAACATTTTCTTAAAATTTCAACAAAGAATTTCATAGCTTAATCAATATCCATTTAAAGATGTTTGCACATTTATTTAAATTCTTAAGATCTCATGTATATTTCATATTCTGGATTTTGAGATTTGCTTATTTCTCTATATAATTCTTCCATTTTAATAAGTTGATTTTTGGAAATACAGAAAATAAGTTGAAAACATAATTCAATAGATATAGGCATAACCTTTTATTATAACATAGAAAACAAACCTTAAATAAGGAAACTATAAAAGAATGCTAAATTTCTTTCATATTTGCATATAGTATTTAATTTTTAAATTGTTTTTGCTTCTTCAGACTCAGCATTATATTATTAAAATATATCATTATAAACAGGTTATTGACCAGCTAATTTAGCATCTGATTATTCTTCTTCAATTTTATTAATATCCTTCATATATCCAAGAATCAAATTTTAATTAATGTATATTTTATTAAGACTTATTGATCTCATTAATCTATCTTTTTCTTTTTCCATTTATTACATATTGTAATGAATTTAATTTTCATCTATTACAATGATTTCATTTGTAAATAAGTCTTCCCAATTGATGCGATCAGCTTCATTTACAGTTAACATACGTTTTAATAAATTCTTAACTTTTTAACTTCTAACAGGAATTTCTGGAAATTAAAGAGGTTAAGTTGTAATCTTTTCTAATAATTCACATTATCCATTGGCAATCCAAGGAGTCACTCCATATAATAATTCATAAAACATAACTCCAATAGACCAAATATCACATTTAGAAGTAAAATGTGTACCTTCTAAAATTTATGGAGCCATATATATAGGAGAACCTACTCTACTAAGATTCATTTTATCTATTTCTGATTCAATAATTCTTGCGAATCCAAAATCAGCAATTTTTGCCACTCCATCATTCAAAAGGATATTTGAAGGTTTAATGTCTCTATGAATAACTTTTTCTTAATGTAAGATTTCAAATCCTTTTATAACATGTTTAAAGAATATGACAGCTTCTAATTCTGATAATCTTTTATCTAATTTTTTATTTAGATATTCAGCCAAATCTCCATCTTTACAGAATTCTAAAATCATATACAAATTAGAAGTTGTTTTTGTAACATGAATCAATTTGACAATATTAGGATGATCTATTTTTGTTAGAATAGAAATCTCTCTTTTAATGTGTTACTACAATTATTCACTATTTTGAACAACCTATACAAAATAATTAAAATAGACTCTATTACATGCATAGGGATTGTCTTTATTGCTACTTATTTTGTTTAATCATCCTTATAATGTCCACGATATACTGTTCCAAATTATCCCTTTCCTAATTTCATATTGACGACTACAAAATTATCTACTTTTTTTGTTTTCCAATCTTATGAACTTTGATTCTAAGTATATGTTGATTACATTATTTAATAAATAATAAATCCTTCTATAAGCTAAAATAAAATAAATTAAAGAATTCATATTTTCAATCAATATGAAAAACTCCTTCTACTTTTTCTTAAATGATCAATCTTCTCCTTTTTCAATTGATATCTTCTAATTACAAAGAATATAGCCAAGAATAGACCAATAACTATTGAAAAAGCAATAATGCATAAATATATATATAGATCTTCCTAATATGGAGACATTAGGACACCATGGATATCAAATACATAATCTAGTCTACTTTGGCAATAATTCAAAACATCAGATTAATTTTTATTAAGACAATTTGTACTATTTAGACGAATCTGCCAATTAATTTATATGAAAATATACTGTAACTCTATTTTATTAACTTAATTTAGCTTAACAAAATATTTTGGCTGGTCTTTCTTATGTAAAATAAATAGCAACACCATATTTATAGATACCAACTATATAATTCTCATTCAATTCATTCATTCCCAAAAACTCCATTTAATAAAAATTAGTACTACATTAATTCATAAATTAATTACCCTTTAGAAATATTAGGATTACTATAATTATCTAATAGATTCTTTTAATACATATTATTAATTGGATTACTAATTAATAAAGCAAAATTATTGAATTATTAAATATTCTTAATATTTTGTTTTACAGCCATATACTTTCTAATCATGATCCAATCATTATCTATAATTATACCTTCATAAACTTCTGAATGCATTAGATTTTATTGAATTAATATAAGTTGATTATTTTTTATTGATATTATTTTACATCCCTTATGAGCAATAAAGAATTTCTAATCTAATTACATTGTTGTAATATTAAAGCGATAAACTCCACTTTCATAATCTAATAAATATAACCAATCATTTTCTATTGCATAATCAATCAAATTCTTATCTTTTTAAAATTCCTAAATTAAATTTAAATATACTTCAATATTTAATTTATTCACTTATATAATAACATTATTATGTAATTCATAAATATGTATTCCATAAATTCCATTTATTAAATAGAGATAACTTTATTTGATAAACATTATAAAATGTCCACTTACTTTAGTCCAATTTGGAATTTTAAATTATTCTAAAATTCCATCTTTAATTTTAAATTTTATAAGTTATTAATTATCTACATAATAATAATTATCTTTATCTGCTAAAATCTATTAATTTGTATTTGAATCTATGATAATTTATAATTTATGAGATGTATAATTTGTAAAATTTGTACCAATATTATAATACATATGATGAATTGTTCCATTTTTTTATAATAGAATCACACTCCAATTTTATATTGCATATGAAATTAATTCATCTGAAAATCCTTATTAAATTTCTTCTGTTTTTAATATATCAATATCAATCTATTGCATATCACTTACCAAAGCTATCAAACTTTCAGGTTATCTCTCAAATTCCATAGATTAATAATCAAATTTACAAATCTATTCTTAATTGTCTCCATTATATTCTATTGATATATTTCTACATATATTAAAATATTGTGATTACAAAATCTATCCAAATTCCTCAAACGTTCTTGAAAAAACTGTCTTTTCAGCAATTAATGGTATAAATTATGGAAAGGCAAAGGAATAATTAGTCCATGTAATTTCATAAGAAAAAACAAATAGAAATTAGGTTAAAATAAACATAATTAATATTTATAATTTGAGATTATCCTAATATTTTATTTTGAAGATCAGCATTCAATTTATTACAATAAATTCATTATTTCTTCTATTGGTTTTTCATTCAAAATCAAATACAATGCAATTGAAGAGAAAGGATCCTCAATTTACAATTTTAACCATTCAATTTGATTAATTGTTTAAGGCTTTTTTATTTGATTTGAAGAATAGTATTTAAATTATAAGATTTAAGCTAAACAAAAACCTAAATCTTTAAAATTCATTCTATTATTTCCAATTATTGCATCAGTGTAATCATTTAATTTAAATGATTTAGAATCTTCAAAATATAAAATAGAATCTAAAGTTATTTATTTTAAGACTAATTAATTATCCTAAGCAGATATCAATCCTTAAATTAGATCTAAGAATATTATTTATATTTGCTTATTTGTCAATTCATCTAAGAAATGGAGAATTGTTTTACGACAATATTAATACAATATTAATTAGAAGGAAATGTGATAAATTTCTTTATTGTATTAAAAATATATACTTATTTCTTTAGCCAAATCATCAATCTTTTAAGTCTATGCTGAATAGCTGTAAATATTTTCAGGAGTAAGTATAAATTTATTGTTTAAACTAAATAATTTCTAAAATAATTCCTACTCTATATAAATACTTCTATTATTTCAGATTTAATTGAAATTGGTTTAATTTGATATTTTTTTTTTGACCTTACATCTTCAATCTATTAATTAATGTACATATTTACAATGATTGGACATTTTTTGGATAACAGATCTTAATCTAATTTTAGATAATCAAATTCATAAATTTTCTAATCTCTCAAATCTATATCGTTCTTTTCAGAAATATCAAACTTGCAACTTGATATTTTCTAAATTGAAAACCATTTCTATTAAACATCCTAAGGTTGTCTTTTCTGAATCTTTTTTGATCTTTTTTATATCATATTCTCAAATGAATTACCTTTCTAATATCTATTCACTACTCTAATGAATTCTACTCCAACTAATTTAACTCAAATTATCAGGTGATGGAATTTAATCTTATTGACTTGAAGAATATATATTCATATTCAATTATTTATTATTTAATATATACTATTTACTTTGGACTCAATTCTCTTTGCAAAATTATATATTATACTTTAGATTCTAAAACAAAAATTTACAAATTGTTTATCAAAATAAAAAATTACAAGTTTTCTTTTTATTTTTAATATTTAAATTATCTATTCAAAATTAGATCCTATTATTATATTTAATTTAATGCAAGATTGTTTCAAATTATTAAATATTTCTCTCTTTTTTTATATATTATAGATTAGAATTAATGATTCCAAATTAACATGATCCTGAAAAACTTAAAGAACTAGGAAATGAATAATTTAAATTGAGTAATTTCTAAAAAGCTATTGAATTCTATACTTCTGCTATTGAAAAAGCTAATGGTAATTATTAATTAGTATTTATTCTTAGGTAATCAAAGACTTGTTTGTCTATCAAATAGAGCATTTGCACATATCAAAATGGAAAATTATGGATTGGCTATTATAGATGCTGATGAGATTCTAAAAGAGGATTCTGGATTCATTAAGGCATATTATAGAAAAGGATCAGCTTATTTGTTATTAGGGAAGTTTGACGATGCTAGAAAAGAGTTCAAAAGAGTAATAAATTAATAATTTTGCATAGGCTGACTAACTTACATAAGGAAAAGATGCCGATATTTAAGCAAAACTTAAATAAATCAAATAGGCAATCTATGAAAGAGAATTTGCAAAATCCATAGAAAGACCAGATGAATCTAGTGAGCCAATTGACATTAAGGATATCTTTGTTGAATAAGGGTATGATGGACCAAGAATTGACAATGATATCAGTGAAGTTACACCAGAATGGTAATATTTTATAGATTATTATAAGGTGTGAGAAATTAATGAATCATTATAAAGATTAAAAGAAATTGCATAAAAAATATGCAGTTATGATATTACAAAAAGTTGGAGAAATATTAAAATCTCAATAAAATGTTGTAGAATATGATGTTCCTAAGTAAATATTTATTCATTTATATTATAGAGATCTTGAATTTACTGTTTGTGGAGATACACATGGATAATTCTTTGATCTATTAAACATATTTAAAATAAATGGTAATCCATCAGTTCAAAGACCTTATCTATTTAATGGAGACTTTGTTGATAGAGGGTCTTGGAGTGTTGAAGTGATAATGACTCTGTTTGCATGGAAAGTTTGCAATCCAGACATTATGCATTTAACAAGAGGTAATCATGAAAGTAGAAATATGAACAAAATGTATGGATTTGAAGGTGAAGTCAAACATAAATATGATGACAAAGTTTATGAATTGTTCTAAACTGTTTTCAACTATTTACCATTAGCTTATACTCTATCAAAATAAGTAATGGTTGTTCATGGAGTAAGATGATCTATTTATATTATAGGGATTATTCTCAAATGATGGAGTTACTATTAGTGAATTATAAAAATTAAATCGTTTTAGAGATATACCTGAAGGAGGTCCTATGGCTGATATGTTATGGAGTGATCCTATTAAATAAAATGGAAGACATCCAAGTAAAAGAGGTATTTCTATCTCCTTTGGACCTGATATTGCTCATAAATTCTTAAATGAAAATGGTTTATGTATGAGATATCTATAAAAATAAAAGCTCTCTTGGTTAGATCACATGAAATGAAGGATCAAGGTTATGAAGTAGAAGCAGATGGTAGAGTCATTACCATATTCTCGGCTCCAAATTATTGTGATCAAATGAAGAATAAGGGAGCATTTATTATTTTTAGAGGAGGTGAAATGAAACCTAAGTTTGTTCAATTCGATGCTGTGGTATCTATTTATTTTTATTATATTTTAGGAACATCCAAAGTTACCACCTATGGCTTATGCTAGAAATTATGGAATGTTTATGTGAAAACACAATATTAAATTTATGTATTTATCCAAAAAATAATTTACAATATGTAAGTTTTAAATAAATTTCTTTCTTTCCTTTGATCTTAATAAAACTAGAAATATGTATATTCTAAATTGCACATATAAAGTAATAGTTTAGATTAAGATTATTCTTAGAAATTCTAACAATCCCTTGATTTATCGAAATTTCTAAAAATCATATTTAATTATTTTTTATGGATAGAGCAAAAGAAGAACAAAATATTAAATAAAAGGCATCAACTCCTTCTTTTTTAATTAAAACTTATGACATTTTAGAAGTATACTAATATTGTCTATAAATTAATTAGAATCCTGATTATAATGACATAATATCTTGGAATGAGGAGGGCACAGCATTCGTTGTAAAAAATGTCAATGAATTGGCTGAGAAAGTACTATAACATAAATAGTTTAGGTATTGCCAAACCACTTTAAGCATAATAATTATGCTTCTTTTGTAAGATAATTGAATATGAATGATTTTCATAAAATGAAAAATGAAGGGGGAGATAATGAATTTAGACATAAATATTTTTAGAGAGGAAATAAGTAAACATTAATTCCTATGTCAAAAAGGCATTTACTGTGTGAGATTAAGAGAAAGTAAGGAGAATAGGTTGAGTAATTTGATGAAAGAAATTAGAATTCAAGTTAGAATTGTAAAATTATTTCTCATTTATAATAGCCAATAATTCAATGGAAGTAGATATGTCTAAGCTAAAAAATGATTATTAATTTTTTCTTAATGAAATGTTAGGCATTAAGGGAAAGTAACATGAATTACAAAAAGCATTGATATTAATCATGACTTAAAATGATCATTTAATCAATGAAAATAAATTATTATGGCAAGTAATCTATTCTAAATCCATATTTTTTTAAAGGAAATCAAAAGAATTAGAGAGACAGATGAAAGAAAAATAGATACTTTGTCATACCTCTTAGCAACTTTGATTACTAACATGAATTAATCCTAAAATCAATAAACAGTACAATAACTAGTAGGAGTGTAGGTGCCACCATAGACTTAAATTCCTTAATAAGAACCAAGTAATAATTTATATTTAAATATAGATAATCATGTTGATTAACAGTTTAATAATCTCTTGAATCTTTAACAATTAAATCAAAATAGTATCATATTTCAATAAGCCATTTAGAACCTGGATAATAGAAGGATCCTAAATAACTCTAAGAGCATAATTCATTTTTAGAAAAAATTATGAAAACCCAATAATAATAAGAATAACAATTGCAATCAAGTATATATATATGCATTATATAATTAGTTAAATAAGATATTTCATAATATGATAATGGTTTTATAAAGAAATAATGTAATAATCAATTTTAAAGATAACCATAACATATGGATTCTAATTTCATGGTATAATAGAATAGTTAGGCATTGATTTAATGTAATTTAATATCTATAAAGTAGAACTAATGAGTTTATCTTAATAATAACAATCTCAGTAATAGTAGCAATAAGGATAATAATTCTAGAATAATTTTTAGAATTATTTTGGATAAAATAAGGGAAATGAAAATTTTAGAGGGTTTCCATTTTTATGAACTTAATATTTGATTATTATATAAGTTATTATTAAAACATTGTCAGATTACATTTAGAAAATATAAAATATTAATTGGAAAGTCAAATAACAGAAAAAAATTTTTAATTAGAATTTCAATGAAGATTTGCACATTTATAAGTTGTAGAATAAAACCTTATTATTTAATCCTGGTTAAAGAACTCTTAAATGATAAATTCTATATATGGCAGTATGGAGATTTCTAAAACGGATAGCTAAATTAAGGTAGATAATGAAACCAATTGTCGTTTTTAAGTTAATATTTTTTATATAAATATTTATTAAATGACTCAGGTAGCTTCAATTTAGAACTTACTCATTGATGATAATAACTCAACATTAAATCAATAAAAAGGATTAGGAATTGCTAAGAAAATAAAAAAGAAAGAGAAAGGATGCTTTTGTAAATAATAGAAACAG